TAACTGCTTCTCCGCGGTGTGTCCTCACTTTTTTTTTTGGTTCGGTTATATCTTTGTCTGTCCAGTTCTGGCCTATTTAGAAACCGGGGCTTCCCACCCCCCGTTGATAGAGCTTTATACCAATTAGATCTGTACATATTCCTTTTTTCTTCTCCTTAAAAAAAACATGCATATGCATGCAAGGTCAGGAATGCATCGATTCATATGCTAGAAACAACATGCATAGCCAGCTTCACGAACAAAACGATATATATGTACGGGTACGCTACCAAAATTTGAAATCAACAGTACCAACCGGGGTGGCCAAATGGACATAAAAAGGAAATAAAGCAAATACATCAGTTGAACTCAAGCTCATAATACACATATGCAGAGTACTCTGCTCCGCCTTCGTGCATTTCGCCAGGGTCGTCTCGCTTGACTCGTCCCTTCTTGTCCCGTCCAAAGGCATTTCCAGCCAGATACGAGTACTTGTCGTCAAGGTTGCGCTTCGCCTTGTCCGCCTGTTTCGGGTTCGGTGTCTTATATCTGTTAGTAAATGCATACACACAAAAGGGAGGATACATACCCGAATGACAGTGCTGACAAAGTCAAGCGGAAGACCATATCGTAGCACGGTCTCGACAAACACCCGCAGGACCAGCACATGGATCCAGACCATGACGGCCTCACTCCAGGCCGTGCGCCCAAGACGCAGAGTCTCCCCCCAGAGCTTGCGCTCATCGCCGCCAATGCGCTCAACCTGCTTGCGTTCCTCTTCCTTTCCACCTTCAACGTACTTGAAGTCTCGCGGAATCCATCGTTGTTCTCGACACTTGTGCACAAACTCGACGCTGTGCTTCTTGAACGTGGTGACGGCGTACAGCGAGAATTCGTCGTCCGAGGCTACGAGGCTCGCGGATCGCGGAACCACCATCGGCGCTACTGTTTCGTAAGTCTTGAGGAAGTCCTTCACCTGCTGCGAGGGTACAGCAACTAGGTGGGTTTCGATGTACTCGGAATCTTGAACGATGGTGCGGGGGTCAACGATTGATGCGAGGGACTTTGTGGAAAGGTTGCCTCTGTAGATTACTAGTTAGCTATAGACGTAGTCGACAATAGCGAAAAACCCACGTTTGCTTTCGTTGAAGTGTCACCAATGTGTTCTTGACTTGGTTGTACTGGGAGTACTTCGAACGGATGTCATTGTCGATACTGGCGGCTTCCTACTCATCGAACGGGTTAACATCAACACAAAAATACCATGGCGTCTTATCCATACCTTCTGAAGAAGATCCATCAACTCCGCAAGAGGCTTGTCGGCGCGATACTTGACTTTATTCCACGAGAATGTCCGCAGGTACTGATCAACCGGCTCTAAACCACAAGGTTAACCATCAATATAACCCCCCAAACCTTCAACAACAACCAGAAAACATACTGTCATTAACGGTCTTCATCTTCTCAATCTGTCCCTCATCTCCATCCAAGACATTCCTCAACGCATCGCCAACCTTGGTTACGACACCCTGACAGGCCGCCTCTAGCTTCGCCAGCTCATCGGCCTGCTGCACGAGGGCGTCTAGCGACCCGATTTTAAATTCGGGAATGGGGAACGGGGCAACGGTGCCGTTCTCCGGCGATACGGTGGCCGTGATGGCGTCGAGGGCATCGTCGCGGTGGTTAGAGGGGTTGATGGAGGTGGGGAGGGAGACGAAGAGGTACTTGGTCGTTTTGGACATGGTGGCGGTAAATGATCGGCGGCTGTATCAAACAGAAAGAGGAGAAAGTAGTGAAGCTGTTGCCACGCTCGAGGCAGCGGGCATGAGGCAGCGAGATAGGGAGCTTTGGGGATGTTTTGGGGATGGGGACTGGGAACTGCTGGAGGTATGCAACCGTACGTAGCTTTGGATGGCGGTCACCGACGGGGGCGGTCGGCGGTTCGGCACAGCTAGTAGCAACTACGGGGTACAAATGATGAAGGCACATTGACGATAGTAGATGAATAGATTAATTATCGCTAAGCTCATGATGTGGTTTATTTTAATTTGACAAGCATGATAGGATACATTTATGGACAGTGTGGTCCATTCCCTGCAACCCATACAACATCTAACAAATCTGCCAGTTTATAGTAGCCTAAGCTAACCTCAATGATCCGTAAACCAGTGTATACGAAAAATCAAAGCAGTATATGCAAATGAAGCTTTCTTCTCGGATGAGTTGAAATAATGGTCTAGTATGTTCTACTGGTATAGAGAACCGCATGGTTAATTGTTGTCAAGGACAGGCCGGGCTCAGATAAGCTCCGGATCATTTCATTGATCTATTCATATCATAATGTACATATCGAACAACGTCACCCTTAGGCCTTGGTGAATCTCAGGTAGGGCTTGACCTCTCTGACCTCACCGAACTTTGCCTTAGCGTCGGAAGTCGAGATGGAAGGAGGCACAATCACGTCCTCTCCGACCTGCCAGTCGATGGGGGTGACAACACCCTTCTTGTCACCGGTCTGCAGGGAGTCAATGACTCTTAGAACCTCGGCAGAGTTTCTGCCGGTGGAGGCAGGGTACATCATAGTAAGACGGATCTTCTTGCTGGGGTCGATGATGAAGACCGATCGGATGGTGAAGGCAATGCCCTTCTGGGCAATGTTGTCCAAGTCATCCTGGGAGATCATGTCGTAGAGGAAGGCAACCTTGCGCTCAGCATCGCCAATGATGGGGAACTGGAGGTTGGTGGAGGAGACTTCGTTGATGTCCTCAATCCATTTGTCGTGGGAGCCAATGTCGTTGGCGCTCTATTAAACGGACACAAGTTAGCACATGTAATAATCAGCATTGGGGCATTAAACTTACCAGACCGATCATCTTGACATTGCGCTTCTCGAACTCGCCCTTGAGCTTGGCAAAGGCACCCAGCTCGGTTGTGCAGACGGGGGTGAAGTCGGCGGGGTGGGAGAAGAGGATAGCCCAGCTGTCACCGATGAACTCGTGGAAGTCAATGTTGCCATGGGTAGTCTGAGCCTGGAAGTTGGGAGCTATGTAATTATTTAGCACAAGAAAATTATATCCTTCCAATGATAAACGTACCGACAGATCCCAGACGCAGACGAGGCTGTTCCGTCGCAATGAAGCGGCGGAGGAGGGGCTGCGAGCGAGGCAGCAGGGCGGAAAGACCGGGCCTTGCAGCAGCTCTGGGGAGAGCTCTGAAGCCACGGAAGAGAGACTGGGGGAGAACGGATGCCATTTTAAGATAGGATAGATGGAAATTGACAGTCTAAAAGCTGAAGCTCCGAAGCTGTTGGAGAAGCTGGAGAAGAAACCGGCTTAAATGACGACGGTGCGAAGACGCTAAACCATGTGCGGTTAATTCCACCCCGCCGTACCTGCATTGTTATCCCCATAGTAGAAGCACTATCAATGATGTCTAAATCAGATGGAGTTGAAGATTTATGATTCAATTGAGAGGATGAGTGCACCGATTGGCGATTCCTATCCAAGAAAGTATCCAGTTCTTCTAAATATATGCTCTATTAATATCAACCAAGAATAAAAATGCTAGTCCTTCTATGCGCCAGGCCAGAAATCAATATGATATGCAATCTACTCTTGTGCCCGGATTCAGGGTATCAAAGACAGATGAAATAGCGGGAGAATCTAATTGGCGACCTTGTAAAGGCTGGCCATGGTCTGTAAAGAAATTAGCGGATGGTCCATAATTCACATGCTCAGTCAACATACCGCAGCTTGCTTGGGCTCAATGAAAAGGGCCTTGGCCTCTACAAGGACCTTAGGCTCCTTTCCATCCTCAGGCAGAGTCTCAATACGCCCCTCAACCCAGGCCTTGCGACCCTCCACCTTGGTGGTCTCAGCGCGCAGAACAGCGTAATTACCAGCCATCGCGGGGCGTCGGTAGTCGATGTTCAAGTTTGCCGTCACACCCACTCCATTGGGCAAGGCCGGGAAGCAGCAACGGGCCAAACCCTCATCCAAAAGAGTGGCCAGAAGACCTCCATGGACAATACCCGGGTGGCCCGAGACGTCCGAACCCAGGTATAGAATAGAAACCAGACTCTTTCCTCCATCCTCGGCGAACACCAATGGTGGGACAACAATGCGGTCCGGGCCCGAGAGGGTTCCAGCTGTCAGGTTGCGCACGCGCAGGTTCTCGGGGATCTTCATATAGGGGCGGGATTCGGTGAAGGCGGGGTCTTCCCGCAGGGCAACGGCCACAGGGTGGTTTTGGATGTATTCTTCAATTTCACGAGTGATCTCATCAGCTGGGGTGAATGCGGTGAGGGTTTCCTCATCGGAGGGCAGAGCGGTAGCCATCATTCGAGAGACGGTTCGTTGTGTTTGGTATAGGAGGCCGGCAGTGAACGCGACAACAGCGATGGAAGTGAATCCGACGAAGCGACGAAAACGAGAGCGAGGTTTAGGAGAGGGAGGCTGGATAGACTCTGCAGTTTCTAGAGAGAACGAATTAGTATAATGGGATGTTGTTCTTTTTATTCAATAGGTGGACTCGTACCAGTGGAATAAAGACGGAGAGGCGAAGACGAAGTAGGAAACTTCCGAGGCAAACCAGCAGCCCAGAGACCTTTCGTATAAAGTCGAGACCGTGGAGCAGAAGAGAAAAGACGGGCAGCAGCGGAGAATTCCCGAAGAACGGTTGAGGATGGGCGCGCCATGGCCGTGAGAGAGACCAATTAATAGGGAGTGGGAGAAGGGAGTGGAGAGGTTTTTCCAGCAGCCTCTGCTTACTATCGGAGATACGGTGAGAAAGAAGGGCGGCGACTCCGATAGAACGTGCCTGAATGAAGGAACAAAGTGTATTATATTTATGAAGCGAATGAGAATGAGAATTATGGATGAAATGAGGGTCTGCAAATGGGCGTTTTCTTGGTTTCCTCTTGAGTTTCGGTGATTCGCATCCCCTGCGGCGGTCCGATTGGGCTGGATGGATGGAGGGGAAAAGAACCTCGGCTCATCTGAGGATGGGAAGATGGCGATGGCGATGATAATATGGGATGCAGTAGTTATGGTGGTTTATTCTGACATTATTTTGACATTTTATTCTGCTGTTTATACTGCAGATTGAAGCTTTTAAAGACGATAAATCATGGATTGTATATGGCTGAGTTATAGTACATAGCATACAGATACACTAAACCACAGAAATAATAATATAGACTGATGCTAATAGATGCAGATAATTATCAATATCATCATCTTTCCTATCTTACGAATAAGATTAATTGAGAGAAAGGATGGATTGTGTTGCACTTGGCTGTTACTCAGTTCATCCCTTGATGTTTCTGCTTCTACAGGGATAGAGTGACACAGCTGTAACACAACAGCATGGGTTACACACTCTCTCATCTATCTTAATCGTATTCATCCCTCATGGGGGGCTCATTCTAATCAACAGTCACTCATTATGTCTATCTCCAGCTTTCTGTCGCTCTTTTTCTTCTCAACAGGCGTTCTGGCCGCCGACAACACGCCAGTCTACGACTACGATGTTCTCCAATACATCGATCCACTCATCGGAAGTGCCAATGGAGGTACGTTCTCTTATATTTTATATACATCTGAATATCTTCTAACCCCTATTCTTCAGGCAATGTCTTTGCTGGTGCTTCCCTCCCCTATGGCATGGCCAAAGCCGTGGCCGACACCGACTCCCAGAGTAACCAGGGCGGCTTCGCCTTCGATGGCAGCAACATAACCGGTTTCTCAAGTCTACACGATTCAGGAACTGGTGGAAGTCCTTCTCTAGGAAACTTTCCTCTTTTCCCCTATGTGAAATGTCAGAATGACGATGTCAATGGCTGTGTCTATCCCAAGAAGGAGCGGAAGACAGGCTATGTCTCCGAATCCGTCCAGGCAAGCCCTGGATACTTTGGATTGACCATGAACTCGGGCATCAAAGTAGACACGACTGTTTCTCATCATGCATCGCTTTTCCGCTTTCAGTTTCCCACTGATAATGCGTCAAGTCCTCTCGTCTTACTGGACCTCAGCGACTTGTCGGATACAAGGCAGGACAATGGAACTGTCTCCGTGAATGCTGATACAGGACGCATGACAGGCCATGCGCGCTTTCTGCCCAGCTTTGGAAGTGGCTCTTACGTTCCTTATTTCTGCGCTGATTTTAAGAGTCCTGCAGGTATTCGGGATACCGGGATCTTTGTCAACTCTAGGGCTAGCTCCGAAGTTAAGGATCTTAAAATCTCCCGAAGTATCAATGGATACCCTCTTCCGGTACGAGTGCTATTTTTCTCTTTGCGTATACTCACTGACAATGATATAGGGTGGTGCTTTCGTTAGGTTCCATTCCAACCCAGACCAGACGGTCCTAGCTAGAGTCGGTCTCAGTTTCATCAGTAGCGAGCAAGCATGCTCCAACGCTGAATCTGAAATCCCAGAATTTGATTTTGAATCGACCCATTCAACAGCCGTGAAACTATGGACGGAGAAGATGAGCCCTGTCAGAGTATCAAGAGAAGGGGTAAACTCTTCTCTCCTTACCAATTTCTACAGTGGCATCTATCGAACCATGGTCAACCCTCAAGACTATACTGGCGAGAACCCGCTTTGGAATAGCAAGGAGCCATATTTTGATTCTTTCTATTGGTATACCACCCATTTCCCCTGTGTCGTCTAGTAGACTAATGGTGATAGTCTCTGGGATTCCTTCCGGTCTCAACTCCCTTTCCTGACCATCACTGATCCTACCTCGGTGGCTAAGATGATCCGCTCGTTGATTGATACTCAACGACATCTGGGTTGGCTTCCTGACTGCCGCATGTCACTTTGTAAAGGTATTACCTTTCATAATCAGATCATGCAGTGATGCTTATTTTTTAGGGTTCACCCAGGGTGGCTCCGATGCAGACATCGTTCTTGCAGATGCATACATCAAGGGCCTATCTGATAACATCGACTGGGAAGCAGGTTATGCAGCCGTACAGAAAGATGCCGAGGAAGAGCCATACGACTGGTCAAGCGAAGGCAGGGGCGGACTAGTTAGCTGGAAATCGCTGAACTACATCCCTGTGGAAGACTTTGACTACCTGGGCTTTGGGCCCATGACAAGGAGTATTTCTCGCACGTTGGAATATTCGTACAATGACTTTGTCATTGCGCAGATGGCCCGCAGCTTGAACAAGACTGGGGATGCAGAGAAATATGAATCAAGGTCTGGAAACTGGCAGAATCTATTCCGGGAGGATCAAACGTCATACCTCAATGGTAATGACACGGGATTCAAGGGCTTCTTTCAGCCCAAGTACATGAACGGAACCTGGGGATTTCAAGTAAGTCACCTTACAAAGAGACACATTACAGCAAACGCACCTCTAACCAACCCAGGACCCTCTGGCCTGCTCCAACATCGACACCAGCGGAAAGGCTTGCTCACTAACCAACAACGGTCCCGAAACATTCGAATCCAGCATCTGGGAATACCAATTGTAAGTCCCTCCATCTTAATCCCACCCTCGATATCTCCCTATCTGACCATCAAAGCTTCGTCCCCCACGACATGGCAACCCTAATCACTCTCCTCGGCGGCCCAGCCCAATTCACCCGCCGCCTCGACTACCTCCACGACAAAGGCATCACCTACATAGGCAACGAGCCCGCCTTCCTAACAGTCTACCAATACCACTACGCCGGGCGTCCCGCAAAATCCACCTCCCGAATCCACACCTACATCCCATCCGCCTTCAACCCCACGCCCACCGGCCTCCCAGGCAACGACGACTCCGGCGCAATGGGCTCCTTCGTCGCCATATCCATGATGGGCCTCTTCCCCAACCCCGGCCAGAACATGTATCTCATCACCGCGCCCTTCTTTGAGTCCGTGCAGGTGACGTCGCCGGTTACGGGGAAGATTGCCACGGTGCGTGTGGAGAATTTCGACCCCGCGTATCGTGATGTGTTTGTGCAGTCTGCGAGGTTGGATGGGGTGGTGTATAATAGGAGTTGGGTGGGTCATGATTTTTTCACGCGGGGGAGGGAGTTGGTTCTTGTTTTGGGGAGGAATGAAAGTAGCTGGGGGACGAGGGATGAGGATTTGCCGCCCTCGTTGTCGACTCGGGGGGTTACTTTGGAGGAGGAGAGGGATGGGAGGGTGGATTTGGGGCATGGGCGTGGTCATGTTCGTGGGAAGAGGCATCAAGGTTATGCATAGGGGTGTTCGATGAGTGTCTACGAGTGTAGTTATTCTTAGGCTATCATTATGTATCATGAATAACTGTATTCTATTCCTTCAACAGTCATGTTGAATATGACATTCACTTTTATACTAGTAACCGACAAGTAGTTAAAATAAAAAAACGGGGTTGAAAAGCACACCAGCCCAAGAGACACAGGAAACTCGTTAATATATACATAAAGCTTATGGGAGAAACGCAAAAAGGGTAGTAGATTAGGAAGATTATGCCTTGGGGCGGTAGAACTTGCTCTCCACCCACGGCATACCGGTGACAGTAGCCTTGCGGACCTTGTTGCGCACCAGCACTCCCACTTCGGTACCCTTCTTGTGTAGTCCCGACTTGATGTAGCCCATGGCGATGTTGGTTCCGCCCAGCGATGGGCTGGGCAGTCCCGAGGTGATGACACCAATTGGGGTGCGGGACTCATCGTTCAAGTCGACGAGGACAGCACCCTCACGAGCGGGCGAACCCTTCTCGATTGTGAATCCAACCCGGCGTTGAGACAGAGTCTTGGCTGGGGAGGCAATTTGGGGGAGGATGGCAGAGGCTCCGTTGAAGGTGGCAGCTGCGGGGTCGCGGCGGTCTTTGCCAACAACCCAGCCCAAGGAGGCAGCGGGAGGGGTCTGCGCAGTCGAGATATCACTGCCGTACAGACACATACCGGCCTCAAGGCGGAGGGAGTCACGGGCGGCAAGACCAGCAAGACGCACCTCGTCGGGACGGGAGAGGAGGAGCTCGGTCACCTGCTGGGGCAGCGAGGGGTTGCCCTCGGTGGGGATGGAGATTTCGAAACCATCTTCACCTGTGTATCCAGTACGGGAGATAAGGATAGGCTGCGAGGTGGCGGAGCCATCGGGGAGAGTGAGGTGAAGGGAGCGGCAGTTGCCAAAGTACAAGGTGCTCAGATCAGCCTCAGCAGCGGAGACACCCTCAGAGTGAACCAAGGACTGGAGAACCGAGGCAGCCAGGGGACCCTGGAGAGCAACCAGACCTCTGTCCTCGAGGATATCCCATTTAAGGCTGTCCGCTCCGTTGGCCTTGCGGTAGGCGTCGATCTCGGCCTGCAGGAAAACCAGGTCCTCGGTTCTCCGGCCCGCATTGGTCACAAAGTAAAAGGAATCTTCGCCACGACGGGTGATAACAGTGTCATCGACAATGCCACCAGTTCCCTCTTCCAACAGACACGACAGAGTGGATGAATTGGGCTTGAGCTTATCGAGAGAGGAGGGGGTAACTTTCATCAACAGCTCCATTGCACCTGGGCCGCTAAGAGAATGCTGAACCCTGTAATCCGTTTCATCAGCAAACTACCCATACAGCATGATGACAATTAAATAGCACTTACATGTGGCTCACGTCAAACAAACTGGCCTTTTCTCTCGTCCAGTGGTGAGACTCAACATGGCTGAGATCCGAATACTGCAGCGGCATGGAGAACCCCGCAAAGGGGACCATCTTTGCACCCCGGGCGACATGTAAATCGTAAAGCTGCGTCTGTCTCAGAGGCCCCGAGGAAGCCGGAGACGAAGCATATCGCACGGCAGTCTGAGGAAGAGAAGCCGTTCTGGCAGTGTAACGGGCAAGGGGACGACCAGAAGCCGGAGCGCGGGGAGAGCGACTCAGCAGCGAGGGGAGCTGGCGGCCGATGCCATTGGCAGCCACAGGAGCGGATTGAAGGTATACAGACTTCGACCCCAAAAGGTCGACACCTTTCCTCAGAGAACGAATAGCCGACATGATGATTTTTGAATAAGATGTGTGTAGGATAGAGAAAAAAGAAGATGGGGAATTCGTCGTCAAAAGTCGGAGAAGAGGGACTGCGGAGAGCTACGATAACGGAAAAGTCACGTGTCGATAGGCCAATTCCGCGGAATTTCTCCGTGACAATATCTATCATGATATCGGGGAGGGAGGATGGGAGAAATTATTATTATCGCTACGTTACTCTTGCGTCACTCTACATCCTACAGATTATGCTAGGATAAGTATCTGACTATCCAGGTCGGCCGAGTGAGAAAGGATCGAGCCTGATCTATCCAACGTTCAAGGGCCTCCCGTGCCCTAAAGCGACCGACAGCCTCAGTGCAGGTTCGTTTTCCCGCGGAGGGTTCTCCAGAAGCGTAAAATGCGCATGCGATAAAGGCAGTAAGTAGTAACTAAGTACTACAATAATGTGAGATCCAACAAGATGAATGGAATAGCTCTCAAGAATTGTGTAACCGGCCACGCCTGAAACCCCCAGGGTCGTCAACGCCCTCCGATCTTAAATTCCCCATTATTATTACCTCTGATCCCGGAATAAAAAAAAAAAAACGCAAAAAAATCAAACAAGATATAGTCTAAAGTCCGTTATCAGCACAGGAGAAGGCGCTTCCCACGGTACCGGCCCGATAACTGAGGACAACGGCGTCAACTGAAGCCTGCGATGTGAATTTTATTAGCCAAATGTTTTATGAGGAACAGAGCAGAAACGAGGGGAGAGCTTACATAGGTTCCTGGTCCCAAGAAGAAAAGCCCAACAAAGATCAAGCCGATATTCAGGAGAAAGCCAAGCCAACCGCGAAGGCCACGGTTCTTGTAGAAACCGGGCCCGTGTTTCGCACGTCGCATGCGGAGATAGGCAACACCCCAGAAGATGAACCCGAAGAATGAATCAAACAGCGAGCTCATGATGGAAAGAAGGTCAGAGAAGAATGGAATGACCTCGGCAATGATGAAGGCCAGAATCCATAGGACAGCCAGAATGCCGGCCCAGGAGGCCCATCCGACCACGGTATGGTTACCCTTGTGACGGGTTCCTTCGAAAAGGCGAAAGAAGATGAAACGAGCCGACACGGAGGCATACAGGACACCGAGGAAGACCAATGTTGGAACCATGAACGAAAATGACACCTTCTTAAAGACCTCGTCGCTTATGGAGCCGAATGCTGGCGTCTCCATGTACTGGTTGCCCGTATATACGTAGACGATGGAACCCGCCAAACTGAAGACGATAACTTCGGCGACTGTCACGGCAGTGACCGATTTCCAAAAGTCTTTGGGTTCCTTCATCTCAGCGATGAAACTCGGGAGTGTGATCTGTCCGATGAATGTATAGCTGATATTCAAAAAGGCATTCATGCCGGACACAAAAGTTGTTCCCTTGGCGGGAAATGCTTTGACAATGGGGTCGCCATCTGCGGGACTATAACCAGCTGGGTGGTCCTCGATTCCGACGAAGATCATAGCCAACAGGACAGAGATAAATGTGAAAAGGGCGGAGAAGGTTGCGACCTTGGAGAGCGCGCTGAATGTTCGAGGCAGCGAAAAGACCCATGCGATGATAGCCGTTATCAAGGAGAAAACGATGGTGCAAGTGGAATGGTTGGTTACGGTGTTGAACCACTCAGCGCCGACCAAGCAATGCAAGCCCTAAAGAGCATTAGAATTGACTGTCTGGGGAAAGGGAAATGCGATAATACCTGAATGAAGGTGTTGTTCAACAAGAACATGATAGCGGTCAAATACCAAGCAATCTTCGAGTCCCAGAACAGGTACTGGCCAATATCGCAGACATCGCGAACCTCGGGGTGGCGCAAACAAAACCGCCTGGACTAGAATGAGCGTGGCGATCCCAGAACGAATGCGATTGACTTACCAAACCGTGAGGGATGTGTAAAGGACAATGGCAGCGATGACGACCGTTAGAATCAAACCCGGAACAAGACCAAGGATGGAATAGGACCAGGGGAATGACATGATAGCCAGACAAATGTACTCGGAAAACAGCAGGGCCGCAGTCTATCGCGCAATTGTCAGAACATGCCCATCTCTCTCTTCATCTGTGTATCCTCCGCCACCCACCTTTTGCCAACTACAAGTTCGATACTTGATTGAATTCTCCGACTCCATTTCTATTTGTCTTCCAATGCTCTCGGTCTCCGCATCGGAGTCAACGGCGATGCGATGAGTCTGGTCATGTTGTTGACTTTCGAGATCGGCATTCTTCACCTTGGCCGGATTGTTGTCGATGATCCTGTCAGAGGAGGTCGATGAACGACGGTCGTGTCCGGACATATTGACCACCTTGGATTCTTCGACCCGCGCCATTTGATCGAGCGGACGAACCGCAGGTGAAAGGAAGCGATAGAGTGAGGAGGAGAGGAAATGTTGAAGACCTTCGGATGCATGTACTGCTCCTATCGAAAATAGATATTAAGGTGATAGGGTCTAGGAAAAAGCGTCCTGGGATTAATGACCGGACAAGGAAGTTGTAAAGAAGACGGACGAGCATTTGATCGAGAGAACCTCTTACCTTATAACTGAGACAAAAGAAAAAAAAAAAAAAAATCTTAGGCGAATAAGAGTATCTCCAATCGGGTTGGCTGACGATCAAAAGAAAAGAGGAGAGGCAAAAACCCGCCCCAAGCTTGCTGGGCGAGTAGGCAGGTCAACCTGATATTGATTACGGGGCGTCCGTAGATACAGATAGCACTACTGGACCTCCGATGGAGGAGGAAAAGGAAACGAAAAGCAACACGAGGGGCAAAAAGAGGGAAAAAAAAGAAAATTGAAAACAAGCGATTAAAAAAAAAAAGAAAAAGAAAAAGAATAAAAAGTAAATATTAAAATGCTAAAATATTAGTCGATGATTCGACAGACAGAAAAGCACCTGAGCAGGGCTGGTTGCGATGCCGGGCCAAGCAAGAAAGCACTGACCCAATGATACAGAAAGACAGACGCAATCCGGACGGCGAAACCGATCCTTTAGACGAGCAGTTTTAGAGCGATAGATCGGCTCTGGGCCCATGACGTGCTCGGGAAATGAGGAATAATCATCGAATGTCTTTGCTGCGACATCGTAAGAGCGGTGGAATCCCGCTATCTGGATTGTTTGGTACGGACTACCTAATATGGAGAGATATGTATTACGGATGTATTAAGATGTATTGACGATGCATCAATGCAGCTCCAACGACTCTCTCCATGATGATTGCATTTTGATTTGAGCCCATTTGACTTTCCCAACCGACCATTCATCGACTGTTTTCGTTCCCCCCACCCCGCCCGTCATTGGCCCCAGCAGCCCCCCCGGTTGCATCCCTGCAGCTCCGCCGCCAATCACTCCGCGCGGTTGGCCGCTGGCGGGACCAACCGATTTCCTTTTCCGCCCCGCATCCGTCGCAGTCTGCAATTTAATTACACAGCTCATTACACAGCCATTACATACATACCGAAACAGCTGGCCCAATCACAGGAAAAGAATTCCACTTCCAGTTCTTCCCTGGTTCGGATTGGGAAATTGGCTGGCAACAGGTTTGAAGGCGGATATCGTCATTTTATCATACGTACAGCCTCAGATACATCGGCTGATCTGAATCTGATTTTTCCCTGCACGGAGTTCCCCGGTCAACTGATTCATGCTCATCTATCACTGGCCCTTTCTTGTTCATTATAGCCAGCTATGGCGTGATATCAGTTCCACGTGCCCATGCACTCCATGTCCACGGCACTTTACTACTTTTGGGTATGTTCTGGATGTTTTCTTTAAGGTCTAGGCAATCTCACCTCAGACAGCCTCTGTCGATCAGCTACTAGGTTATTATCCTGGTATCGAGCCTCAGGGATTTACTTGGAAGCTCTATTTGAATCAAAGCATGTATTTTCCTGTTTATAAGTATCTAGTACCTACGACCGCAGGGTATCACAGCCTTTTCAAGCTTATTTTAGAATAGGCACGTAGAACTTTCCAAGAAATTTCCACAACGAACAAGAAGATATTATTCATGTTTGTGACTTGACTTGTAAAGGATTTCTTTAGTACCAATAACATCTAGTTATCAAGACCGTCCTTATAAAAACTATGGGCTAACAACAAAACCAAGGGAGCACTTTCTTATAGTAAGCAAAGACATTAACTACATGCTGCGCCGCCTATTTACGATGAGTTATATTAAGCTCGCGCGGGAAAGACCTTAAAATAGGATTAAAGTTACTAAATAGAAGTTCACTATAAGGTGATTAAGGTGGAGAGGGGGAGTTTGCTTCAGGTACTATAGTGTAGACTTTTTCGCTTTTCTTATCTTCGATGTGGACAAGCTTGCTAATGGGATCTAGTGGTTTATCCGTCCAATCTCGCGCATTCAGCATCGAGGACAGAATGTCAATATCTAGATAGCAAAAGATGGGAGTGGCGGGGAGATTACTAGTCCGATTAAGAGGTGGCTCAACGATATCATGTATGGAAGGACAGAGCATAGCTGGGTGTTGTGGTTCCCGAGAGGTTGTAGAAGCCAGAAAATGCCTAGACGTCGAGACAGATTACGTGAGACATAAACATCAGGGCCTAGATTGTGACGGCATAGCAGTTCATTGCCTTGTCTCCATAGTAAAGGAGCATTGGACCCTTGAAAATCCAGATATCACCACCTCGCCTCCCATCTCAATCCTAATCCTCGAACAAAATGTCTTATTCACAGCACAAGAACACCCTCCCCCCCATACACCCCAGCCCATCACTGGAACATTTCACTTTTTACACTTCGATAGGCCGTATAGGACTGAAAGGTCCGGTTCGTTTCGATGGTTATACTGCCGCCTCGATCCACAGGGCGACTTAACCACACCCACCTGTGGCGTTTTACTGATACAATTAGTATACTGCCGATATGAAAGTAGTTGAGAGTAGCTTGAGATATAATTTATTCAGAAAAGCACATCATATCAAGCTATATGTAGTGCGCGTGTGTGTTTTGTCTTGCATGATGCCATGAATAGCCAACTCTCTCCTTCATCGCGTATTCAAAACCATCCTGTCCTTCGCATCATGCCATCTCTTTTTGTAAGCGACAGGCTTTAGCACCCACAACTGGCTGGGTTCACCCTCCTCATCGCTCACGGGAATTACACCATAATTCTCCTCAAAGCCCAGAACACCGGATCCAAAAGCAGATTTAATCCTGCATAATAGTGCCAGCGCGATCGAACCAAAGGCATAGAAGCAGATCGTAACCTACGGCTATCACCCAATCCTAAAGTCTCGGATCCAATCACTAATTCATACAATGGGCCTTGCTTGTTCAATGTCCATTCTGCTTCAACTTCCCCAAATACATTATGCTGGACGAGATAATCTGCCTGTCATAGATTTAGTATAAAGCAAAAGGAAGGTTGATCGGCAATATAGTCCATACACCAGACTGATACCGCTATCAGATTTAAATGCCCATTGATCTGGATGAGCAACATTGCACAGGCGGTATTTCCCTGGGAATTTGTTGGATACAAGCTCGCCCCGCATGCGGACAGTGCGAGCCATGCCAACACACCGGTGGAGTACCCTAATGTGTAGATACTCAATTATAGCTATTTCATGTAACTAACTGACACGACGCATGGCAAGGACAAACAAGAAGCGACCTTTTCAAATCATATCAAACTAGGATATATCTGTTCTCAAAGATGATCTTCATTATATCTTCAAGCCTGATCACCACTCCCCATGGGCACTATGACACGACCGGCGACTATTTAACCATTCGGTTTTAGCTAACACTGCTCCCTGTGGTACTTTGAACATCACCACTTTCTAGATCGTCCTCATTATCAGAGTCATTCGAGTCTCCTTGCCCACTAGACTCATATCCACCTCCCTCGTTCCAGAGTGAGAAGTTATGGTTTGGATGCAGCACCGATTTAGAGAGATAGCATTTGAAGCATAACCAGAAACCGAGATCACCACAGTCATCGCATACGTAATATGGACCAATGATATCCTAGCGGAGGCAACATGGGTTAGGAAAGGAAAATAATTCACGATCCGGTCTGAGGCAGAGCTTTTCGGTGTACCACTTACCACAAGACATCCATCGCAGAACCCAGCATTTTCCATATTAGCCTCGGCTGTTTGGTGTCTGACAATGCTCCACCAGACAGCTCTTTCCCTGGGGTTCTTGATATTCCTAATCTGTGACGCGTTTGGTTTCAAAAGGTCAACGATACCGCTGGGTAGTCCATAATATTGGGCGAGCTGATATGGTGCCCACATTCGACCGATGCCATTTCCTCGGAGCAGAATGTCTGCCCCCCGACTGATCAATTCGTTGATGATCTCGAAGCGTTCTGAAGATGGGTTTGCCCACCTAGCGAAGGGCCTCAGCGCCCAGAAAATCGGAGTCCAGCCATCGCAGTCTTTCGCATTAATCATATCGGGACACTGTTCCAAGACGTATCGCACAGTATCTAGATGACCACTGAGGACGGCACAGTGAGCCGCATTCCGGTGCATCTTATCTTGGACTAGAAGATTGGCACCATTGTTTTGCAAAAGCTTGACATGCTCCAGAGTTTTGCATAGGGCAAGATGAATTGGGCTTCTCCCGACCCTATCCACAGCACGGATATCTGCGCCACCGGCGATGAAGGATTCAACAATGTGTGGGCTACCCAGAAGGCAAGCAGTGTTTAAATTGCAACCCCACCATTCACTGCTTTCGTGTATCATGGACTCTCTTTGATCCAAGAGATAGACTAGGATCTCTGACTTGTCATCTGAATCGCCAGATCCTTGACATGCAGCCTGAAAGACCGTTCCGTTGTAGCTCGCAGCAATAGCATCAAGATCTGCACCATGGTTGACAAGCACTTGAACCATCTCCAAGGAGCTGTTCCGACAGGCAAGATGTATTGCTGTGCCGTGAGTGTGAATCTGTACGTTTGGATCGGCATGGCTAGTGAGCAGAACCTTAGCAGCTTGAATGTTGTTCGCTTCGGCTGCTTTGGATAACGGAGTTCTTCCATCGAAATCGCTCGTGTTGGGTGATGCTCCGCGGTGGACAAGTAAACGAACAATCATAGCATCCGTTTCTCCACCGAGACAATTGAGTGGAGTCCTTCCTAGGTGATCCTGTGGGTCAATATGGAAGTCATATAGTAGTAGTCGCTTGAGAATGTCGGCATCATTCTGCGTAACACAGTCGTGAAGCAATAATTGGTTGGCCCCTAATTCTGTATGCTGCAGGTGGTCTATATCAGCATCGAGAATTGCTTCGACTAGTCTTCTATTGGACCTTTTCACAGCCAATCCCAGAAGACTTTCACCTTCCGCTGTGTAGACCAGCACAGGATCGTGTTTGAGTAGCTCATCAACACATGCGGTGGCATTCCATCGTGCTGCCAGGTGCAACGGAGTAGACCCGTCTCCTGCTCGAGCATTGATATCTGCTTTTGCCTTGATCAAGAGCCTAAGCACGTTTACATTGTCTGCGCCGGCATGTATAGGTCGCCATTGACTCGAATCGTCTTCCACTGCCTCTCTGTCTGCTCCAGCCTTCAGTAGCATATCCACGATCTCAACATAGCCAAGATATGAGGCGTGAATCAGTGGGGCTCGGCTGTTGAACCCCAAAGTTTTCCTCTCTAGGTCTGGCTCCCCACGAAGTAGTATCTCGACGATGGCTGGTAGGTCCTCTGCCACCGCGGTTCTAAGTAACATGGTCAATTCTTCCTTGTATGTTTCCTGGTGCACACAGCGTTTTCCTTCTTCGACAAGGAGTTTCAAAAGATCCAAACCATCTTGACCACGGGAAAAGGCCCGTTGCAAAGCGTCGTGATATTTGTCATTGTCAATAACACAACCGTTTAGCATAAGATGCCGGAGCATGGCAGCATTGCCGCGGTCAAGCACACTGTCCATGATTTCTTGGAGGATCTCGGCATTGTCAGAATGATGGAGGAAAGCGGCGACTAGTACTGTGAAACAATCAACCTCCTGGTGCGTAATGGCGCGGTCAATATATTCAGATCGTGCTTCCTGAGAGATTCCGAAACCCGACAGCACATCAAGCAAGGACCGTAGGATCTGAGGTTGGCTTGCGACTATGGTTTCAGTCAGCAGTTCATGAAAGACGTCCATATGTGGTGATGGACTGGCTTGGGGTTGGCCGGAGGTATCCGTTGTCTTGTTCCCATCGCCCTCCTTGATGAGGAGTGCTAATCTGCCGAACAAGAAGGCAGCGACATCACTGTTGCCGTACTTGAATGCCTGTGAAATGAATTCGGCCAGATCCTCGAGACTAAAGATGGACTCTGTCCTTTCCAGTATACACTTGACAGTATCCACACTAGGAAAACGGCATGCAAGTTGAAGCAAGGCTCTCATACGGTCGTTATTGCCATTATCCCAGATGTCCTCAGCCAGAATCTGGCTCACTAACTCCCAATACCCGAGGGATACTGCCCTTGACAGAGCCACGGAGAGATCCGGTAAGCTGGTCGAGATTTGCAATGCTTTTGCCACTAGAGTTTGTTGAATTTGTTCATTGGAGGGTCTTAAGGAGGCCAGGAGCGCTCTCTGCACGGATTTTTGATCGGGGGTTGTGTGATCTAAAACAAGTTGAAGCACTCCGTTCTCGCCACTGTACGCCGCAGCAGGGAGAGCAGCAGAGCAGACTTGGTCAAGAATTGAGGGATCAGTGTGCCTCACAGCATACTCAAGAGTTTGACCCAGCCCATGCTCTGCAAGAATGACGATAGGATTGGACATCTGAGCTTCAACGTGCGGAGGCTTGTAGCTCCAGTATGCTTGTGCCCATTTTTTGAGCGTACTTTCATCTCGTAGCAGGGCATTTAGAGGCTTTGATTCAGGGTCGAGATTGTTTCCAGCAAGTTTCGCGTGCCTCGGCCAGTATTGAACGGCGTATGACAGAAAGTCTAGAGGTGACTCTGGGCCTTTTATGTCTTCGTAGCCCGTCCCAATGCGACATTCAAGAAGCTCCCTTCCATGCTCTGACAGGAGATAATTCAAGCAAAGCGATGCAATGTGACCATGCGATACCTCCTGCTGCTGGGGACCTAGATGGAAGTCGGATCCGATGCTGTCCTCTGACAAAATGAATTTCCGGAAGTCTAGCTGGGCCAAGTGGATTTCACTTTGATCAATAGAAAGGATACCAGGCAGAAGAAAGGCAAAACTATTGCAGTCAACCGCGGGGTAGTATTTATGACCGTATGGTGTCTGCGATATTTCCAAATCTGCAAGCTCCTTTAACCTGAAAGGTCGAAATGAAAGAACAAGGAGATCCAGTATCTGTTTTGCGAAATCGCAGTCTCGAGAGCGTGCAACCGCAGAGTGCAAGAGTAGACTGACGAGTGTCTTTGGGGAGAATTCCGCCATCTTCGACTCCAATGTTGACTGGTCTGCGTTCGATATCCAAGTCTCCATCCACGTTACAAGCATTGGATGTAAATGGAGTGGGATATCACAATTCCGAAAGAAACCATTCAGTTGCTTCATCGCTGGGTAGAGCTGCGGATTCTTTACAATCAGATCCAAGGCCCTCTGATCATAGCCCAGTATGTCCGACCCACTGGGTTCTGTTTTGTCCTCAGATACCTCCAATGTGACTTTCCGAAGGTCAATTGCTTGTGCGTGGGGGTAGCTTAACGGCAGAGGAGCAGCCATGCTGTTAATAAATATCACTTTCAGTTTAGACCTCAAGCGGGCTGTTGTCGCTCCTATCTGATGAAGCAGCCATTGGTGAGACACAACCTGATCATCGAGGTTAACCACAATCCACGTCGTCACAGGACAGTTCTCGGACAACAGCAGATCCTCTAGGAAGGTAAACTGCTCCTCCTGACTAGAATAGATGACTTGATCATGAGAGCCAAACATCTCTGGTAGCTTGACACTCTGGCTTTGGATGTCGTGTAAAAGCTCCGCCAGTAAGGTGGAGCAGATGGCTTTGGCACTGTTGTATCTGCAGTCTGAGTGTTTGAATTCAAACGACTGCACTAGACCGCATGCAGGCCATTCCGCAAACCTTGGAACGGTTATCAAATCGCGATATATCATAGCACCGGTGCTCGCTGGATCCCGAGCGTTTTGAATTGCTACGATTGTCGGTCCATTATCCAAGGTTCTGGTGAGAAGTGGTCGGATTTCTGACAGATCAAGACCCGTGGTCCCTGTGGATTGCTTCGTTGATGCCCTTATGCATGATAAGGGGGATGCTGCCAGCGCCCTGGCGTTGAGTTCTGTCTTGATGTTTGCTGAGTCTGAATGTTAGAAGGATAGCCTTTCCGAGGTGGCTTTACAACTCACCCCGAGTCCCATTCAAGATTGGCCTCATCATGTCTCGGATCTCATCATCCATTATTCTGGCTATCTCAGCGTGCGACACGGAGGTGCCCATTTGATGACGACTAACATCCGATGTGATCATCAATTCTGTCTCGCTTGGACAGAAGACCTGTCGAATTCAGTAAAATCACCATGGGGGCACTCCTTGAATGAAGTACATACTGCCTCGCTGATATCTTCACATGTTGAATAAACATTGCTGATCAGTGCCAGAAACTCCAACTTCGTTGTATAAAAATCCTGGTTTATTTCCGATATTGCGGTAGAGAGGCCACTTGCCAATGACCGACAGTTTTGTATTTTGGCCAGGTCAAACAGCCGCAATAAAGAGCCTTGCAGGTCATGACGGCTGTCATATGAATGGGGGCATCCGATAAAGATCTGTTATTTGAGCTGTGAGGCCTCCGTAGCATATAATGACATGGGTTCGTACCAGAAGACTGGTTGACCAGTAGATATCCCGAAACTTGCTATGCCCAAATGCCGCCTGCACAAGTGCCTTGGTCAAGTGAGCCTCTTACCCTGAGGGAACAAGAGCATATACTCACTTCTTTTATAAGAATCCCTCCTATATCATGGCCCACCAAGATAAGCGTTGAATCTTCGTCTTGTTTTAACTTTTGGATCGCTTCAAGTAGTCGCAATGCCTCATCGCGAAGGCCGGCTCGGATGAAGATATTTGCCTGGTCCCCTAGAATGGAGTACTCGTAGGTAGAAACCCGTGCACTGTTATTGGAATACCACTCGATCCATTCGAGATATCCCCAGCCAGCCGAATCCGCGGGCTCCCAGGCTTTTTCCCGATCGCCTCCCAATCCATGGACAAAAACGATGCTGATTGATTAGCGGGATTTTCTGATAGAACGGGTGGATGGCAACTGTACTCGATCCGGTTCTCGGGGTCGGATGGTTCTTTGACCATATGAAGCCCTCCCATGATTCTCGGGTTTCACTGCGAGAATTCCGCAATAACGATAAAAGTGTCTGTCCAGTTCAATCCAAGAGAGATACCTCATATGCGAATGATTTTTCTGGTTGTAAGAAACAAGAACCCTCATCGGTAAAGAAACAACGATTCGATTTCAGGCTGAATGCTACTCCAGAGATCCTGGTTGCATGTTTGTGATGGGTAGACATGTTCATGCATAATATGTGGAGCGGGCACAATCCGTGTGATCTGCCCACATAGTTGCATACAATACAGCCTCGATTTCCTAATTAGGGAACATGCGTGATCTACTTTTCCCCCCTGGTGCACGCTTGCCGCCAGCCTCACTCATGTCCGAAGCTATTTTCCATCCTCGTTTGGGTCTAAATCTTGTCGGAAGATCACCTTGGAGAGCGATTCGAGATCCACCTCTTTCAGGCTGTCCACGTCATATTTGTGAAGCCGATTGGTAGGAGCCTTATTGGGATCATACCAAACATCATCATCCTCCGGATCATTTTCGAACATCGACCCAATCGTGGTGGCAGTGTCCACCTTGGCCTTCAAGGTCACCCTTGCCTTGAAACGCTCCATCGACTTTCTCTTCAACAAGATGACGCCTCGAAGGCTCGACACAACCCCAGTCTTTGTCGTGGGGTTCTCCAGCAGAGTCCACGAGACCGCATCGTCCGGCCCATAGTTGCGAGTCAGGTCAATGGATCCCCGAACCCGCGTGTGATGCACCGTCTCCCGCTCCACGATCCTTTCCAACCTGCAATCGCCCCCAACCTGCGCGCCAGTCACGCCCCCGCCGATATTCAAGCCCGCGCCCTTGACGAGCTGTTCGTTCTGCCTTGTTGGCTCCACACAGAACAGGCCATCGGGGCAGATCTGGACCACTTCTGGGTCGGGACGGCCCATTTCCATTCCTGCAAACTTGATCTTCACCCAGGCCTCCTTGATTCGTCGAGCGATCCCGTTGGGATGGAAGCGGAAATCAAGAACAATCAGCGTGTATAGGTCATTACAATCGGGAGTTAGATAGCCATGCACGACGTCTGCGTGTGTGCACCCGATATGCACCTTTCCTGGTCGGTGGATGATCCGGTCGCGCTGGTACGGGTCGTTGGGGTCATTGCGAATATGAAGGCTAGCCTCGTCGCCGGCGGGGTATATGGGAATATCCCAGTCTAGAGAGTCTTCGACTAGATTGGGGGACTCGCACTCCCCACCGGGACGACCTTTCTGTTCGAATGCCATACTTGATGGAGACGTACTTGTAATGAAAGATCCTTGTAGTAGCGAGAGATTGTCTGTAACGCACCCACACAGAGCGCTGGATTGTCCCCATCTTATAACTTTGGCGACTTATCCATGAGTCACGTCACTTGGTGTCTCTTACAGATGCATAGGGGCGGGAAAGTCGGATTGATCTGATGTGATTCAACATGCAGATGGGCTGCTAATGCAATAATACACATGATCTAGCTGACCGAGGATGCATGTGGCGGCTTCGAAAGAATATAGGAATTGGAGCGATACAGTGTAGGAATTTGCTTGTTGTTTCCCCCCGGGAGGCGTAATCGCCAACCCTCCCTCGACGACACTTACCAACACCCGTACTGTCTGTTCATCAAATCACATTTTTGTCATATCCAACAGTAGCACGCACTATGGAGAGCCTCGATGAGCAGGGACACTGGCACGGCGAGGACCCCTTTCGCGGGGAGTTACCTGACGCCTTGGAATCGGGAGTGGTGGATGATGAAGGGTCAAACTCACTGGTTGAAGAGATTCGCGAGTTGCCCGATGAGGGGTTAGACGATTGGTTTCAAGAGAAACGGGAAAGCTTTATCAAGGAGCTTGATGGCCTGGGAGACACCAGCAGCGACAATGAGCGACTTCAAGTGGTCAACGCATACAGGCCGTTTTTTGATGACACGTTTGATTCTCTGGTAGGACTTTCGACCAAGACCTGGCTTTTGTACTTTGCTTCGAATTCCAAGAGCCAAACTCCAAAGCCTTGGGAGCCCTGGTTAGTGAAGCATTTGTCCAGCGAATTTCCTCATCTTCTGCAAGAGTCCGACCCAGGCCGGTCGGAATGGGCACTTAAAAAGGCCGTCACCAAGAAGCTGGTGTGGTTCGTGGATTCGGTGCTTGAGAGTCAGATTTCAGACGAGGACTTGCAAAAAGCCTTGGGCCCGCCTGAGGGTAGCAATACTCGAACGAGCAATTGCATCCACGCTGCTATCCAGAACAACTTGGTCAAATCAATCACGCTACGGTTGATTGAAAGGGCAAGTGAACCGATTCTCTCAGCCCTCAACGAACAAGACTTGACACCATTACACATCGCTGTTGAATATTCTCGGTGTACACCTGCGCAGGTCCCCATCGTGGATGCTCTTATCAAACATGGCAATTCAGCGTTCGACACTCCGGATTGCAGGTCGGTCTACCAGTATCACTACTACACGAGGGACAACTATTCCAAGTCTCCTCCGGAACAAAAGCCCGGGGTCGGTAGGTTTCTATCACTTCAGAACAAGAAACTAGCACGTCTTATGCCACCCAAATCGACAAAACATGGCGATACCTCGGCCTTTCAAGGGGGAATAGATGAAAAGAAGAGGAGAGAAGACCCGAGTCCCAAGCCATATGACGGCACAGAACCGATAGACAAACGACAACGAGAGTTAAAACAGGAGGCAGAAAGAATGCGAACGCGCGAACCCATTCCGGGCGGCTTGAAGCGAGCACCCACGAACAGAGCAGACATACAGTCGCCTTCCAGGGACCCTCGTGGTGCTGACCGCAAACCACCTTTGGCGAACCAGAGCAGAACGGTATCGGTGCCCGATAACATCAAGTTTCGCGAAAAGGAGGACACGTACGCAAAAGGGGTGGCAGCGCAGCCATCCAAGCCTACTCAGTACCCTGGAAGACCACCTCCACCACCGTGTGCCGATGAGATCGCGGAAAAGTTGAAGCTTTACTATCTTCGTACCACCATTCGTTCGACTGGAAAGCCCAACACCTCTACATACAAGAAGGCAGGGGAGGTTCGCACTTACAACAGCGCAGAGAGGTTTCTGTATGGAGAAAACAACGAGCGTCAGTCCCCTTACTTGGAAAAATGGTAAACATGCTAATCCTCTCTCCTCAGACAAAAAGCTCTGTTTTGATTTCCCCGCAAGGCCGTTGGGCCAAGACGAAAAGATTAATTTCGACAATTTCAGGACAGCGTATCAGCATACCTCTTTTGATCCGGTGCTTTTATATGTCAAGTTCGGCCAGCTCGAGGTCGAGCTCCCGGATCCAGGTCCTCGAGGGGCAAAGTCTCGAACCAGGGCGACTGGGAAAAAAGACCTTCAATACTTGTTAGAATGGCTGGCTGACGAGAAAAAAGTGAAAAAGATCATTAAACTGATCGCAGACGACCGGAAAGATCTCCCACATCGCGATGAGACCATCATAGAATCCTTGCGGAAATTTGATATTGAAATCTTGGACTGGCAAAAGACCGATATTTGCCCTAGTGTCATTCAACAGGCAAGTCGAGAATGGACCAATCTTCATGAAATCCATCTTCAATGGAGTGGGAGCAATACTGCTCTGCGGGCCTGGAGTGAACCCAATGGTTTGCCAGCAATTAAGAGCTTGGATCGGGTCGTTTTGAATGAGGCCAATGTTTGTTCCCAACCCCCGTTTTCCCGCTGATGGGACGCTCATTGAATTCCAGGAGCCTCTAGACACGGACGGCTATGTCAATAGGCGAATCAATGAATTCAAATCCCGTTTGAACGAGAACAGGTCTGATGCGGATAAAGGTCTGCGTCACATCGATGTGCACGTTGAACGTCACCGATCCAACTCTTCCCACTCATCACGGCCTGATCCCTGGTCAGCTGGAAATGGCTCCAGGGGCAAAAATTCCAATACAAGAAACGAGCATCTGTGGTTGGAGACAATGACCAGATTCGTCAATAATATCCAAGAACTGAACCGTGAAGGACATGACCGTTTCGGAGCTGAATTCCCCAGAACGTACGATAGACAAGCAGACGTCCCCAAAGAGCTGACCAAGGACATTACAGTTGCCCTCATTGATGATGGGGTGGACTTCATGTGTACCCCAATCATCCAGAACTTGCTTGATGGAAGGAGCTTTCCGTCTGGGTTTTCAGACAACGACGTCCTTGGCGCCCCAGAACCTCCCTACCATGGATCTACTACTGGACACGGTACCGACATGGCGAAGCATATTGCTCGGCTCTGTCCATGGGTGAAGATCTTTGTTTGCAGACTTGATATGTTAGGTGGTGGGAATAGCGGAAAAATGAACTTCACAGCAAAGAGCGCTGCCGATGTAGGTGTTCTAATAGACCCAGAAATGCGAGTCCCAAGGGTGACAAATTTTTCTAGGCTGTGGAATATGTTGCCAGGCAAGGTTATGATATTATCTCTCTTTCCTGGACTATTGTGAAAGAGGTCAGTAAAAAGGAGAATAGCAATGTCCACGACTTGAACCGACTCACAACTGCCTTGAATGACGCGGCTGGGAGAAACACGCTCATATTCTGCTCTGCTCCCGATGTCGGCGAGACAGACGAGCAGGATAAATGGTATCCTTTCGACTGTAGCAGCGTCCTAAATATGTTCCGAATCGGTGCCGCACACAAAGACGGAACCAAACAAGGGATGGCGGGGAATCGAGTTGACTTCATCCTGCCTGGGGTCGATGTCTTTCTGAAAGAAAGTCACCGATCGATGCCTGGCGCGGACGATCGCCCGAGAACAGGTTCCTCTATAGCGACCGCTTTGGCCGCTGGATTGGCCGCCCTGATGATTCATTGTGTGAAGATGGCAGCTATTCTTAACTTCTTGAACGGCACCTCAAATGGGAGGGTAAATGCCGATACTCTCAAGGCCATCAAACGATTCCATGTTATGAAACAGGCTTTTCAAGGTTCTGAACGTCAAGGCAATCCATCAAACAACGACAAAAAAGTCAGTGTCAAGTCATTTTCGATGCAACCAAGCCATAATGCACCAAGCGACTCGTCATCTGGTTTGAAATGGGATGACATGGAAAAGGTCGCACGGGAACTGGTTTCTTATGGTATGGAGGAAAAAGCATTAAAGGACTGAGATAGTCGGGCCTGCGTTCTGGGAACACCCAATAGACTGTTCTTAGTCCTGGAGCTGAGATTTCTTCTTTCTGTATCCATCCACATGCATGCCTGTTCGGCTTTGATCGAACATTCGCTGAATAGTTGGGAAATATCCAACTCTGATTGTGAATTATTCTTGCAATGACTTGTATATAGTTCCAGGACGCTTGGGAGAAGGGGAGACAGTGCTACTATTACAAACCATAGTGTAGTGGATAGATAGCTATATAAGTCGCATGAGATTGTGATTATATATTCGTTGTAGCTAGAGGTGGAATGCATAATAAACAAGTAATTCATACTGTATAAACTATTTTTTTTTTTCTTTTAATAGCTAAGATTCCTCATGGCTTGCTTGATACTGAGAATTTGTCCCTGTTGTAATAGATAGATCTGTTTTTGGAGTTGGGAAGTAGTAAATAACAGGCAGTGAATGACATATTAATGAAATCTTCCACAACCTCTCCCATCTTCTCTTCTGCCCCTCTTCTTCTTCCTGCATATCCACCTCGCAGATTATCTTCATTTATCCCATTGTCCTCTTGGGATAATATGTCCCTTTTCAGCGAGTCTTCTGGCTTTTCTAGCTCCAACTCATCCCACATATCACCAAACATCTATCGAATCACTCCCCAAGCCACCACGAGGTTTCTCAACATCAATAATGCAGTGGCATTCATCCGGCACATGTTCGATCAATACCCAACTCACCAACAGCATTACATCTGCCTGAGCGATGTGACCGAAACTCAAGCTCAAGATCTCGCAAAAAAACGACAAGACCATTCTCTTCCCTCGATGAGGGTTACTTACTTCCCAGCGGACTCCTCACTCATAATAAAACTTGCTAGCCCTCTTCATGAGAGAACATGCGATCTGTTCCACGAGATCATGATACGCCAATACACCGCGGCTGGAATCACATCGTCTATTCTGATGCCTTCCGGAACAGCAACACGGCAAATGGTCGGTGGTGTCAGCAAACAGCCAGACAAGTCCTGGGTACCCTGGAATACACGCAATGACAACGATTACCCTTCCTTTGTGCTGGAGGTTGGGGACAGTGAGTCCCTGGACCGTTTACGTCTTGATGCGAGGATTTGGTTGGATACCAGCGGTGGCTGCACTCGTCTCGTTCTACTCGTATCCGTTGATAGGGCTAGGAGGACAATCGTGTTCGAAAGATGGCAGAGACTCGAAGATCGCAATCTACAAAACAACCAGCAGACGTTTACAGCACGGCGGGTGCAGAGGGTGACTGTGGACTACGCTCATGGAAACGTGGTGGCAGGCGCGCCACTGTTGCTTCCAATGGAGCTCATGTTCGACTCTCTCCCCATTGTCCCAGCAGACTCGCCTCCAGCCAATACCCTTTTTGCAGTCCCCGCGGCTGAACTCCAGAATTTGGCTGCACTTTTGTTCTGATTATAATTTTTTTTTCTTTTTAGTAATTAGCAGGTTTAGAATAGTCATGTAAAGTATAGATAGAAATACAGCTGTAAACAGCCTTAATAGTGGTTAGGTATTTTGTCAATTTCAAGTTGTAATTCGTAATTTTTAAGGCCATGCAAAATCCCAACCCCAGACCAAATAAGTAATAAAAACAAAGTGACCAAAGATGGGACGGCACTTGCGCATTGGCATATATACTGTGCAGACCATCTCCAAATCCTAATACCCCCCTTACATTCCTTCGTCCTCTCCAGCAAGCAGTGCTGCGTAGTCGTCTGCAGACGCAAAGGTAGGCAGGTGCTTGAGCTTGCGTCGCTTCTTCCGCTCCGAATCGTCCTTCTCTTGAGGAAGTTCCACGCCGCCCTCCATGTCAGATGGCAATTCCTCGTCACTTCCAACGAATGCCTCGTCGTCGGAGACATCCATGTCAAAGTCATCTTCGTCGTCATCGGAAGCTTCCTTCTTCTTGTCTGCCTTGGCCTTGGATTTGGCCTTGGTAGGAGGCTCTTCGGGCTCGAATCCTTCAAACTCGTCATCGGATTCGTCGTTGAAGATAACTTCATCGTCGTCACCTTCATCACCTTCACCAGCTTCATCGTAGTCAGCCTCATCAAACTCAGACTCGAGATCGTCCATGTCAAGATCGTCGTCCTCATCGGCTTCCAGCTCAGGTTTCGAATCAACCATTGCCTTCCAGATCTCCGATTCATTGTCACTTTCACCCTCGGCACCCTCTTCATCCTTTTCGACAGGGTCCTTGTCACCCTTCCTCTTGCGCGACTTGTCCTTGCTGCTTCCGACACGGCTGAAGTATTCGTGGAAGAAGACATCTTCGGCTGCCACATCCTCCGACTTCTGCTTCCAGAATGCCTCGGAGTTAAGCGGAACGTGCTGGGTTGCTCTTCCAGCACCAACCAATCTATCGCTCGTCTCACCACCGGCAAGCGGCTGCATGATGGATGTTCCACGTGTGTTTGCGGAGGCCTTGGGTGTGCGGTAGACGAAGCGGTCAAGGAAGTGTGTCAATGTGTGAATGGTCAAGTCAGGCTTGCCACTCATCGGTTGGTGTTCCAGCAAGTGCTCCGCATTGACCGACACAGATGGGTGGAAGTGTGACAAATAAGGCAGCTATTATGTCATTGTTAGTTCTATGTTCACTAGCCTGGAAAGCAAGCAAGGGGAGAAGAATATAAAACGTACCAATTCCCAAATACATGTCTTGTCAGCGTTGCTGTGCTCGGGGTCTCTCTTGCGGGGGTCATAGCCGTTCGAAGGTTTTTGTGGCTTAGCCTCAGACACCTGAGGTTCTTGCGGCTCATCATCTTCATCAGGAACATCCCGGAAAACTTCTTCTTCGTCTTCCTCATTCTCCTCTGGCTGATCAAACAGAGATTGAAGTCCTGCGAATGTCTTCTCCAACTCTCGGATCATGTAAAAGATACCGCAGATGAACGCCGGCTGGTGCAGTCCAAGGACCTGTACTATACGCTTCACAAAAGCCTTGACTCTTCGCACATTCAAGTCATTCTTAAGTGACTTGTACAATAGGTTGAGATACATGGACTGCTTGGATGATGTAGCAAGTCGAGGGTCGAGAAGGGATTCATACAACGTCCTGTAGAAGCGGTCGGCAGCAACTTGGTGAGATTGGGTTAGTTGTTGGATCAGCATCAGAGCCTGAATGCTGGTGTTGAAGTTTGATGAGTGAGTAATGCGGAATAGGGTATCAAGGTGCTTCGACAAACTGGAGAAACATATTAGCTATCAAGTTCACTCTGGGTTAGAGAAATGATACGTACCGCTCAGTGTCCGAGCTTGTAAATGGATAGGCTCGGTTGACACCTGTCAGGACTCCTGAGACGAGTTTCTCTCGCATTTCTTCATCCGGACTTTGGGCCTTTGGATCCTCCTTCTTGTTCTTGTTACCCTTGTGGTTTCCTTTGCCAAACTTGCCATGCTTTTTGTTGTCTTTGGCAGGCTTCAGCAATGCGACGAACATCGAGAAGTAGATGTCAAGTAGCTGAGCCGCGGTCTTCTCTTCTTTCAGACTTAGTACCGTTTGGTTCAGAGTGATAATGGCGTAGTACTTGGTGTGCTGGCTCTGACCTGGTCGGAAAAGCACTTCTTCAACAGACGAGATGATAGTCGGCTTCATCATAGGGTGTGCTTGTTCAAGCTGCAGGAGCAGGTACGATGCTCGCGACGCAATCTTCTTGCTTGGGTCACCAAGCTTGTTGACTAGCAGGCGAAGAAGGTTTGCTTCCTGCTCTGGCTTTTCCTTGAGCAACTCAAAGACATAACTCACGGCTCTGGACCGGGAGAACTCGATTTCGTCACTGCACCATACTTCCAGAATTTTGAGGACTTCGAAATATTGATCTTTGAGGAAATGCTCAAAGGCCCAGACGATAAGATGGCTCTTCCGGACACCGCCAGGAAGAGAGTCTTTCTCTGTCCATTTGGTGGCGCCTTGGAAAGCAGACACCAGGGACGGCTGGTTTGCAAACGACTTCAGTCTACGGTCACTCGGAAGTAATGTTCCCTGCGCGAACATATCCTTGAGCGACCTCAGAACTTCAACCGCCTGAGCACGACTCCGTTTCTTTCCCAGAGCAATCAGACTCTCCAATGACTTGGTGTTATGCAAAGGTGACTCTTGTACAGCGAGTGTCAATGCGGAGATTTTATCACTAAGCGTACCGGTCGACATAATGGTTGTGTAGAATTTATGCGATGACGAGGCAGACTTCTTCTGTGCCTCCGAATACTTCTTACTGTCGTGATCCAATAGTGATAGAGCATATTGATGCACGCGGTCCACCAAATCACGAGGAAGTCCTTTCGCTTGTTTCTCAGAAGATGGAATTGAAGGGAGGGGAGTCGAATACCAGTCAGACCGCGGAGAAACAGCCTATTGATATTGGGTCAGCTGAATGTTTGTTAATAGCAGATCCAGATACAACTCACAAGGGTCGAGTATTCCTTGGGGATCATGTTCTCAGGGGCCGATGGATCTTTCTTGGCCTTTTCTTTCTCTTTCTTGGATTCCTTCTCGGGTTGGACGAGTGGTGCATCAGGAGCTTCCTCCTCCACATCTGAGATCTCCTGTTCTTGATCCTCATCTTGCTCGCTCTCAACATCCTCATCGCTTTCTTCAGCGTCGTCATTTTCATCCTCCTCCTCCTCCTCCTCCTCCTCTTCTTCTTCACCTTCCTCCTCATCATCTCCTATGTCGTCCGGCACAACTTGACCAGCGGCGGCCAGCATACTGGACAATTCCTTGCGTAGAGAATCATCGCTCGACTTATTTCCTGATTTCTTCGAAGCGTCTGCATCCTCCACCTCAGACTCCGAATCAACGCCCGCAAGTAGATCGAAATCCTCCTGTGTACCACCAAGTGCCAAAATCTCCTGGCGTAGGGCATCGTTCTCGTCGCCACCATCCGATTTCGGTTGCTTGTTCTTCTCATGGTTCTTCGCTTCTTTCGCAATCACATCGCCATTGCGGTCCCGCTTTTTGCCTTTGTTATCGTTATCTTTCTTGGGAGTTGTCTTCGGTCCTGGTTTCGGCGCATTTTCCTTTTCCTTCTTGGGGGTATCATTAGAAGCGGCTTTCGGCTTGTTCTTCGAATTCTGCTTTGAGTTCTGGTCTTTCAATCTCTGTTCAATCTTCTGTCGCAGACCGGCAAATGCACCCTCCTGCAATTGAGGGAGAGCGTCCGCATTTGCATTGGTATCATTCGCAGCAGGTGCATTCTCTCCAGCCGCTCCCGAGGAGCGTCTTCCTTTATTCTTGGCCATGGAGATTGACCTGTTGAAATGCTCCTGTGTAGAACGTGATTTTTCTCTCTTTTTTTCTGCCGTCCAAAAAATTATCACGGCGACTGATAGACGCCGCCGGAGAATAGTTTTGCGAATCCCGATATCTGGGCGCTCGGACCAGCTCGTGAAGTTCTCCGGGCTCCGCGTACTCGGTGCTGTCCAGCTGGAGCTCTTGTGTTTATAATTTTCTCAATGATGAAGTTTTTGTGATTTTTTTCCTATTACTACAAACTCAAATCATATATTAATCATTTATTCCTCTCAAAAATCTTAATTCATGGTTTTGGGGCTTCGCCCGACTTCGGGCCGCGTACATCGAGCATACATTGGAGTGCTTCGGACTCCTCGGGCTCTAAAATGTGGATTTCACGTATGTATAAAAGTTGGAATTGATCCATTTATCCTATGTAAAGATGCTGAGCTTTGCAGACTGACGGTAGAAGTCGGATTTCCAATTTCTGGATCCCGACAGGAGGTATCTCGAAGAAAGCCGTCGAGGGTGAAAAAGGTACATTGCTTTCCAATTGCTATGTTGGATATTGCATTGATTAACATGTCATACAGAGGATGCCAATGACCTCCTGGTCAGAGGTGGTTTCCTTCGACAGGTAATACCCTCCCCTGACATGTTAAGACCAGATTCTGACTATTGCTCTATAGGCTTATTCCGGAGTCTTTCATATGCTGCCGCTTGGCTTGCGCGTACAGGAGAAGCTAGAGCGTCTTATTGACAAGCACATGCGATCAGTTGGTATGCACTGTCCTATCAATCGAACGTCTTCGGAGCTAGGTTGACGGTCTATAGGCGCGTCCAAGGTTTCTCTATCATCTATATCTTCACAAGAGCTTTGGGAGCAGTCAGGTCGATTGAAAGAAGGCTCAGAAGTAAGTGGCCCCAGAAACCTATATGAAAGCTTTTGCTAAATCGCCTATCCAGGTCTTCAAATTTCAAGACCGAAAGGACTCTCGTTTCCTTCTTGCACCTACTCATGAGGAGGAAATTACCACACTGGTAGGAAGTCTCACTAAATCATACAAAGACTTACCTTTGCGGGTTTATCAAATATGTAAGTTGGCAGTTTCCCTAAATAAACCAGTGGCTAACCCTTACTATAGCGAGGAAGTATCGAGATGAGCCACGACCAAGGCAGGGCCTACTTCGTGGGCGTGAATTCATCATGAAAGACCTCTACACTTTTGATTACAGCGTAGAGGAGGCACTGAAGACATATAAATCAGTCAAAAATGCCTACGTGAATCTGTTCGATGAATTGAAGATACCCTACTTAGTTGCTGCCGCAGATTCAGGCAACATGGGCGGAAGCTTGAGTCATGAATTCCACTTCCCCAGCTCGAAGGGTGAAGACTCTGTCATCAGTTGCTCGAGCTGCGAACATATCTACAACGAGGAGCTTGCGGATGGCAACGCCCACAACTTGGGGCCCGAGACTTCGCAGAGCAGCCACAAGCCCGGGTTTGACACTGAAGAAGCGCACAACGAAGGGTCACCGACAATCTCCAACGGTCTTTGGACGGCAATCTCAAAGGATAAAACAACCCTACTAAGGGGCTGGTACCCTAAATTCTCCATGCAAGATGCCTCCAAGGAGCCCGTGGAAAGGGAAGTAAACTCCCATGCGATGAAATCCATAGCTGCAGCAGCAGATATCGATCTAGATCTCAGTGTGGAGAACCCAATAGAGCAGTGGGCTAAACAAGCAAAATCGAATTCAACTCCCTTCCAACGCCCCAAGGTGGTCGACCTGTACGACACCCAAGTGCGAGTGTATAAACGCCCGCCACTAAGCGACTTGCTCGATGAGCTTAATTGCTCACCCGATGATATCGAATACACCCTGCTTGACCGCTTCCCTGGTACTCAAAATGGCCTTAACCTGGTCAAGGTCCATGACGGTGACAGATGCTTTAAATGTGCCGATGGGTCATTAAAAAGCCATACTGCGGTTGAACTCGGCCACACATTCCATCTTGGCACCCGGTATAGCGACGTTCTACAGGCATCAGTTATGGTTGACCGGTCATTACTCGGCAACTCTTCGAAGGACCAAATCGTGCCAATGGAAATGGGCTGCCACGGCATTGGAGTTTCGCGTATGATCACCGCAGTGGCCGACAGACTTGCCGATTCCAAGGGTCTTAACTGGCCGCGCGCGATGGCACCATTTGAGGTCATCGTTGTCCCTGCCAAGGGGCTAGAGGCAGAAGCAGAAAAAATCTACGACTCACTCACATCAGACCAGACCGCCCCCGTCGATGCCATCCTGGATGACCGTGACAAGCAAATGGGCTGGAAGCTCGGAGATGCCGATCTAATCGGATACCCTGTGATTGTGGTTGTTGGGAAAGGATGGAAGAAGCAGCAGACACTGGAAGTCCAATGCCGTCGGTTGGATAACTTGCGAGAAGAAGTACCTTTGGACCAGCTTTCAGCCTTTGTTCGATCTCTGCTGGAGCGAATCTAAGACTCTCTGGAGCTATGAATTCCCCTCATGTACAAAAATTGTACTTTTAGCAAAACCGTGTATATTAATAGTCAATGCCAATACCCCCGACTCAATAAAATGGCCTCAGCATCATACCTAGTGACTGCATAATATATGGTGCGTGGCGATATCCGTACAATGGCAAAAATGGCCGTGCACAAAACCCACCGGCCACTATCTCCACGCCCCCGATCTCTATCAAAAAAACAACCTGCCGAAGAAACAATCCGGTGCAAGTCCAGCCCACCACGGCAGACTCTATTCCATACCTTCACAATCACTGCGGATTGATCCACGAGCCTTTAACAGAGCTCGTAGAGCTTCGTTTTATCTCGATAAAACCCCAATTACACAAATCCCAGGGCGACTATTACCCTCAAAATGGCACCCTCGGACACCCCCGCATCAGGCGGGACAGCCCCAGGCACAGGTAAAGCAAAGCTCAAATGCCCCCAAAACAAGATCCAAGCACCATTCCACTGCTACTGCGAAGAAATAAACTGTAACATGCAAACTAACAAAATGCATCATTAGTCAACATTGCCTCTCTCTCCGTCCCGCAACTCCGCGCCCTCCAAACCCGCCTCACCACCGAGCTCGAGCATTTGACATCCTCGCATGCGAAGCTGCGCGCCGCGCAGTCGAGGTTCCGCGACTGTGTGCGATCAATCAATGAAGGTGTTGTTGGGTCGGAAAAGAAGGGCACGGACGGGAAGGATGATATCTTGGTGCCCCTGACCAGCTCCTTGTACGTTAAGGGCAAGCTTGCGGACCGGGAGAAGGTTCTTGTGGATGTAGGAACGGGATTCTATGTTGAAAAGGTACGTTGGATCTCATTTGCTTGCCTGTGGTGAAATCCTTGCCATGGCGCTAGGGTTGTGATATTGGAGTGGAAAGGACAATAGCTAACCTGCCAATTTCTTTCTTTTCCAAACAGACGACAGCAAAGGCAACGGAATTCTACGATAACAAAGTGAAGGATCTGGACGCTAATCTTGCGGAGTTGGAGAAGATTGTGTCGACCAAGAGCACACAATTGAGAGTCGTTGAGGATGGTAAGTACTATCAGAGTGACGAGCCATCTTTGAGATACCGGCGCATCAAATCCGTTCTATTCATAATCGCTAACCTCAATATAGCCCTGAGACAAAAGGTCCTTAGCGGAGAAGCTACCCCATCAGGTGCTGGATAAAGCTGTTTCGGAACAGAGTTTGGGTGACACAGAATCGCCAATTCTTCAGCAGAAAAGATATTCTAAAAAATGAAAACAGAATTTGAGCCAGCTCATTGCTTGGAAAGAAAAATGCTTTAACAATATGCGCATGTAAGCCTAGATCAACGAGCCTCCATCGTCACGTTAATCATCACGCAAAGAGCCTAATCCTACACCCAAAGGCTTCCATTGAATGTCATTCTTAACCACCACCCCCAAATCCGTATCGGATTAGCAAAACCCAATTTAACCTACCATAGAGATAGAAAGTACGAATAAATTTGGAAATCGACGCGAATGAAAAAAAGAAGAACACGTGAAAAGAGAAAACAATGAGAGCGAAAAAGAGACGAACTTGAGCTTTGCAGGGCCCCACAAAGGGAGAAATTTGATAGACAAAGTCAGTCGCTATTTGTGACAGTTATTTCGTCACATGCATTGAAGTTGGCTTCATTCCGGTTAGAACAAAGTACCCAAGTCAGCATCCAACAGCCCAGCAAGATCCTTGGCGTCAATTGTAGGTGAAGAGCTGTTCGATAAAACTTGGCTATTTAGAGCACCTGGGACAGCCGAAGAAGACCCAGAAGCCTTGTTGGCACTGCCCTGAGGTCTATCTGGGGAAGAAGTCTGCTCCGGACCAAGAAGCTCAGCGACCTGTTTGATCAAGTTAATGAAATCCCAGAAACCCAGGTATTTGTCTTCCGGTCCGGGCTGATTCTTAGGCGGAAAGAATGTGTCCAGGTTGGGATTATAACGCGCGGAATGACCGACTGGCAGATTTGCATGCTCTCCGAGAAGATTATCCCAATTAGGATCGAATACGGACGCACCCCAGGAAGTGGAAGGGTTTGCGGATATGTGACCAGTTATTGTTGCTGGACTTTGCCCCGGGAAGGCCGGGGTACTAGTGCGACTATACTCATCATAGCGGGCAATCTCGAAGATATACTTGGTCCCCTTTAGTCGATATCGAACGGCGGTTTTCTCTATGAACTTAGACACTGGGGCTGAAGCAGGGAAGGTAACCTTCCTTTGAGGCTTTGCAGATAAATCGCCCATGGTGGCAGTACGTTGAAAACCTATGGAGTGCGAGAACGATTTCAATGCTGTATCGATCGAGGATGTTTCATGAAACTCCAGAGACTTGATCTCGACCTGCCAATCACATCTACCAATAATTGAGATTTACTTCATTTTTGGAACAAAGAATGATAAAATGACTTACCTTTCAAAATCGATAACCGCAAGTTGAAGAGGGGACCGTTTGTGAGTGGACTGGCCACTCTTACGAGGTCGAAGCCATCGGCGCTGAGTTATCTCATATTCCTGAGCGCCAGGGCTCTTCGCAAATTCTGCCTCCAGCCGAAGGAGAGCATTGTTGGACCCCAGGAATTCGAAATTCACAGAGTAGGCTGGCTCGGCATGTTCCAGAGAGTGTGAGGTACTTTCGTATGGTTCAAGAAGCTTGGTAGCCTTGAAACATTTAGCGAGCAGCTTATCTTGGCCAATACTCAGTCTGAAATGATGGCGAGGTTAGAACTACCGATAACTTGACTTATGGGGAGATACGTACCCTGGAATCAAGCGGCCCTTTGTTTGTTCATGAAGTAGCATCTCTCTGAACTCTTCAAATCCGTATGACGGTTTGTCATCTGCAGGAAGCCGGTACTCGTCAAGTACAAAAGAGCCAATATTGACACGCATTCGCAGATGCCCACGAACGAAGACAACGCCTCGCAAAGCTTTTTCGATGGCACTGAGCAGACGAGCGTTATTCTTTGATTGTATCAGTGCAAATCTACCACGCCAATTCTCTAGCTGAAAGTCATGCAGGCGATCTCCCTGCAGAAATGCTTTGGCAAAATGTTTGTTTTTCTTAACCACAATCCTCCTCATAGAATTTATCTCGGGAGGTTCGACAACGTAAGCCTTGGATTTGATGTTGCTGTTTGCCATGGTTTCGCTCCACTTTGTTCTAAGGAGATGAGCAATCTGTCGCATCGTTTCATGGCTTTGACCAAGAGCGCAGATATAGTCCGGCAGGTCTTTTGGGACGAATATATGACATCCGAATCTAGCCCGTATGACATCAAGAGCTTCGAGCTGTGTGCCGAGAGATTCAGTCAAGGAGGGTCCGTCTCGGGGCCAAAGAAAGAGTAACTAAGGAAGTGAGAGAAACTCAGCATTCAAAGGTGGAAGTCAAATGTTTCGGGATACTAACCTGCTCCGGGAATGCCGATTGTACTTCTGGTGCTTTCTTAAGCTGCTGTATCATGACCTCACGCCTTTCCTTCAGTTCGATATCTACCTCTTTGTTTGTTGAATGAGCATTGATCTTGGTCCATTCAACCTTCTTCTTGTCGGGGAAGACATTGCACTTGGCAATGAGCCTTTGAATCAGCTCTCTAGCAGCCGTAACCTGCGTCGAGTCGCCCCATAAATAGATAACCTACAATGTTGTCAATAAATAATTCATGCTTTGAAACGGTTGAGATGACATACCTGATCAGTGTAGCCAGGCGGCTTGACGTGGGCACCTGTTTTACGACAAATGTCTTCGAAAGCCTCAAATCGCCCTTGGGTAATCGGGGTCTTTCTTCCCAGAGCTGTTGTCCTTGCCACACCAAAGAATCTGTATAAAATGTGTCAGATTCTATGAGTACTGGCAAAAGCCCGGTGTTACATACTCGTATTTGAATTGGCCAAAAGCCATGGGCAATCTCACAGCACCTTTTAGTTCGAATGGTTAACTTTTGCATCAATACTGAGTTATGGCATTGCTGACCAGTGGGTTGAGCTCCAGATCTCCATTTCGATTTTGCAGGAGAGTCCTTGAAAAGACGGCTTGGGTTGCGTGAGGCTGCAGCCCTAGGCTGAGAGCGCACCGCACCAAAATTTCCACGCGCCCTTATTCCCCGAAAGGTTCCTCTGCCTGTAGGAGCACTTGGAGGCACAGAAGGCTGTTGTGCTGCTTGTCCCTGGGTATTCTTTCTCTGCACAGCTGCTTCGCTTCGAACGGGCCCCCTTTGTGTGGATGCTCGGGTCTGAGTTGTCATCAGACGTGGTGCCGCTCCACGAGCTCTGGAGGTTGCTCGACCATAGCCTGGTAACGCCCATTCTAAGATAGACGTTAGCTGAAAGCTGATTAAGATGGTTTGAATTAAAGGGAGGAAGTGGGAAGATAGTGGGGGTTTGCTAGCAGGTATTGAACTGCTTCTACCTTGGGCACCAGAAGTTTCATGACTGTATAAATGTCAGCAAATGCAGAATTCAATAATCATGCTCTCAGACATACTCCATTCTTGTCAAAATGCAACGCACATTAAATGAAAGGGAAAGAAGGATGTGGGTTAAAGAGACGACGAATTCCCAGGCGATGACACAGGATGAATCTTGAGACCTGTGGATAATACGTCGCCCCAAAAATGGTCGAGGGATGGAAGAGAAGACCAAGAAAAGGAAGGGAACAGAACCTCGAAGAGATATGTTTCTTGAGATCTCCCTGAGAGGTAGTTTGAGAGAAGGAAGAAAAAAAATGTTGGGATGCAGGAGACAAACGCAGACGCCGAGAGAAACAAGAAGGACCACCGTGGATGGATGCAGAAAGTCACGGAAGGCAGGGATTCTGTAAACCGTTACACCCAGCTATAAGGCTTATTCAATGAATATAGTTAATGCTTTTTGAATAGGTTGATTAGCATATGATTATCTGTACAAAACTGGACAGATCATATCTCTCCTCATGCTAGCTGGTTAATGGCAGTCTGGATAAACGCCAGCATCGGGTATTTGCATTGATCTGCATTCACACATAGCAATTGCAATTCCAAGGCTTCGGAAACACAATAAGTCATCTCCAGATGAATGACTGCCCAAGTAAATTGAGAATGAATTGCGAGTATTCAATAACGACCAGCTTCCACTCCGGACGTACTTTGATGTAGATCTCAATTGCGGCCTCTGATTGGTGGACAGCTGATATAGCGCGCTAAACCCAGATAGGATCAAAGTGGATAACGCGTGATTTCAACGCGTCTTTTCCTTTTTCCGCTCCTTCGATGCTGTCCCTTTCAACCATCCCATCCGATTGATTCTGAATTGTCGACGGCCATTGGACGGTCAAATGGCGCTGGATATTGCAGACGAGTCTGAAAGCTTGCAGGGTCGCAAGCAAAATGCCCGCGAGCGTGCTCAGCAATGGATGACCAAAGGTGGTCTCGTTCGGGACGATTCCGATGACGAGCTTGGTGAGGAAGACCATCCATGGGATTGGATATACGACACGGGAAAAGAGGACACAAAGACAGAAGAGTCGAAAGAACCTGCTGCGAATGATGCCGAAGAGAAGTCGAGCCGAAGACGCTCCGCCCGCCCTGGCGCAAAACGCCGACGCACGATCATTGGGGCCAGAATGAATACATTCGAATGCAAATTGGGCCAGGTTGTGTTGCTCAAATCACCAGAGCCTGGAAAAGATTGGGTTGGAATTATCACTGAATTCGTGGAGGAAGAAGATGAGGAGGAGGAAGGGGGGGTGTTGAAGTCTGCCAACATAATGTGGTTTGCCTCTCCAGACGAGTTCATGTCGACAAAGAACAAGAAGCGAACGGATGCGTTGCCAAATGAACAGTACTTGACAGCCGACTTCAACGCCAATCCTTTGACTTCCATTAACGGGAAAGCTACGGTTATGTCCAAGGATGCCTTCTTTGCCAAGTACCCAGATGGTGCACCTCCAAAGAACAAGGAGGACTTGGCAGAATACAACAAATGCATTATTTGTCGAAGGGGCGTGAACCAGCTCCAGGGAAGATATACCGATGAGTTTGTCTGGGAAGATGTATATCGAGAGGATAGGATTTTTGATCTCATTGACATGATCAAGGATGGGCTAAAAATGGCCAAGAAGCGCAAAAACGTTGACAATGATGTGAGGGACCGTTCGAACTTTTGACAGAAACTAGTGCTAACCTCACTAAATCAGTATGTCGATACTAAGGATAAGGATGATGATTTTGCTCCTGTAACTCCGAGAAAAAGACAAAAAGTGGCCTCATTGGGAGCCACTCCACAATCATCACGACGTCAAAAGCCCCTTACGACACCAACCCACAAACGGTATTTGAAATCTGCCTGGATATATGATACACAGTGCTGATACTGATAATTTTACAGGATCGTAGTCAAGAAGCCCATCGAGTTTACGCCTCTAGGCACTCGTGTCCTACCTCCCACACATTTCGATTCCCCTTATCGTCAAGCACGCAATCTTCTACATGTCTCCACGGTTCCTACTTCGCTCCCCTGCCGAAAGACAGAATTTGAAACGGTGTATCATCATCTCAGTTCGGCAATTTTGGAAGGCACTGGCACTTGCATTTATATCTCAGGAACACCAGGCACTGGGAAAACGGCCACTGTCCGTGAAGTTGTCGCGCAGCTTAGTTCAGCTGTGCATGATGAAGAAATGGACGACTTCATATTTTGTGAAATCAACGGAATGAAAGTCACTGACCCTCATCAATCATATTCTTTGCTCTGGCAGCACTTGAAGGGTGATCGAGTGTCGCCCTCCCATGCACTCGAACTCCTTGAAAGAGAGTTTTCGCATCCCTCCCCTCGACGAGTGTCATGCGTTGTCCTCATGGACGAGCTCGATCAATTGGTTACCAAAAACCAATCGGTGATGTATAACTTCTTCAACTGGCCTGCCCTCCGTCATTCTCGTCTTATTGTCCTTGCCGTTGCAAATACGATGGACCTGCCTGAACGAACATTGAGCAACAAGATTTCCAGTCGTCTCGGCCTAACCCGTATCACATTCCCGGGTTACAAGCATAATGACCTCATGGAGATTATAACTACTCGATTAGCTAGCGTGCCAGGAAACATTGTCGATGCGGATGCTATCCAATTCGCGAGTCGAAAGGTGGCTGCGGTTAGTGGTGATGCTCGACGTGCACTGGACATCTGCCGTCGAGCTGTAGAGATTGCAGAGCAGTCCAGCGAAGCTGCAAATGCCAAGGAATCGAACGGAGACCAAATGGACATGGATGAAACCGAATCCTTACCACCAACACCTACCAAAACTCCAGCTCGTAAAGAGAGAGCCATGCAAAAACAACTCCAGTCCCCCCAGAAAAAGCAGCCCGAAAAGAGCTCTGCTGGAAGGGTCACTATTGCCACAATCAAACAAGCTATTCAAGAGGCCACCTCAACCCCTCTCCAACAATCCCTCCGTTGTCTCCCTCTCTCTGCGAAACTCTTTCTTGCTGCCATGCTGGCTCGTGTACGCCGGACCGGTATTTCAGAATCCACATTCGGAGACGTTCTCGACGAAGCCAAGCGGATTGCTGATGCTGCTGTCGCGGTGGCGGGCACAGCTGGCGCAGGTGTAAAAGAATTCCTGCTCGGAGGTGGCAGCAACGCTCGTGTGAAAGCCTTAAGCTTCGCCTCCATGGAACTAATGAATTCAGGCGTTCTCGCTCTGGAACACGGTGCAGGAACCAAGGGACCGCTTGGAAGCTCTGCCATCCCAAGCAGGGGTGATAGAAGCAGCAAAGTCAGGCTCCGTGTTGCACCAGAGGACGTGAGGGCCGCTTTCCGGGAGGATGATGAAGCTAGGGGGCTGGGACTGGGAACTGATCAATAATTACTCATAATATGCCGATCAGGCCATGGGGTTAGGGTGCATTGTTTTTGGCGTGATTTGTCGATGACACTACTGTATGATAGATTGTATACAGGTTTTACCTACTGTTTCTGTAGAGCAAATGATACCCTTGCTGTTTTCACGCATTGCATGGATGGAAATTGGCGTTGGTCTACCCGTCCCATAAAGACAAGTCCTAACCAAAGTCTTGTATGATACACATAAACGAATATTCTTTTTGTCAGACCTTTTTCCAAATGGAAATGCCCATACCATTATAAGATGACAGTTACAAAAGTTCGAAAAACAACGCTGAACTCCATATAGTGCGTAATAAAGAAAAAAAGAAATTCCCGACTCGTACATTCAGACACCAAAACCATGACGGGGTATAAGGATGATACTGGACAATCAATCTAATATCTCTGTCGTCCAAGGGTAGGAGCCCAAGTGACAGGATGCGTTTCTGGTGTTGCATCCTCATCTTGTTTCCAGACCTTGATGGTCTTGTCGGCCTCTCCGGTAAGCAGACGCAAGCCGGTCCGATCAAAAGTAGAAGCCATGATACCAGCTTCGGCATCCAACGAACCGGACTGTGCCATGGTGTCAATAGACTGGAAGCGGTAACCGGTTTTCCAGTCCCAGAACGACATGGAGCCATTGTCGCCACCAGAGAAGAGCACATTGTCTTCGTTGACGGAGAGCGAGTTGATAACGGCGTTGTGGCCTTCGAAGTTTTGCATAAAGTCTCCCTCGGGACACTTCCACTGCTTGATGCTGCCGGTACTGGCACTGGCAAAGGTGAACTCCCGGGGGTGGGTGGTGAGGTTCCGTACACCCTTCTTGTGATGGGTCAAGACACCCATGGACTTTCCGGCAGCAAGATCCCACATGCGGACTGTTGCATCCAAGGAACCGGAGATAATCTGCGGGTCGGCTTCCTGGCATTGAATGTCGGCGACTGTACCTTTGTGGCCAGTCAGAACATGGACATTGCTTCTTGTTCGCATATCCCAGACTCGAGCGACACCATCCCGACCACCAGTGACTAAGAGATCGAGTCGGGGATGGAGGGCAAGCGTATAAACTCCGCTAAGATGGCCGTGGTAGTGACGGATGACCTTGTTTGTTTCCAGATCCCAACACTTGACCATTTTGTCTTCTCCGCATGAAAAAAGGTAAGGGTGTCGGGGAGACACGGCCAATCCTCTAACAGTAGAGATGTGACCTGTGAGAGTCAGGCGCAGAGCACCTGTTGCAAGATTCCAGATTTTAATAGTCCGATCACCAGCACCACTAGCAAACCATTCGTTGTTCGGTTCCACCGCCAAACTTCGTACCCATCCCAAGTGTCCCGAAATCACTCTCATCAGCTTCCATGGCGCGTGCCAGTCGGGTCTCTGCTGTTTTGTCGCCGAAGGTCTCTGGATAAGACTCTTTGGTTCATTTTCACCGCCAATACCACCGGGAGTTGGGCCAGGAGCCTTCTTCACAAGGGACATCGAAGAACCACTTTGATCGGCGCGTGCCTGGCCTTGGGCTTGAATCTTGGGGCGCTTCGCGCGCCCAGTAGCAGCAGCCTTGGCCTGCTTTTCCGCCAGCACCGGTGGTAATTCCTTCACATCTTGGTATTCTGCCTTGCGTCTGTATGAAAGACCGATCGAGCCATCAGCGGCTGAAGGTGTGACCATGAGATAATCGGGGCCGAAAAGCTCAGCTGTTCTCTTTGCGGACCTGCGCACGGCTTCATCGGCCGATATCTGCGAAGGGATAACGTCCATGGTTTCGTAGATTAAAATCGAATGTCGTCAATTAAAGCGTTGAGGACCAGCCGGGGTTCTGATCTGGTGAAAAGGTGCGGACGTGTCGTGCGCGTTCAGCCCTCTGCGCAGAGGGGTTAGGCTAATTTGTGTAACTGAGTAGCGCTACTTGCAGCGTTAAAAATGCGATTAACTGCAGAAAACCCCAAAATTATGAAGGTGGTGGGGAGATGGTCGATGGTAAAGAAATCGTCCCGCTGAATTGAATTCGGCGCCTTCGACTTTTGGCGGAGGTTCGCAACCTTTGCTGCCTGAGGCGACAAGGCCACGATGTCAGGTGTCAACAGCTCCCCGCCGTATCTACAGCTTCTCTTATCTTGGCTGCTTTGTTCCTATCAACACGCCGCAAATCGCCATGGATCCCAACCACGACGCCAAATTTCCTTTGCATGAAGCTGCTCGGGAGGGCAAAAGTAGGTCTTCGTTCTAGCTTCTATTAAATAAACATACTCTTTAACTGGTAACAGCTTCAACTGCCGAGTCTCTTTTGAATGTGAGTACTTTGAACTGCCCCGCATGGTCTGGTTATTTCGTAGTTACCTCAACTTTTATGCGCTCTACTATACATGATTTTATACCAAGCTTACTGACTATTTTAATAGGCAAACCCCAAGCTAGCTTTTGCCAAAGATGATGATGAACGGCTTCCTATCCACTGGGCCGTGGCATACAACCACCTCTCCATCGTGGAGATGCTAGTAGCCGTCAAGAACTTCGATCCCGATGTTGAGGTTAGCTAGCATTTTCTACCCCAAATCACTCAAGTTACTTCGTGAAGTGCTGACAGCCTGATACAGGATGCATCGGGCTGGACTCCACTGATGATTGCAGCCAGTCTGAGGGATGCCGAAGGAGACCCCATTATCGAATTATTACTGCGGAAGGATGCAGATGTAACCGTCAAGAGTGGTTCTGGCCAGGTAAGCTCCTGATCATCTTGCATAAAGAATACACGAGACATTCTTTGTATGCCGAGGAAATCTAACTTCATATATTTAGAACGCCATCCACTTTGCAACTTCCAAAGCCAATATCTCCACCGTTCGCATCCTCCTCGCCAACAAGTGCAGCGCTAGAGTCAAGGATAAACGGGGCCAGCTGGCTCTTCACCGTGCGGCAGCTATCGGGTCTATCCCTATCATTAAACTTCTTCTCGAGGAAGGTAAAAGTCCTGTCAATGCGACAGACATGGATGGTTTGACGGCTTTGCACCACGCCATTTCTGAGGGCCAAGGCGATGCAGCAATAACATTACTCAAAGCTGGTGCAGAAGTTGATAAGAGAGACTCCGATGGTCATCTGGCGATTGACTTGGCCCCGGATGCGATGGTAAGATTGATTCCCATTTCTTTCTAGCCGTGACGGAGCTGACGAAATGGTCAAAGGTCCGGAAATATATCACGCAGACAGCTGAGAGAGAAGGCATAGACCTGTAGGTCATCAAAAGCTATAACTCTGAAGGAGAAACATTTCCATGAGTTTGCCTCGTGCCAAAGTAAAGGAAGAAGTAACAGATTATTCATGGATACCCAGGGCTCGGGATCTGGCTGAGGGTGGGTAGAGAAAACCCACCCAAATCCCGCTATGGTCGTACTAATAATTAATGATGAGATATTGCTGGGAACACTGCCACGCGGCACTGGTTATAACAGGACAAACCAGAGAGTGTTGAGATTTCCACTAGCTGTCTCTTCCATTAAGTCAGCCTAATATTTTAACATAATCCACTATCGAACCGCGAAGTTTTCGCTTGGCACCATACAATTTGAAGCTTTTCAACTGCCAACGCCATAAGTTTATACTATACAGGACATGAATATATAGCTATTTAATAGGGCAATTTCGTCTTTTATGAGAAACAATATATCACACACTGATCATCCGCAAAAACCGATCACCCAAAGCATTAGCAGCCATTGGATTAGCACCTGTCACTAGCTCCCTGTGAAGCGTAGTGTTTCCGATCTTCTCTCCAGCCCCCTCGACCATCACGGCGCCTTCATTCCTCAAGGCCGACTCAACCTTCTCAATTTCCCCTCCCATCATGGTCTCCATCGCCTTTTCTTCAAGATCACTCCAGGAAGTGATCCTATACCCATTGTAAACGAAAGACCCATCTCCCGCTGCCTTCGTGCTGAGAAGGGCATACGGACCATGGCATATCGCAGCTGTTGGTTTATTCTCCTGATGGAAATATCTGAGTATCCGACCCAACTCTGGATCATCTCCGAGATCCTTTAGCGGCGCATGTCCGCCAGGGATAAACACCCCCGCAAACGTAGCCAGCTCTTCGTCGCTGATGGAATCGAATCTTCGAGGGTGATCAAACCCGTTTTCTCGTTTCAGTCGATCGAGAAGTTCGTTCTCTCTATTGCGCTCGTAGAAGCATCCAGCAAAGGCAAGGAGAGATTCGCTGTTGGGGTCTGGAGTCGGTTCTTTGCCCTGCGGAGAAGCAAAGGTGATTTCATGGCCAGCCTCGAGCAGCTTTCGCACTGGTTTGGCGAGTTCCATTAAGAAGAAGCCAGACGGTTGGTCGACTGTTTTGCCGGCGTCGGGGCCGCTGGTCTTATGGATCGGGAAGGAGTTGGCATCACTTAGGATGACAAGCACTTTTTTGGTAGGCATTTTGGGTCAATTTCTCTTTCAGCACAGAATTGAATTGAATTGAATACAACTTTATGGTGAGAATATTGTTCTGCGTTTGTTCGTTGATCTTGTGGCCCCTTATAACTAACTGTATGGGTTGTTGATGATATGACATTCGGATGACGCATTGATGATCCAGGTAGCAGGATAATACAGGGAAAGAAAGAGAACAGAGTCTATGAACTTCACCAAAGAACCGGTCTTGTTGAGACAGCTTGAACGCCAGACTTTCTTGGACTGATCTTTGCTCTCCAGTGGATCATTAACAAGGTGACGTTCTCGCCATTGGGGCGATTCCAGTCGACAGGTACTTGGATCTCTCCGACATCGTAGTAGTTAAACCTGGTAATTATTATGCCATTTGATTGAGGGAGTCGAGGAATTTGAGGGGACCTTCACGCCCCAGGGCTCTCAAGGCGCGAGTTAAATTAATCGAATTTTGTTTCGGGCATCAGATCATAATATCTTAAAGAAAAAAGTATACATCAACCCATATCATCGTCCACTTCCGGATAAGCCCTCCGAAAATGGTATTTACAAAGAAATAAAAACTGTCTAAACCATATCAATACCTTATTTCATGGTACTGTCCACCAGTTCCCGATAGATCCTCTTCAGATCAGCAATATCAGCTTCAAGTTCTTCCACCTGCTCGCTCTTTTCACCGAGCATCTCGAGCGTGGTTTGGTATCGTTGGTCCAGCTCTTCGATTCGGCTTTCTAATTCGTGCACACGAGCGCCGGAAGACTTGTTTTCTTCAGTCTCCCGCATTAGGTCGACAACTTGGTTTCTGGCCTCATCGCGTTGTGAAGTAATACGTGCCAGTTCATCCTTAGATGCAGCCCGTTCACTCTCTAGCCGGCGGACCGTGGCGCTCATTCGCTCCACCAGCTGGACAGATGGTCCAGCTCCGACGGTAGACTCAGAAATTATGTCGTTGATTCCACGGGAATGATGGGTCTGATTAGCACCATACACCGATGGGGCGAATGGTGTTCCCGATCTACTGAGGAAATCATCCTGTTCGAACGCAATCGAAGGGGGCTCCATCATCGATGTGTTCATTACACCGTTTGCAGCCGGAGGTGAAAGAGTACCTTGTGTGAACGAGTTCTGGCGTGGAGGAGTCCCAATATCGGGCGACGTTGGTAAGACTGACGAGCGACGACTGGTAGGCCGATAGTCTGAGAAAGATCCTGCGGTGTCGAGATTACGACGATTCAATGCAACGGGCGACTCTGTACGCGACTGTTGGAGGAAGCCTGCAGGTGGAAGCATTTGTTCACGCCATTTCGCCCGTTCCTCCTCGAGTTTCTGTGTCCACACTGCATCACTGGCTTTCTTTTGCTCGACCAAATCCTTCTGAGCCGAGACCAGGTCATCAGAAGCTTTCTTGAGTCTCTGCTCCGTTTTCTGTAGCTCTTGCATGCACTCTTCGAGTTTGCTTTGAAGGTCATGCTCGGTCTCTCTGGCGGTCTCAAGTTCCTCTTCTGCCTTTTTGGCTTTGAGATTCTGAAACAAAACCATTAATACTTCAGAACAAACCGATGCTGGATTATTAGACTTACCACTTCTCGTATCTTCCGTCGCATATCCCCTTCTCGTCGTGCGACATCATCGCGCTCTTTCTCGACGGTTGCTAATCGTGAAAGGAGCGAGCCCTCTAGAGTCTGCCAGTTTTCGCTGGCGACAGCATACTGAGTCTGCAAGGTCTCAATCTGCCGTAATAACTTGGCTTGGGCATCTCCTGTAGCTCCGGAAGAAGCCTCCTCTGCTCTTGAGCGAAGACTTTCCATCTTGCTTTCCAAAACAGATTGCTCATTCTTAAGTTCGGCCTCTAGCATCCGGGATTTCTCCTTCTCTTGCTCAATGCTTTGCTGAAGGTCACCGACCTCTCTTCTTAAGTTTTCCTCGCTAAGGTCATGCTCAACCTTGCTACTTGATAGTTCCTCTTCCAACTGCGTGGTCCGTTGCTTTTCCTGTTCCAGAGCATCTGACTGAGCTTTAGCTTCGGCAGCTTCAGCACGGGAGACTGCTCTAGCAAGTTGGGCTTTCATTTCTGAAACTGTTTGGCTCAATGCGTTCCTTTCGCTTGTAACGGCATCAAGATCTCGAGACACTTTCGTTTGAGAGGATAACGATTCATTCGCTCTCTTCTCAGCAGCTTCAGCACGTTTGACCCTAGCTTCCAAGCTTGCAATGTCCTTTTCCAGCTTGTCAGTTTTCTTCTTGTCCTCGGTTTGGGTTCTTGTGTTCTCGATGAGCTGCTGTCGAAGTTTCTTGAGTGCAGTCCTGTGGTCCATTTCTGATTTTGACAACTTCTGCCCTTCCTCAAGTAATAATGCTATCTTTTCGTCTTTCTCCCGGAGCTGCTTTTCAGTACTCCCGGGATCAGCAGTTCTTGCCGCGTTCTTAGCGGACTCGGCAGCTTCTTTAGCCAGATATTTTAGCTTGGACTGCAATGCATCTATCCGTTCAATGTAACCGTGTGTCTCTTCTTGCCAGTTGGATTCGGCAACTTTATGGTTGGCCTTTAGTTTCGCGACTTCTTCTCTATCGTTTGATTCCGACTGGGGGTCCTCTGGCGAAACGTCCACAGTAGTTTGTGTTAAATCTTTCGATGCACGCGAACTCTCTGGTTCATCGGTTTCTGACTTTATTGAACTTTCGTCTTCGTGCGCACGATCCGTCTTATCCTCAACGGTGGTGTCCTGTGGCGGGGTATCATCTTCTTTGGCGATCTCCTTCGAGTTGCGCGACGAGATTCCTGAATCGTGGCTAGCCCTTGGAATTGTCGACGGATCCTCTTCAAGATAGACAGAGTCCCGGGAGAGCTCTTGTGTATTCCTTCGAGAAGATCCCCCGTTAGACTCAACGTCTAGGCTCGATCGCGCATCGTTACTCGGAACGGGACTGGGTGGTGACGAGGCCTGGGCAGAGGAAGGTTGAGAGGCGGTATTTCCTGTAGCATTCGATTTATTAACCATAGCACGGGCTAAGCGTTCTTGAAGACGATCATTCTTTCGGGCGTTAGATGAGTTACGTGAGACAGCTGAAGTTCCAGCAGTTAGCTATGCGACGAAACCCAGAGCGATCGATTGAGTTTTCATACTGCCAGAAGTAGGTTTGGAGTTTGAAGCCCCAGTCTGATTTCCTGGGCTCTCAGCTTGTTTGGCTCTCGCAGCAGCAGCAGCTTTCGCCTGTTGCTGGTTCTTTTCATCTTCCTCTGACAGAATGAGATCCAATCTAGACTCGACACCAGCGACTGCCTGTTGCAAAAATGACCCAACCTTCCATTTGGGCTTCGAGCCCTGAGAGTTCTGAGCCATGATGGCAATATGAATAGTTTCTTTTCCCGACCGATATATTAGCTACTTCCCAGCAGCGCGGCGATAATTAAAAGTTCATGAGAGGCACAAATCCTCGATGGTGGGCGTGCTGCCTGATGAGTATCTGATCGTTCCCAGGTAGGACAAGACAGATCGTCGTTTGGGGGCAAAACGAAAGTGGCGGAGCAATTAATATTGTAAACGACAGAATATAGCCAGAAGAATAAAATAGGAGCGACGTTGGAGAGCGCAAAGAGAAGGGAACTGGGCCCGCTGCCTAGGTGGGTGTCTGGAACTGACCGAGTGCAGCCTGGTTGAAGCGGAACTGCAACAGTTGAAGGATGCCAGCCGCCCTCTTGGCGTGGGGACTTCGTGCCGGCAACGTTGCCCGTCGGAGCTCCCCATCCCCATCCATTATTCCCTGACCATCGGCTCTTGTCTCTTGTCGTTTATTATTGCTGCACGGAATTACGTCGACAATGTCCTTGGAGCCGCCCACATATTTGAGTTCCCTGCAGAACAACATTCGAGCGCGCCCCATTCCATGGGAGGGGGCCGTCCGAGCTGGCAACATCACCGATGACCACTTCAAGAAGATCAAGGCGGTGGATAAGGTCCGCAAGGAACAACGACGTCAGACGATAGATGGAGATCTCCAAGGTTATATCAGCCTACTCGCCGGTGGAGGTGAGGGCAAGAGCGTTTTGGACTCTGCCTCCAGGAGGAACGATATCGTGCAGTATATCCTCGTCCTGGCTGCCGATTTGATCAATGGTGTGGACACCCCTCTATACTCGTCGCTTTCATCCATGCGCTAATCGAAGGTGGTCCATGATGATACAGATGTCCCATCTCTATCCTCTGCACTTGTTGCGCATCCTGATCCATACAAGCCTTTCCTCCCACTCCTCCGTCAGTCTACAAACGCCGAAGACCCAATCCCACTACTCACTTCGACCTTCTTGACAAACCTCGTGTCTACCAGCCTTGTTTCCTCGTCAAAGCCCGCTCCTAGAGACGAACAGGCGCTTCCACAACTCTATACCTATCTCTCGACCCTGACAAAGAACCAAGACAGTGGGTTGCAAGACATTGGGGTCCAGGGAATCTCATCATTGCTTCGGACCTCGAGGTCAAGAGAAATCTTTTGGAACCAAAGGAAGGAAACAGTGGACCCCTTGGTTGATATTCTCCGAGCTGCTGCGGGGGCGAAGGATAATGGTTCCAGCACCCTGGGTAGCAGTGTACGTGCCATTGAGCCAGGTCTTTCCGGTGGGGTTGGAATTCAGCTTTTATACCGTGTCCTCCTTGTTATCTGGCAACTGAGCTTTGAGGGAAACCTGATTGGTGATGATTTACAAGAGTATGTAACCAAATCTTGTATAGGCTGGGTGCCCGTGCTTACTGATCCAGGGACCACGAGATCATCCAACTTTACACCCATCTTCTGCGACTATCCCCCAAGGAGAAGACGACTAGACTGCTACTCGCAACTCTCAACAACCTCCTCTCTTCTAACCGTACCACATTGCTGCCCGTGGCCGTGTTCATCCGCCTCCCCGCTCTCCTTACCAACCTTTCTGGCCGTCATTTGACCGATCCCGACCTTCTGGAGGATCTCAAGTCTCTATCTGACACGCTGGATGAATACACCAAGACGCAAACCACATTCGATCAGTACGCGGCCGAGTTACAATCGGGTCACCTTCGCTGGTCCCCACCCCATCGTAACCCGCTATTCTGGAAAGACAACGCCCGTCGGATTCTGGACGAGGCAAACGGCTCGCTTCCCAAGAAGCTGGCTGAGATTTTGTCCAAGGCCTGGGACAACGACAAGCAGGTTCTTGCCATCGCATGCAATGATGTTGGCCATTTAGTGAAGGAACTGCCAGAGAGGCGTACTCAGCTGGAGAGGTTAGGACTGAAGACCCGGATCATGGAGTTGATGGCCGACAAAGACGAGTCGGTCAGGTGGGAAAGTTTGCGAGCTGTTGGGGAGTGGCTCCGTTATACCTTTGAGGGCTGATGTATTTCCTATTGTTCTTATACCGGGCGATGTGACTATTACCATGATCCTATTTCCTTCCTCTTTTCTTCCTCTTTTCTGTCAGAGTATACTTGGCTGCATTATCCGTTGCCCCAGCGTATTTTTTTTGAATGTCATTTTACTGTTCATATGTTGGGATTTACATAAGAGACTATCATTATATTAACCTTTGAATTGAATGCCCACAACATTAGGCACTTGTTCTAGGAGATAAATGGGGCTGGAGCACAGTTTAATTACTGTGACTGTAACCAGCAGTATTGGCAGCGTCGATTATGGCAAAAGATCATCGAGAACAGCTTTCACTCCCCACCTAAATGGATACATTGACCTGATTATGGAGAAAGTCGGGTGTTTCAATCGATCGGACCGTTGGGATACCCCGCATGACTTGTCTTAAAATTTCCAGCATGATCTCCGAGAATAAAATGGAGCATTTATGGCAATGACACCATTAGTCGATAACCAGGCATCGGATTTTCTAATGATGATGATATCTGGTTGACGGTTGACCCCAAGTCTCCAAGTTTTAAGACATTCTAGCAGCGATCGCACATCCTTGGTGGACCGCACGTCCTGAAAGAGGATGGGGTTGACCCGCTATACAAGAAGAAGCCCGCTGGTTCCTGGCCATTTTAACGTTTGCCGCGTGCCACTCCTGTTCTCTCTTCCCACTGTGATTTTTCGAGGGAAAAATGACTTTCTATTGCTTCTGAGTCTTTTTCTTCATCGACTCGAAACCCTGCTGCATTGTGGCGAGCACATTGCTCCTTATCTATATCATTTTTCCTTCTTATCTCCGCAGTGACATCCCGATTTCCCCGGGGGCGAGAAAAAAAAGTGATCCATCCACTGTGCCAACTCCACAATCCACCCGATGTCACGATCATTCACGGGGTGCAAGAGGTGTAAGGCACGGCGTCAAAAATGTGACGAACAGCGACCAGCGTGTGGCCGATGCAATGCGGCCGGGGCACAGTGCCGGTATGCGATGCAGCTTCAGTGGGGAGGACGGGCCTTCTCGCGATCGAGATTTGGGGCATGTGTGGGAAATGGAGGCATGCAGAAACTCGGTGGGTTCACTTGCAATATCCTCTCTTTGATTGCTCTTCTGACATGAAGTTATCCTAATACAGAGTACTCCCCTGGGGAGTTTATCTATACCACCAATTCCGCCAATGCGCTCCCAAGCCTGACCTTCACGCAACCCGTCGATCCGTTTTCTTCGCTCTCCTCTGACCACAAGTCCTTGATCCATCACTTTATCAATGACGCCTCTCAGATCACCGCCTGCCACTCGGGCATGCAACGGGATATTTGCAAGATGCTCATTCCCATGGCTCTCCAGACTCCCTCGTTACTGTATGCGACCACCGCTCTCTCCGCGATCCACCTACAAGCATTGCACAATCAGTCAGAATCCGTCAAGTCGGCACCGGATATAGCACGATTTATGGCACTAAGTCTAGAGCATTTTCGGAAGGAACTTCAGAATCCCGCCAACAGAGGTTCGGATGCGCTTTTGGCCACGGCACGGACACTCTGCCTAGCGGAGATTCATTCGGGGGCTATACATCCAAATTCATGGCGAGCTCATATCGAGGGAGCAAAGGCGTTGATGGGAGCGTCAGAGGATAACGGGGTGGAGTCGCCTCGATCAACGGATGGATTCCGCAGGTATCTGAATCGGTGGTATCGGTCCATTGTCTCGCTGACAGCATTGACGGGCAACGGGCCACCGATAGGAGAAGTTGTGGACAACTCAAGTTTGAGCGTCATCATTCAACAGGATTCGCCTGATTATCTTGACGATTACTGGGGATTCACAGTCGACCTTGCGGCCATCTTCCGCGGGATTGGTGCGGCAGCCTGGAGAAGTCATCTGGAAAGCCAGGGCCAATTCTTTGTCCAGGAGGGTGACAGCAGCATTTTGGATGAAGCTGCATCTCTGGAGTCATTGTTACGAAGCCTGATGGCTCGTGATGGTTCGCAACCTGCCTTCTACCCAGGGGTTGTGGAAGGGTTGACAGCAAAATCTATCCATGAATTCATGCTCTGCAACGAGGCGTTTCAGCACAGTGCCCTCATCCAGATTCATCGCCGATTACGAAAAACCCCGACATCCTCTGCGGCCGTGCAGCAATCGGTCAAAAGAATTCTAGAATGTACGACTGAGATCGGACCATCCGCAGGCCTTAGTCCATGGGTGATGCTCACGACACCGTTATTCATTGCCGGGTGTGAGGCATATGGCGAGGACCGGGAGACGGTGAGGCAATTGCTTGCCTCGTTGCACGATACCATCCGGGTGCCAAATGTTCTTCAATCTCTCAAGTTCCTCGAACAATACTGGGCGAACCAAATCAGCGAGGAGGAGGATTGGAGTCATTTTCTAGGTATGATAAAATACATTATCTACAATGTATAGAATCGATGCTAACGAATCTAGATCGGATGAGATTCGATTTCATTCCCTATTAGAGTCAACCGGCAAGGCTTACTTGAAGTTTCTTGATGTTTACGATATTAGCGAACGTTATTTGGTTTTGAAGTTGAAGTATTTATACATCTACGGTGCCACTGGGCCTCAGGCGCGACATTGGCACTCTTTACATATACCTATGGCGTCACACCGGGAGACTGGCAATTGTTCATTATTTACCAGCGTATACATGTGGGTTTAGTGATGTTTTACGAATTCGATATGAATGTTATTGAATATATCATTTTGTTTCATTTCCTCCATGATACTATGTATTTCTAACTTCTGTCACTGTATAAGTGACAGGTATTCAGACTGCCACTGAAACCTTAACGTAGGGCTATCCCTTATAGATAACTAGTGAAGCAAGGGACTGAGTCCGGCGTTGAGGGCTGCAAATGAAACTGTTTAATTAGAAACATTTCTGTACGACAGAGAGAAACTGGGCCTATTTGATAGATGAAACTGCCAAGTAGGATTATCCCTTGACTGGACGGTGACGTGTGGTGTACAGCGTGAACAGTAGAAGGTGACTCTATTCTTTGTTTCGACCAAATCCATAAACGAGAAGCGTGATGCTATTTTTTAGGGCTATAAGATATTTAGTAATTGATTATCTGACAAATATATGGCAGAAGGATTGGGTGTTTTGAATTTATTGTCTCGTATCTTGGAATAGAAGGCTGGACTCTATGTATGTAAGAATAGCAAATGGGGCTGTTTTATAGAGACAATGAAATATCTTTAGGAACATTTCAATAGAGAATTGCATCAATATTAATACAGATTACTCCACCGGAATATAGGGCTGAGAGGAAGACTGAATTATGGGATTGCGTTGTTGTGTCTATTTTAGGTGTTGGAGTACAATTTTAGAATGTCAATTCAATAGATTCGTTGTGGCTGGACTATGACTCCTTTAATATGGAGTTGGCCAACCTCTATCTTTATTCTGCTTTTATCTTTCTTTCTCTTTCTCTTTTATGTATTTATTTTCATTCTTATCTGTCAACATCTGCAGCAATCCCCTTGACAAGTACCTGCGTCTGTACATGTATGTAGATCCTTGCGTAGAGTTTTGAACAAAGCAAGGAGGAGAATAAACTGCAACTAATAATGAGAGTTGCGACCAAAATAAGCAGCCCACGGTTTGGCCATCTAATAGTGTCGCTATAACTCACGCCACTCAGTGGGAGATAAAATCATGTTGTCCAGGTGTCAGCTTACAGCTATTTATGGCCCCCCTGTAAAAGGCTGGATATGTATAACATATGATGATATATGCCTCTACTAAGCGCCGACAGGAGTAATATTGTTTCAGCGGTGGAGAGTGGGCGGTTGTATACAAAAATATCTACAGTCTAGAATTACTTCAATATAGACAGTATGACAGTATCAATCAATCAACTCGGACTGACTAGCCATCCTGGCCTGAACTGCATTAACTCAAGCCGAGATTGTGGAGAGAACTAGTCCAGTGTTAACTACTCCTTTGGATGATGTACATACAGTAGCACGGTTGCCCAGTGCTTTTTTCGACCGCAACTGGCCCGAGTCTTGTCCTCGACACGCGGCTGGTCGATGCGTTCTTCAGATTTGATTTGTTGCGTATAGAAACACGTTCTGATAAGCAGGTTAATGCCGATATAATTAGATGTGACAATGTGATATTGCTGTCTATCCTCAGCATCCTTCATGTTCGTGAACGATATCCAGACCCCCTGAGTATCTGGTGGGGCTCGGCCGGAAAGAGTTAGCGCCCTGAGATCGGCCGCCCTAGCTTGCCGCCAGTGAGCCGCTCCCCTCTTGGAGACATCGTGCTGAAGACGTTGGAGATGGAGATGAGATGATGAGATGGAGCAGTCAGAGTCGAGACTCTGCGAGTTACAGAGATACAGAATGCAGAAGGTGAGATGCTTACACGCTGAGTCTGGATAATGCTCACGGTCTCATGCTGACACTGCGGAGATGTCTTCCTTTGATCCAGTCTGCAACAACCACCAAACTGACAACCTCCCACGCTTGCTCGCGCCGGTTTGGGTCTTCCTTGGGCCCATGCGACTTAAATGTCGATCAGAAACCCTCCCAAGTCATGCCCTGCCATGGTCCTTTGGCTGCTGCTGCGTCTCTGATTGGGCTCTTGCCAGGCGTTGTTCCCTTCCCATCCCCTAAACGCGTCTTCCTCCCCGTTCCCCACTGCAAACTAAATTGTATCGCCCCATGCTCTCTCTTGTCTAGACGCCGCCAAAGCTGCATTGCCAATCTTTACCTCCTTTTTTTCTTTTGTCCCTTTTTTTTCCCTTGTCTCTCTGCCTGTCTATCATCCTCCCCCCCCAAGTCTCTTTGGGAAACCCTCGAAGTCTGTTTCCCTGGTTTCTCTTTGTCCCATTTCCTTGTCTATCTCTTGCCGTTGGCTACTGGAACTACTACAACTAGTCTAGTAGCGCGTGTCATCGTTATTATCACCTTCCCCGTGCTCATCGACAACATGAGGGAGCGTCGATCGATAGTAGTCGCCAAGTGAATTTGACTATTCCTTTCCTTTGACCCTGTCGAAAAACTCTCCAATAATGGCCGCTGCTGTTGGCGATGATTCTCCGCCTGGCGGAGTATCTGCCGCCGCCTATCTACACCAGGAGGAGGAAAAAGAAGGTTGGCCAAGCCCTCCTCCATCGGACTCTTCTACCACGGTCACGCCTCCTCTTCCTCAATCTTTTTCTTCCTTTCGCTCTTCTGTCACTACTACCACCCCCGACACCACCACTGCTTCTCCGGTGCGCAGGAAACCCCTGCCTCAGCATGCTTCACCAGTGATTCAATCTCGCCGGTCTGGGCCCTCGATATCTCGCCTATCTATCCCCGAGGGCGAAACGCCTGCAGACCCCCCGGTTTCCGCCAGGGGAGCTCCCCCTGTTGCCAATCCCGCCTCCCCTCTTTCTTCAGCTTCCTCGTTCGTGGACCAGTCGTCCCCCTTGGTGTCGGAGAACCAGAATAGGTATGCGTGTGGAAGCCCTTCTCCTTTTCTTCCCCTTCCCTTTTCGGTATGATTGGAGGACTGACCTTGTCGTCATCTGTGACGCTTCCCCAGATCCTCTCGAGGTGGACCGTCTTCAGCCCCTCTTCGGATAGATACTTCCTCGTTCGTGCATGAGGACCACCACCACTACGACCACCGCGACAATTCAGTCGACTACGGATCTCAGTTTTCGAATGGAACCCCGATCCACAGTCGTCTCGTCAGCGAACCTTTTATCCCGGTACTTAATTCCCCTCCGGTAAGCCTTAAGCGGGCTACCATGGCGTTACATCCAGCCAACAACCATCACAACAACCGCCCACCACCTCTGCGGATTGACTCCAATGGTCGTCAGATGTCCGCAAGTTCTGCAGACTCTAAAAACCCCAAGACCCCCGGAAACAAGATCAGTTCCTTCTTCGGCTGGAAAGGCGCTACCTCCCCTGGCGCAGAATCCTCCAGTACCGAAATCTCGGATGGCGGCCGTTCGCCATTACCATCCCCCATGCCTCCCTCATTACCTAGTGCTTCCTTTTCTATCACCCCAGCTACCACAATCCCCATCGATATGTCCACCAAGTACTCTTCCCCAATCCGGAATCCATCTCTGAGCAGTGCTAGTGTCCTGGACCAAGGTAACTCTAAAATCAACGAGCTTGAAAATGAGTTGCGGGAAATCAGCTCCGAGTTGGCGGGTTCCATTCGGAGGGAAATGGAGCTGGAGGATCTCGTCGAAAGACTCCAGTCTGAAATGCCAATGGAAGCCAATCGGCGCACCAGTGATTACTTCTCGGATTCAGGAACCAGTTCAATCCGCTATGCTTACGAATCGGGTGGACGGGTTGAGGATGTTGAGAAGTTTAAGAGAACGGCGGAGCAGGAGCGCGCGCAACTCAAGGTCGACCTTTCCAACAAATGGCAAGAGGAACGATCTCGCCGGACAGCAACCGAGTCGCATGTCCAGATCTTAGAAGGGCAAGTTCAACAGGTAAGTGTTTTATGAGCTTAACTTCTAACAACATGGTACTGACCTCGTTATCAGCTCCGCCGCGACAGAGCAGAGCACTCTGATTTGTCTTCCAGAAACAAAGAACTCGAGAGTGCGCTGGAAGGTACTCGTAGGAAGCTGGCGGAGGAGAGGCAAATCAAAGACAACTTTGAGGATCTTCTCACTGCAATGAGAGTGGAATTGGAACAGCTCCGAAATGAGCGGGATCTCCTGCGTGAAGGTGTAATGCCCCCATCACAAGACGACCAGGGGGGTCTCGATTCTTCCGAGACGGAGCGGCTACTGGGAGAAATCGAAGCCCTGAAGATTGAGAACGCCTCTCTGGCTCAACTACAGACTACGAGATTCGCGTCAATTGCGGAAGAAAATGGCTCTTCGAGTCGACGAAGCTCGGGGCTGGGTCTGTCACGGTCAAACTCGCTGGCGCGGATGCCCACCAAACCCAGTGGCTTGTCCCGGTCGAGCTCTCTGTCGAGGTCCAATTCCGTGTCTGGCAAGGATCGTGAGAACCGCGAATCATTGGCAGATCGGGTGAAGGATGTCGAAGCGCAGCGTGATGCACTCCACCAGGCTTTGCGAAGCCTGCTGAATCGTCAAGCTTACGAGGCTCGTCGGTTTGAAAAGCGCACCAGGCTCTTGGAGTTAGAATTGGAGCGTGCGCAACAGGCAGGCTCCCCAACAAAACTGGGTTATGAAAGAGAAGTTCACGTCCTCCGAGACGAGGTCAACTCTCTCCGAATGCGCGCCGAAGACGCACTGGAACAGAAATGGCAGTGTGAAAAGGGACTGGCAGGTCTCAAGATGGACCTGGATCGCGCTGAACAGGAGACCACCTCGCTGCGGGTGCTGTTGCAAGAACATGATATCTCCCTCCCCGAAGACATCGATTCCGAGCGGGCTGGATTTGCCGAAGTCTTGGCGACATCTTCATCGCTGGAATCCGCATATCAGCAGCTCCAAGCTGATAGGCAAAATGCTGAGGCTAACGCCGCCCAATCGCCGCAAGATGAACTCAATGCTACAGAGCTGGCGGCTGCGGGCAGTCGCACGGACCTGTTGGCCAACCATGTGCGACAGCAGCTGGATACCAACAACTCCCTGCGCAGCCGTTTGGCCGATGCGATCGGCAAAGGCGAGAATGATCAGCAGCTGTCCGCGGCCCGCATCAACGTACTGCAGGACCGGCTCAAGCAGATGGAGGATATCCTTGTGATGGCCCAGCAGTATTCCGAGGAAGAAATGGCCAAGCATGAGGAAGAGATTAACCGTCTCAAGGAAAGTCACAATGATCAACTCATGCGGATGAAGAATGGATCCCGCAGCCCTGCGGCTCTGTCTCCCATGCCTCCCACGTCGCCCTTCGGTGTACGATCTCCGCGTCTCGACAAGACCACCAGCGGTGACGGAATGCCGCTCACTGACGCCATTCAGTCTGAGAGCCTCGAGAAGCGGGTGAAGGAGCTGGAGAAGCTCCTCCGCGATGCTGATCTGGAGATGGGAGAAGTGGTTGGACGGATGAACCGAGCTCAGATTGAAGTGGCGGAATTGCAATCCGACAGGTATGATTTTCCCCACACTTTTTTCTCTCGCATATTGATACTAACGGTTTTGCAACAGAGATGAAGCACTTCGACAGACCCGGAAACTCCAGGCTGAGATCCTGGGCGAGCGCGAGGTACTCAAGGCCCTGATGGGTTAAATCTATTAATTATACCAGACACATGCAGGCATTTTGCTGGCCTCGCATGTTGAACATACAGCACTGTACATCTATATACGACGACGGTCGGAGTTTTTTCATGAAGTTTCACTCTGGAATAGTGACACTGGTTTCTTTTGAAGCGCTTCGAGCGCAAGTTCTTGTGGATGCTTGAGCATTCGCCCTAGTTATGGGCATTTGTGAATACTATTTACTGACGGTGTAGATGGCTTTACACACTCCACCATTGAGCTGGTTGGACTTGTATATAAATCACCTAGTGATAATACATAATTATTGCATCTTTATGGATAGTCCCGCCCCTTGCAGCAGCTGAATAATACCGAAATGAATTGTAAACTGCATTACATATGAGACCTGTACGACAGAGGAAAGTTCGTTGAGACCTTACCTAGGCTTGTCGTATCATATAGCGGACTAATATTCCTCCGGGAGATGAACCCCCACAGTGTAGCTTAGTTTGTCTAGTTTGCACAGCTAGTCTTGGTATTGTTGTTATCAACGGATCGCGATTGTCTCAAAGACAGGTCTGATCTTGTCAACACTAGATCCTCTAGTGACTGGACATTTTCAATTTCAGGTGGACCTTACAATATCGAATATCTCCCCAAAACAACCCACCACCTGTCCAGCATCAAAAAACTCGATCCGATAAATTAATCTCGAGCAACATGGACTTTCTCCCGGACTTCCTTCCAGACTTTCTCCCAGGTACGAGACTCGAAAATAATCCCCGATCATCGATGTTTGATCATCACTACCTACGTATAAAACACATACTAACTACAAAAACACCAGAATACCTCCTCCCCCTAACCCAAAACCCAACCCTTCGCGCTCTGGCAACAACCCCCCCATCAACGCACCTCACCAACCTCCGCACCCTCTACCTGGAGCCGTACATAATCCACCCGCTCTCAGCGGTATTAACGTCGTCAATGCCCGATCTCGTCTCGATCCTGATTCTCGCGATCATCCTGCTCATTTCGCTGAAGATTCTGGACTATGCGCGCCGCATTATCATGTTCTGGGTTATGTTGGTGGTGAGGGTGGTGTTTTGGGGTGCAGTGCTGGGCGCTGCGTGGTGGGTGTACCGGGTGGGTGTTGAGGATGCGGGGAGGGATTTGGGCTGGTTTTGGGGTGTTGCGCAGGGGTTTGTTGAGGGGTTTCAGAAGCAGGGGGCGAGAGGTGATGGGGGTGCTGCTGGTGGTGGTTCGCAGCAGAGATTGTATGCGGGTGCTGCTGGGAATGGGTGGTGATTGTGATGATGATGATGGTTATGGGTTTGTTTGCGTTGGGACAGGATTATACTTTGGGGCTTACTGGATGGGGATTAAAGGATATTGTGGAGTTGGTGCATGAACTACTAGCGTTGGATTGATTGATTTGGTTCATCTTCATGTTCATGAATTGATTATGCATTATGTTCATTGTGATTCTTGGTCTTCGTCTTGTTCATGCTGGGAGAGTCTTGTGTCTTGTGTAGACTCATGACAGAAGACTGTCTGACTTTACTACTCTCGAGTGTAAAGCTTCTCTGGCTGCTTCTATTGCAGGCAAGTGCGATATAGAGCGGACGGATGGCCCGCGATTGTTCATCCCTTGCAACAACCTGACGGTTCGGTCGGTAGATATGTTGACGGGATATGGGTGGTTCCAAGCCAACGTACTAATGCACGCTGTAACTGGTGTGCAAATGATAGACGAATTCGGATAGGTCAGGCCGTGGCCGGGATCAGATTGAATTACTCATCTGCATCCTCATAGTCCACTTCCTGCGCATCCTTGGGTTCCCTCGGTTCTTGCGCTTCGTGGTATTGAATAGCATCGTCGATATGGCTCAGGATGGCAGCGACACTGTCCTCCTCGGAAACGTCCAGTTTCAAGAATGACACCATGCTGAAATCGTCAATCAACTGTCCAACGGCTTGGTTAAGTCGCTTGAAGGAACCACCGCTCATCATGGAATTTGTGGCCGAGGGATCACCGCTGGGTGTCTCCTCCTCGTCCCTTGAGTCGTCCTGTAACGACTGCATGTCGACGTTGGTGAATCTCTTCAGCTCCTTGCGCGAAACCATATCCTTGACCTGGTCCATCTTGCTCAAAATATTCACATGTGGCATTTCCAACATCAACATGGCGGACATGGCGCTCAGTGTGCCCGAAAAGAATTTGGCCTTGTCGACGACAAAGGTGCTTTCTAGCAAGTATGCGGCGCAAAGATTGATGTTCAACGGACCCTGGCGCGACAAAAACTGCACAAGCGACGGTAAAAGGGGAATGTGCGTGTAGAGCTCAATCTGACCTGGCATGTCGATGATGATCAAATACTCTTCGCTCAACGGATCTAGGGCTTCGGAGAGGAAATCGAGGTTCTGCAGGAGGAATTCAAAGCAGTAGATGAGCCCACCATTGGGACCCAGCTCCAGCTCCTCCATCACATCCTCGAGGGTGATGAGTTCGCGAATGTCCAGGTCGGGCTCGTAACTGAAGGTCTCGGCGGCGGGGTCCAGGTTGATGTAAAAACAGCTCCGGCGGGTATTCTGCAGGTGTTGAATCATAGCATTGCAAAAGGTAGTCTTACCCGCACCCGCAGGGCCCATCACCAAGACACCGAATTTCGACATGACGGATGAACAATGGCGAGGAAGGGCTCGACAATGGGATCAGTGAAGAATACTCCGGGACGAACGGAGTCAGTATTGGTAACTATTATCGCTTCGGCAAGTGTCGAGATTTTCGAAATGCCGCTCTTGCCCGCCTTGGAGGGGAAATGCGCCTTTCTGCCGCTGCCCACCGCCGCAGGAATGGCGCCATCCGTATTGTGACGGTAAGAGTACGGTACGGCGCGGTATTGCGGTTTTCTTTCCCCCCCACTTCGAAGATCGATTTTCTCCTCTTCTTCTTCCTTTTTAACCTCTGCTTCCCCCCCCCTTTTCATTCTTCACTCCATCCATTCTACTCTTCACATTCCTCATCCACTTTTTTCTCTATCCCACCTACTCCTCCACTCTTCACAATGGGCAGCCTCTCTCCCAAGGCCGGTACTTTCCTTTTCACCTCCGAGTCGGTTGGTGAGGGACACCCCGATAAGATTGCGTGAGTTTTTTCCCTCCCCTCCTTTGATCGCTTTCTCTGTCTGAACCCATTGGCTAATCATTGAGAAAATAGTGACCAGGTCTCCGATGCCATCCTCGATGCCTGCCTTGCTGAGGACCCTCTCTCTAAGGTATGGACTTTGTTTCCTTGCTGGCGGGGCAAATTTCAATTCCGCCTGTAGCAAGCAGTGACTAACGAATGGCTTTTTTTTTTCTTCTCGTATAGGTCGCTTGTGAGACCGCTACCAAGACTGGTAAGTCCCATTATATTTGTACCATTAACAATGGCCCTTTGACTAACATCTTCTCAGGTATGATCATGGTCTTCGGTGAGATCACCACCCAGGCCAAGCTCGACTACCAGAAGGTCATCCGTGGTGCCATCAAGGACATTGGCTACGATGCCTCTGAGAAGGGCTTCGACTACAAGACCTGCAACGTCTTGGTTGCCATTGAGCAGCAGTCCCCTGACATTGCTCAGGGTCTCCACTACGAGGAGGCTCTTGAGAAGCTCGGTGCCGGTGACCAGGGTATCATGTTCGGATATGCCACCGACGAGACCCCCGAGCTCCTCCCCTTGACCATTCTGCTTTCCCACAAGCTGAACAACGCCATGAAGGAGGCCCGTAACAACGGCTCCATCGCCTGGTTGCGCCCTGACACCAAGACTCAGGTCACCATTGAGTACGCCCACGACAACGGTGCCGTCAAGCCCGTCCGTGTGGACACCGTTGTCATCTCTGCCCAGCACAGTGACGACGTCAGCACTGAGGAGCTCCGTGCCGTCCTCAAGGAGAAGATCATCAAGCAGGTCATCCCTGCTGAGCTCTTGGACGACCGCACCGTCTACCACATCCAGCCCTCCGGCCGCTTCGTCATTGGTGGTCCTCAGGGTGACGCCGGTCTTACCGGCCGTAAGATCATCGTCGACACCTACGGTGGCTGGGGTGCCCACGGTGGTGGTGCCTTCTCTGGCAAGGACTACTCCAAGGTCGACCGTTCCGCCGCCTACGTGGCCCGCTGGATCGCCAAGTCCCTGGTCAACGCCAAGCTCGCTCGCCGTGCTCTTGTCCAGCTCTCCTACGCCATTGGTGTCGCTGAGCCCCTCTCCATCTTCGTTGAGACCTACGGTACCTCCGACAAGTCCTCCGAGGAGTTGGTCGAGATCATCAAGAACAACTTCGACCTCCGTCCCGGTGTCATTGTCAAGGAGCTCGACTTGGCCAAGCCTATCTACGCTGCTACCGCCAAGAACGGTCACTTCACCAACCAGAGCTTCTCCTGGGAGAAGCCCAAGACCCTCAAGTACTAAACGTATCACACTGCCTAAGTGTGGTCGTCTAGGACTTGATCTTTGTTTCTTTTCACGAACGTGATGAATTGGCTTTGTTTTCAACAACTCAAAGCATGAAAGCATAGACATATAAAAAGCTTTCTTTTTTGGTTTCTTTTTACTGTTTAAAATTTACTGCATGTCGCCTGCAAGAAGGGTTTGGCGAATGAATTCAACATGATACCACTTTCATCGGATGGGAAGGGAATGTTTTTGGCGTTTTTAGGGAGCGAAAGTCTTCAACACATTTGCCTCCTGCAGGCTTTACAAGCTGTTTGCACTTCGGATGATACTCGCCCACTTGTGGGCGATGTTTCTGGGGAGGGGCACCTGCCATTGAGCGTGCTGAGAGGTTCTAGACGTCTCGACATTGCCAATGGAATGCTAATCTAAACATTAGCAATATACTATAATGAACATATTACAATAATCTGTTGAATCCTCCGTAGTCACATTTTTTAGTTTCTGTAATTGGATAATTGCTGACGAGATTGCCTGCTATCACATGTTCAGGAATGTAAGCTGACAGGAACTACAACAACAGGTTTCGGAGACGGGACAGGGGAATACCCTATCATCGCTCGTATTGTCGTTCGATTGACGGTACCAAAGGATACCAAGGCAGTCAATGTTCTACTAAGCACGATGACGACTTTGGTACCCCATAACATAGACTACTGATGCATGCATGTATTATTTACATCACACCCATCACGCTAAAATTTCAAATTCCCAACTGGTGCTGACTACGGAGTGCTCCATGGGGAAGGGAAGATGCCGGTTAGTTTATACCCATTCGACAAGACTCTACAAACTACTCTGTACAGCACGCTTGATATAATAATGGAATCGATGAGTGAAGAAATCAAGTTCCCAATTCATTTCGTTAGTCAACCCTTGACTCGTGTAATCTGTGACCTGCCAATCAAATTATAAACACAACACACGTGACGAGTTGGTTGGATCATTCCGCAAAAAGGAAGGAAAAGTACCGTAAAAGAGATGGGTCAAAAAAAATAAAATAAAATAGAAATATCAAATCAAATCAACTCAAAAAAGGCTGTAGGTGTAAGGATAACGTAACCATGGATAAAAAGTAATGCTCTCGCAACAAGGACAAGATTAAAGACAATGGATGGGATGGAGCAGAGTGCAGGCACGAAACGTGACATGCTAGAATGGAGATAAACAGAAAATTCAAAGAGAAGAGAGAAGATAGATGGATAAAGATAAATCAACAAGATGGAGCTGGAACCGATGTGTAAGTTGATAAGAATAAGAAAAATGAAACCAAAGTGAATTTCTCCGCCATTCTGCCTGACCAGCCCTCTATCAAATTGATATATGACGAATGCACAACTTCCATACTCATAAAAAAAGTGCAATAATCTGTTCAGAAACAAAAGAAGAAATCTTTCCCAGCTTCGCACAAAAGACCAAACAACTGGAAGAATGGAATAGAGACATGAAATATAAAAACACAACCGGGTATAACAGAGGGTATAGAAACGGCAATGCGCAGATTATCATTAGCTATTACCCTTGACCAAGGATAATGTGTAGCAGAAATGAGAAATGGCATGAAAAAAGGCAAGTGAGAAAGGACAAACGGTACTGATCAGAGGGAAGCTGGAAGAAACATGGAATGGTCCACAACTCGCTAAACTAAATCTCCTTCCCTGACGCCTCGAAATCCCATTAACGCCAATCGGGAACAACGCCAGCCATAAATCTTTAGTAACCTGACCATCCTCCTAGTGGACTTCCCGACTGACCCGGTTGCGAATGTCCAGGTTGCATCGGTCCACCGGGGGCGGACGGCCAGCCTGGTATACCACCACCTGCGCTCATTCCCATGGCGAGACCTGGCTGTTGAGGATTCCCCGCCATGAAGGGCTGCCCTCCAGGACCTTGTGAGGAGGGATACATGGCCCGAGCAGCGGCCATGGCAGGATAAGGAGCTGCCGTGCCCCCAGGGAATCCCATAGACGTCATGGGTTGTTGCGGGGTTTGCGGGTGATGTAACTGGTAAGATTGCGGCATTTGAGGTGCTGACGGACGAGGTTGGTGACGAGGAGATTGGGAGGGGTGCTGTTGCTGCACACCGTGAGGCATAGGGGAGGGAGTCTGCTGGGGTGGCGCGTGTAGCTGAGAAGCGTACTGCGGCATCACGCCCTGAGGCCCTGAGGCAGACAGCGGGGATGGTTGCGGCTGTGGGGGAGGCTGACCCCACATCTGCTGCGACTGAGGATACCCGTAAGGAGGTGTTGGCGCTGCTCCCGCCGGCATGGGCGGGTTGGATGGCCTGTGATGCATCATCTCAGGTCGCATACCCGGCGGCAGTCCTCGGACAGGAGACTGCGCAATGGGAGGCTGCTGATGCGGCTGGGGAGGGAAACCGGGCTGACCAGCCATCATTGGTGCCTGATGAGGAAGCATACTCGGCGCCTGAGCCACGTTCATCATCCCAGCCGAAGAAATCCGGGGAGACTGCAGTGATTGAGATACAGATGGATTCGAGTCGAGCTGTCCGGGCTGCGACTGCGCCGCAGACACCGGAATATCGCGGGTTTTGGCATAGAAATCCTCCAGTCCCTTTTGACGAATATTACGTTGCGAGCCCAGAAGTTTGTTAAAATCAGCGGTATGTGACGCTTGATTGAGGATTTCTGCTGCCGTGCTAGGTTGTGTCCGATCTTGGAAGGGCTGACCCGTCAATTCCTGACGGGTGCGAGGCATACTGCTGTATTCTCTCAATCGTGGGTCGTCTGTCGTGGTTGCCATGTGAATCATTGACAGTGGTGCTAGAGAGACGGATGACGCGGGTCCCAGAGGTAAATCGGAAGGCATGGCCTCAAGCGCGTTGCTATAAATAACATCGCCGTGGGCCAGGGCAGGCAGGAGACTGGAAGCAGTCGCTGCTTCGGCCGCCGCGGCATCGCGGGCTTTAGCAGCACCCGGCCGCTTCTCACCCGCCAAATCCTCTTCAGTGAAGCCTTGTTTCCGTGCTTTACTTTCCCAGTAGTCATCGCGCACGCGTCTTCCGTTCACAACAACCCGGCTTCCGAACTGTCGGAACATGGATTTTGCCGAAACGATGGCAATTTGACGCGACCGGTACGAGTATGGGAGAATATCTTGCTGAATCAGATCGTCCTTTTCGATCTGCGTAGCGATTATCTTGTGGAGGGACCGGTTCTTGTTGAATAAAAGATACGAGTCGCGATACCCGAGTACCCGCGCGCACTCGGTTGCCAGCATGAAGAGCTTGCTGCCACGTAGAGGAACACGGAAAGTCCTGCACTTAAACTCCCGGCCACCCTGAGGGTATCCCATAGCATCCACCTTCTTCTCCCCTGCTTCGTCAAACTCTTTGGGAATGTATTCATCTCCCTGCTCGTTCAGTTGATCGGTCGTGTGGTCTCTGACGGTGGGGAGTGCCTTGACCAGAGTCGACTTGGTCGGGGTAGTCTTGTCTGGAGGTGATGCCTGCGGCGGCGACACGATAGTCTGTTGCTGTGGGAGTTGTTGTGTCTGCATCTGGGGAGTTTGAACCTGGACGCTCACAGCAGGCGACTGATCGCTGGTGGAGGGTCGTTGCGCCTTTGGGGGACGCCCGCGTTTCCGACGACCATGGTCATCTGTCCATCACAATAAGTTGCACATTAGCCATCAAAACCGAATCAAAGATGTGTAGAAGCGCCAAAGCCAAAGCCAAAACAAAACAATATATATAAGTAATCTATATTAGATGAATATGAGACGAAGCGGCTCGAGAGCGTCCCACGGCATCAACCACGGTTGGAAGTTTGAGACGTAGAGGCGCTCCCCGACGCGCACATACCGTCGTCATGGTCTCCGTCTGCGTGATTCCCACGGTGATCCGGAGTCCGACTGCGCTTGACACCACGGGGAATCGTACTCGGTGCTGCAAACGACGGGGCAGGGAGAACGGCGACTAGCAAAGGCCATCAGTTTTTGGAGGGCCCGCGACGGACAGAATGAAAGAAATTAAGGCGAGAAACCCCATTACATTCATTACCACCGATCGCGATAGACAGGTAGGGAAGAGAAGAGAGGAAAAATAAAATAACAAGCGAGATGACAACAGGAAGATAACACGAAGATAACAGTGAACCTCGGCTAGGAAAAGACGAGATACAACATACCATTATTCAGAGCCGCAGGGTTGATAGTGCCAGAACCATCAACGAGATCCCCTCCGAGCCCATTCATCGGGGCGGAAACCGAGGAGTGGGAGGTGCCATACATGGCGGCGGGCCAAGGAAGGACGGGAAGGTTGAAAGGCCGTCGCAAGGCCGCGGGCGCGTCAAGGAAACGCGGGACGAGTCAAACCGGCTGAAGATGGAGGGGGAGACAGGCGACCGGGAGCGGCAGCAGCTGCGAGGAAGGACAAGGGAAGGGGAAAGGGAAAGGAAAAGATAGATTGGGCTGCAACAGATGCAAGTAATCCTCGGGGATGGATGGGTGGACTTTGCAGACCTCGCATGCAGTGGTGGTTTTTTGAGACGGGTGAGACTAGTTGGCCAGGAAGCGGATCAGCGGGAAAATAAAATAAAAACAACAGCAAAAAAATACAATAAAAGGAACAACACCCAACCGGAAAACTTGAAGAACGGACTGGGGTGGGAGGAGTGGGTTGGGATGGGAAGAGATGGGAATGGAGGTTTTGATTTAATGGAAGATGATGAATGGTTGATGGACTGAAGGTGGTGGGATGGCGATGGGGAGGTCCAAGCAGGCGGTGTGAAGATGCGATGGGAAGAGCGAGATGGAGGGTGTATCGTATGGTATTGTGTATGGTGTATTGTGGCTGGAGAGAGATACGCACCGCCACGTGAGGCTGAAGGACGACACGCCCTTTGTCCAAGGTTTGGATAGATTATCGAACGGAAGATGACAAAGATGAAGAAGATGATTCACAGATGGTGACAACAGATCAGTGGATACAGGTTGACTAGGGGTATGTAGATAGGATTCTTAGGGTCGATTTTGGAGGGGGGAGGGGGGGTAAGGTAGAGAAGCGGTGGGTGTAGCTAAAGATACTGTGTGAGTGGGGAGGAAGTTTGAAACTTGGAGAGAAAAGGGAAAAGACAAGCAAAGACTAGCAAGCAGAAGATTTAATCCGATGAAAGGGAGAAGCAAATAATAATAAAAGAAAATAAAGAAAAAAGTTGATTGACGGAGGAGAAGCGAAGAACAGACGATGGCAGCAGTGGAGGATGCAGCGAGCAGGACGGGAGACGCCACGCGAGGTGATTGGCTGAGGTAATACACAGAGTACAGTTAAACAATGGAGACACGTACCTAGGAGTATCTACCTAGTAGACTGTAGGAATACTGAGGATAGAATCAGATAACAGGGTGTAATGGTTGAAACCTGAATAATACTGGGATGGCGGGGAAATCCTGGGACGCAGTGACCAGTTGGGATAAGATAGAGGAGATGGGGATCTTTTGACTGTCAACAGTCAACAGAATACCATAACAGGCCGGAGATCACCAGGAGGGGTTGGTGATCGGAGGAATAAGAGGGGCAGTCTTACAGATTGCCAGTTACCTCCAGAATACAATGAATGCAAGTTCAATAATGCCCATTCTTTGTTTCTTTTTCTCTAAGAATCCCCCCAAACCAATCACGAGACAAAGCCTGATCTGATGATCGTTTTCTGTATGGTTTGTTACAATACAGTGGCAATCATATCCACCCAAATATGAGGAAATATGAGGAATATAGGAAGATAATGAGACCATTTCTTTATTTTTTTTTTTTTAATCCGTCTGTGTAACATCGCCATCTACCTTATCCAGTCGATATTATTTCCGTCAAAGATGCCCATCATGTCTATCCGGATCCTACCGGCTTGCAATCATTCATTATTCCTGCAGTGAGCTCTCCAGCACAGACCGCGATCTCTCGACAGGGATCATCTCTGCCTTGTTTTGGCAGTCTGCACAGACCCTCTACAGTAGACAAGAAACAATAGACACCGTAGAAGAGTCAGTATACTGAATATCCTCAGTATTCATTCCAATCTATAATGTATTCTGATCAAGAATGTCGGATCTGGCAGATGATCACTCAATAGACTTCTCCCTAGTCACTTGAATGGCGATCCCCGTCTATCTTCTGTAGAGTCGTATTCATTCCCAACATTTGGAGAATAATAATAATATACCAAACTGCCTAGCTTGGGATATGATGATAACATGCTGATTAGATGTAACCTCAGATTCCCCCACACTTCCAAGGGTATCACCAATCAGCAACGCAACCCTTTCGACCTCATTTCAAGCTTTCATCTTTGTCCAACCATATCTTCTTTCTTGATTCATGTTTAGGTCGATCGGCGTCTATTCTGACCTGAATAGTATCATGTTGTGGGCTTGCGATATTACCATTCCTCGTGGTGAGGAACATGCTACTGTAATCCGTCTGCATACAATCCTCTCATCGCCAAACAGGTTAAGGAAAGATCGGCAACATTCTCTGACTCTTGCCCGGTGGCAATGAGAACTAATCCCTACCTGGGAGGGGTTGCCAACGAGTCACCCGGTCTGCTGCAGTAGTTCCCGTGGACGGTTTTATATGCATGGCCGGTGTTGCTCGCTCATGTTGAGTATCGGACGTTTATTCCCTCTGTACTCCGTTCTGATATTCATGTTCATCCAGTATCAGTCTTTGAATGTCCAATCCGGTGCAATAGCTGAATCACGAATCTTGTCCTTGGGCAGATACTGCATGACCCTGCAGCAGTATCGTATCCGCATGTTGGCGCCGTACAAGCAGACGGTCTGGATTATCCACTATTCTCCGTCTCTTGAGGCTTCATCCTTGGTCCGTCATATGCAATAACCCGAGTCTACGCAAGCTTCCCCGCTCCTCAGAAGACTCTGCTTGGCCTTCTGCTCTGCAATCAACCCAGTCCGGAAGACCTGCCAGAAGCAATGTTGTAAACGGCTATCAAACTGCAGCCAATCACCTCTGCCAACCTGTAAACAGAGGGCGTCTACCAGCCTCCCCATCGCCTACGTTGCTCATTCTCACACTCGGAGAACATCCCAAAGTCATAGGCCCCCCACATCTCGCTCCCCGCGAGGCTGGGGATGAGATTGAACTCGTCTTCAGGGTACTCACCCCGCTCGTTGAGATCTTGTGAGAAGATCTCATATTCGCCATTGACCAGGCCAAGGGATCCGTGGGCTAGTGTGTCCGGGTCGCTGGGAGAATCCTCAGACTTAAGCTCGGACTCAGACTCAGGCTCATCAATGTCCATCGGGTCGTAATGATCTTCCTCGACCGGTGGTGCCATCGGGCGCCTGCCTACAAACGCAGGAGTAAACGGACGAGAGCGACGGGCTGTCTGCTTCGTCCGTGGAGGTCTCGCCCCCGTCTTTTCTTCGTCTTCGTCTTTGTCTTTGGCTGACTCTGCTTTTCTGCGTCCAGATGATGCTCCTCCACGGCCGGTCCCGCGTGCAGGAGCCATGCTAGGCTCATCTGTCTTCTTGGCCGGAGTCTTCTTAGCAGCGGTCGATCCCGTACTCGCTTTATCCGCCTTTTTGGCTTTGGATTCGGCAGGTTTTGCGGCCTTGGCTTTTGGCTCAGACTGTGCTGCAGGCTTGGTAGATTTGGCAGTGGCAGTGGTAGTCCCGGGGGTTGTCTTTGACTCGGCAGCTTTAGTCTTCTTCGTCCCCTTAGCCTGAGCTGCATCCCCATCAGCATCAGCATCAGCATCAGCATCAGCATCATCAGCATTCTGCCTCTTCCTCGACGCAGGAGTCTTCTTCTGCTCCCCCGCTCCGGCCGCCGCCCCCTTCAACGCCGCCCGCGCCTCCCATCTCTCTTCCTCCACTCCTTCTTCAGATCCGCCTCCACCTTGGCGATATCCTTTGGCACGACGAGATTGCCACCCCGCACCGCATCCAGTAATCTCATCTTGGCCACCGCCTTAGTCTTGGACGGAGGCAGGCCATAGTGCAGAAGCTGGGCTTCGTACCAGTGACCGACGGGGTCGGGGGTGCTGGGGGCGGAGGTGGTTTGGAAGAGAGCCTACAGCTCGTGGAGCGGGGCGCGACGGTGTAGCTTGTGGCCGGAGGATTCGACGTAGAAACTATCGACGGAGAAGGAGAATTTGCCGTTGGAGACGGGAGCGGACATTTTTATGTAAGTAGGGATGGTATTTGAGGGAGGGTTTGTTGAGGTGAGGGTGATGGGCGCACAAGAAAATAGTTCATCATTGACTCGACGCGACTTGGCGCGTTCAACTCCATCTACATCTACAGGCAGCCACTTTAATGATTTAGATATTTCTAAGTAGTTAAATTGATATATAGGTAAATCATTTCTATTCATGACTATCAGCCAACAATGGCATTTCACCCATCATCATCAGTTGTCAGATTCCTCAAGTGGGGACAACATATGGAGTATGGACGACGTCATAGGCTCTATCTAGACATTTTGAATCCACGGTTATTCAATAAAAGGGTTTGTTATCCTGAAAGTGTATATATACTTTCGCCTCCAGCTGGTCTGAGTTAATCCTATGCTGCATCTATCATGCTGCACAATATGCTCTGCCAGACATACTCTATCGACTCAACAATTGTAAATCAATCTCCTCGGCAATATCAGCCATCCCATAAAACAAACAGACGAAAATTTAGAGCACCAAAAGTTATTATCGAAGCCAAACCCCAAAGCTGTCTCTGCATCAGCAATGGTCTGGAAGGTGGCCAATAGAGGTTTCTGGTGGAAGAATGCAGATGTGCTCTACTTATACTCTGGGTAAGTGGACATGGAAGGTAGTTCACTCATTTGTAAATATTCCAAGCCATTTTCAGTCCTGCATATTCCAGTTTGTTGCAGTTGCGTGGCCTGTATATTTCCAATCATAAGGCTTGGTGTTGGATCTGTGACTGCAGGTGTAGCAGGGTAGACTGGGAATTCCATGCTGTCATTTTTGCTCGAATGAGTGTAAAATCGAGTGCAGCAGTATCTAGGATAACTACATACTCCATCACAAATGGAACCATCTCGAGATATCATCGCTCAAAACCCCATCATCTTCCCCGAGGCAAAGGCTCTTTGGGTGGCTTTCTTGCAAGATGTTGTTGGGAATGTGGTGTTACGCTTCTTGCGTACTTGAGATGGATACAGGACAAGTTATTCCGTATATGGGAATTTCCGGGGTTAAATACGGATTCCTCGGAACATACAGCGCAACAATGGCTATTCGACGAGTGGCAGACTATATAGAAGGCCCAAGTCTAATCTAAGAGAGGCGAGACTTATGTCATTCCGTATTGTAGTTATCCCTAATATGTATCTAGTTATTCAATGGAATGAATCTCAGACGACAGTATACCGTAATGAGCCGACTGTCTGTCTTAACTTTACCTCGGAAACAATCCTATTGGAAAAGATGGGCTTGTCAAGGCTGCTATCTATAAGAGGAATCAACTCGGAAAGCAGTGGAAGGTCGACGAGTGGCGAAAAGCCGGGGAAGCCATATTATAGGCCTACTTTGCTATTGATTCTAGTTATGAAAGTAAAAACCTTCTACGACACCATTCCGTCCCCACTGGCCTATGGGAGAATAGTCTGCCCATCTCTCTTCCCATCCGGAAATATACTGGTCATATCATGGCTGAACACGCTATGGCCCAGCCTTGACCACCACGAACGTTTCCCCAGACTCAATATCCGTGGATCAAAAAAGCATAAAGTGCTCTATGACAGAAATACGAAAAGCCACGCTGATTGACTTTGGGCTGTGTACCCCGCTGCATAGGAGGTTGGATGCGCCTGAGATGGAGAATATAATATCTCAGGCTGCTTATAGCCAAGATCGATAGAGCAGAAACGGCGCATAATGATAAACCCGAGGATCGACGGACGAAAAAGGAAAGCCAGTCACGAGAGCAGTGGACGGTATGGCGGTCACTCGTTGGCATTACGGAGGAGTTATTCCGTAGTTCGCCCATAAATGAGAGTACTTCTGACCAGATTGCGTCCCCGGATGATAAAGCCAACGCGGAGGTGGAGAAGCCCAGCCGATAGACTGTCTAGTCAGAGCGGACTATGTGTTCTTCTGGCGGCTCTCTGGATCCGGTAATCCGGTGATCTGCAGTCATGTGCTGACTAACACACCACACGGAGAGAAACACAGAGCCATATTAACACAGCAGGGAGAAAGGTCAGTTGATGGTAGTAGTAATCCTATCAGAGTGGGAGGAAGATATGTACAGAGCAAGGAGACAACCCATGATCCAAAGCATTGGGTATGGAGGTAGGGTCTGCTCTAGGGTCTGCCCACGTATGGGATTTATGGGGACAGATGGGGGCTTTTGTCGCACATGACAATATTGGGTTGATGCAGATCCTTGGCCACACAACAACGAAGGGTGTTGGTGATATTGAATTATTTCTTAGAAGAGTCGTAATCATGATATAATACATAAGATATAATAGTTAGATAATATAGGAGTAGGAGTAGGAGTAGAAATCTAATCTGATGTTACTGTGACTACGTTCTATATAAAGAGTATCCCCGCAACCACCAGCCAATCAGAGCATTCTTCTGTCAGGTACGACAATCTTCTCCCACCTGCTCTACAGTTCTTGTACAACTCCTACAATACAATATGAATATTAGACAGTATAACTATAATACTAAAACTCCATCTCACAATCTAACAATCTATCTAATAGTCTACGATATCTAATAATCAATAAATACTCTATTGCTAGCCTAGAAATGGAATGTTCCATGGATGCCGCCAAATCCGGCTGCCCCACTTTTGCTGGTCAGCTGGTCGATTAGTTTTGCAGTGGGGCCCTGCATTACGAGTAGAGTTGGGTCTGGCCAGTGAGTCACTTCTGTCTTTTAGACAGAATATAAAATATATAGAAAAAATATAAAATATTGAGTATAAAATATAAAATAGAGAGAATATAGAATAGAGAGTATAAGATAGAATAGAGGATAAATAAGACAAGAATGCGTATAGTATACAGAGATGGAGTTGTGTAAATAAAGAGGTCTAGACGCATGCAGATTCTGCCAGATCAGATGGTCACCTGCCTGCCTGGATGCAGTTAGTCTCTCGTCCGCTCCTTTTTCCCTCGCTTTTTCAGCTCCTCTTCGTTTTTCTCCTGCAATTCTTTTAACCTCTGCAATCCCCAGACTTCTCCGGCTCGTTTCTCTTCATCTTCAACCTTCTCCCTGCTTTACACTTTGGTGCCAAAACTAGATTCTGCCACAAACTTACCATCATCCGGTTCGCCACCACTAATGACATCAACCACCCTCTTTCCTTGATTGTATCGATCAACTTGACGCACACTTAAAACCCACCTCATTGTCAATCATCCTCCCCCGCTCAACTCACTTTTTCTTCCATTTTCTGCTATTAGCCAAATGGCCGTGAAAACAATCGATATTACCGCTCCCGCTTCTCTCTCCAAAAACCCCAACATGAATAAACGCTGGCCTCCTCTCGCCGATAAAACCTCTCTCCCCTTCAAGCTCACGGCGCTCTCGCGTCAGAAACTCGCCCGTGAAGCCACCGCCGCTGACCCTGATATCCGGCGATGTCTCGGCCACTTCCGTCTCCATTGTACCTCGATGGAGTGGGCCCAGAAGGACATGACCAGTCGCATCAACTCGTTTGATCTCGAGGATGACACCGAGTCAGAGGACGAAGAGGAAGAAACAAAGAACGAAAGACAGGCCAAGTTGAACGTGTTCGTTCAGCAGAAGAGCAAGGAGGAAAAGAAGGAATCTTCCACTTCTACAAAAACTGAGACCACCAACACTACTACTCCTGCTGAGCCTGAGCCTCGGCAACAACAACAACAACAACAAGAAGAAAAACAAGAACAAAATAACTCCATGGCAAAAGAGCCTACCTCGACCGAGACGGAAATTCACGTCCAATTCGAGGTCCCCGCTCGTCCTCCCTCTCCCAATTCGGCTGAGAAGGACAAGGAAAACGGCCTGCTTGAAAAGGGTCGTAGCTGCCTGGAAAAGACGGTTCAGAGGAAACACTTCTGGCCATCGCCGGGTCAGTGTTTGCCTGTTCGCATCTCTGGTTAGATGCTCGCCTCACTTTCACCTCACTCCATCTTCTCTTCTCCGACTTGTATTTTTCAAACAACTTCTCTCAACCTCGACAGGATAAGAACATCCTCAAAACATCAAAAGCATCCTAATTCGATAATAATGACGCTACGACGATACGATTTCTTTTTGCGGTTACGACGGACAGGTTATTGGGTCTGGTGTTCCTTCATGTACTTACTAGTATAATAAAAATGTCCTACATTATATCTATATTTACATTTATTCCCCTTTTATATTTATTGACTTGTATCATTTGATTCTTACTATATACTAGACAACGCCCGCTAACAATTACAATCAATCAATCAATCAAACATGCATAAGTCATAAGTTACATCCCCAACTCATCTTCATCATCCCACCCCAACTGCTCGTAAATCGATTTTCCCGATTTCTCGGGCGTGACCGGAATTGCCGAGGATGTCAACATCGCACCACCCGAGGGCTTCTCACTGCTACTCTTCTTCACAGGCGTCCCCAGCACGACCGGCGAACTCGGCGGGGCCATACTCTGCACACCAGGCACACTGGTGGGGCCTGCTCCTGTTCCTTGTTTCGGGGGCGTCTCCATCACCATGCTCGATTTGATCGTCTCAACAGGCTTGCTGCTAAGTTGGCGGTTGGTGGTCTCGACGCGCCGCGACGCGACCGGGGTCGATGGTGCTACCTCACTAGTCGTAGCGGCTGTGGTGGTGGTCGTGGCAGTAAGTCGTGCTGGGCGATTGGGCACGCGGAATAGATTTCCTGAAAATCCGGACCCCGCATCTGGTGTTGCCCCTCCGTCGTCGTCGAATATGGAGCCCAACGGTTTGGGTGGGCGTCGAGATGGTGTTTCTTGGATGCCTTCTCCTTCGCCTTCGTGAGTATTATCTGATGCGGATATTCTCTTGCTGTTAGAACCGGCGCGTACGGCTGAACCCGGGATTACAGCGTCGCTGCCGAATGGAGAGGAAGCAACACCTGAGCGTCTCGATTCTCGCATCAGGCTTTTAGGCACAGGGGGTAAGCCGAGACCGACCACGTCTTTCTTGCGACTGCCTTTGGGCGTGGCCATGACCTGCACACCCTGCCCAAAGGGATTGCGAACAGGGTTTTTGGGCTTGCGGCCGCTGGACGTCCGTTTATCTGCGTCGTCAGCAATATCCCTGGCGACTAATTCGCGATTGGGTTTTCGGAGCGCATGGATCGCGGCGTCGAGCTCTCTCTTCTGCTCGACCAGGATGTGCACCTTCTTTAGCTTGGTCTCATGTTGTCTGGCCACCGCGTTGAGGTCCACTTCGCGGTTCTCCACCCGTTTTGCTTTCTGGATGCCCCCGCGCACGCTCGAGTTCAGCGACGGCAGCAGTGGTTCCATCGAGTCGCGTCTAGACTCTGTCTGCGAGGGTGCCGTGTTGGATCGACTCAGCGATGGGTGTCGCCCTTGCGATGCGCTCTGTTCGTCTGTCAACACTCGCTGCAGACTGCGGCGAGGCCTCTGAGGGGGTTGTCGCTGCTGCTGCTGCTTGACCGCCGTCCCAGATTCCCCTCGTGGCACGGTTTTTCTTGCATGAGAGTGTTTTGTCGTGGGCAAAGTCGCGCTCGACACGCCAAATTTGCGTGTGATTAATTTGCATTTATCGGGGAGACGTGAAGCGTAGAATGGAACAATCACCTCTGTGCAAAAGTCGCGCACCGCGTCGCTTTCCACCTTCTTTCCAGAGAGATGGTTGCTGTCGTATGACTTGGCCGAATCGGCAACGACCGCATCCTCAAAACTGACAGCATGCCAGATACACAGCCGATCAAGATGAAGCTCCAGCAACACGTTCAAATCTTGTGATTTCTTGGTTTTGGGTTTCTTGGGCGTCTCGCCTGAGCCCTTCTCACCGCTATCGTTATCAGCAGATGATGCCTTCTTGGCCTCTTCAGCGATAGCCAACTCCAACGCTATCGTTTCCAAGATAAGAAGTATCTGCAACTGCGTCTCTCGCAGCCGTAGATCGGCCACATGTTTTTTGGCTTCTGCTTCTCGTGACGTGTTGATCAGAACCCCTTCGGCAAGACTTCGGTCTTTCCACCATTTTCGGATAAACCCGTCTTCTTCGGGGTAGAGTCCATTCTTGCCCAGTTTCTTCTTTCTGCTTTTTCGCTTCTTCGTAGGGACAGTGGTTTCGTCGTCGGAAATGCTAATCACAATGTCGCGAATGGTCGACGGTAGCGTCTCCCGATACTTCAGGTCCATCTTTTTCGCGTTCAGAATAGTCTCTCGGTAGAAATTGATCAGGTCTGTTGGCTTCTTAGAAGACTCCAGCTCGGGTGATTGGAATGCTGCACGGCATCGTGCCAGGGGCCCTTTGGCAAAGTATGCGACGGATGTCTGGAATCAGTCAGTAATGCGAAACAATACCAGACATGACATTGGATAACCCACCTTGGATATGTAGAGAGCCTGCAAGTACTGCTCCCTCAAGCCATCCAGCAGCTCCTGAGGCGACTGCAGCGCATCCATCTTTTCACCTCCAATGCCTTGATCCTGCGACTCTGCCGACAAAACAGGAGGCTCGAAGCTGGAACTCCTTTCCATCGGCACAAGACGAGGAGGCGCCAGCGATTGACTCCTACTCTCCGTAGACTCCATAAACGACGCATCCTGCATCTCAACATCACCACCAACAGTCGACTCAAACACAACCGAAACATCAACCTTGCCCCGCTGCTCCGATCCAACATCCATGCGCATACCCATATCCACTACCGGTTCCTCAATCTGCGCCGCTTGCCACCACTCACCACCACCACCAGACTCGCATTGAACAGCCCTCTGCTGTGTGATAGCAGGACCACCACCCTTAACCGCAACAAAGATATCCCCCTCCTCAACACCCCTCCCAAGTTTGCACAGTGCATAAATCCCCCTCTTCACCTTCTCGATAACGTATATCCCACCGTCGCCCACCAACCGCGCAGCAAGCACCGCAGGCTCGCCCCGCTGCTGCTGCTGCTCGTCATTCTCAAGAGCCGGAATGTCGGCCACGAACAAACTCCCCGATTGGATTGGCGATAGGGTCAGGGCGGTTTCGAGCCAGAAGAATGGTAATCGGGAGCGCGGGAGGGTGGCGATCGGGTTTAGGGTGTAGGGTTCTTCGGAGGGGGATGCTTCGTGGGACTGCCCATGGGTTAGTATTGGTATATAGTATAGATTGAGTTTTTTCCTTAATGTGGCGGGGACAGCGCGGGGAGGGGGAGAGAACAAACCCGAATGCGAATCGAGGACGTCGTCAAGTCATCCGGGGGATCATGAAACGTCTTGCGTTTTCTCGAGGGCGGACGAGTAGCATCATGAGGGGCTCTAGTCAACGAGATCGAAGTGGTGGATGATTCGAGGACGCCGGGGGATCCACGCGAGGCCATGAACGCGTCTTATGAAGCATACATCCTGTACTTTGCAAAAAAAAACGTACAAACAAAAAAACTAAACTCAGACAGTAACAGCTCACCCGGTCTAGAGTAAATCCAAATCTATAAAACGAGATCGCAATTGCAATCGCAAGTGGAGAGAGAAAAGATAGGACGCTTGTTGGCGGGTTGGCAAAACGCGGATTAATGGGCGTTTCTTGGCGTCACGCGTCGCTACTCCGGCTTCTTGTAAGGGACGAAGTTGGTCGGTGCGGCATTATTATAGCATGGCTTGTCTGTAACTTGTTGGAATGCCTCGCTCCAGTAACTAATTATTGAGACATTATTGGTGAAAAATATGGGGTATTTGTATCCCTGTAGGGGTGGTTTTACAATTTTTGCAGACAAATGCTTCCCGACGACATAGTTATCGGGATCGGCACTAATTCAGACATGGTTTGTGTTTCGTTCTGTATGGGAAAGCATAGACTGGTGGTTTGATATACTATACAATGGATCGATCGACGAGCTAGCTGCATACGACCGTCTCATCTACAATCATACCAGCGGCGTCGTCACTGGAGCAGCAGTCGAGGCGCACACACATGACGAGACAGATGTAATCGGCGGTGAAGTGCAGTGAGCAGAAACAGTCCACGAGGCCGATGTCGGTTTTTCAGCCTCTGAGCTTGTCTCCGCCTTGACGAGCACGGGGATGACTGCACCGGTGTTAAGTGAGAACTTACGGTGACCAAGCACCCGGAGAATGGATGAAATCTCGCCCGAGTGGCTGGTGACAGACACAAAAAGACCACTGTCCTTGCTGGAGAAGACAGAGTCAAGCGCTGTCTTGCTGCGGATATCCTGCGCATCATTGGTCTCCCCCGTCACTCCGTTCCAGAGCTGGTCCGTCTCAGCAAAGCCCTGCTCAATGGGCCATTCAGGGAACAGGTTGTGGATGTACGTGCGGTTGCGACGATGATCGCATGTGTGGATGCTGATGCTCTCGCGGAACAACTCCTTGATCAATGGCTTGAAGGGGGTGCTACCAGCAGGAAGCTGCAGACCGGAAAAGGTGACGTTGGCTGTTTGTAGTGTGCGAGTCAATGGGCTGACAAAGTAGCTATCCGGTGCATGGATCCGTTGCTCGTCTATTTCCTTTTGCCAGAAGTCATGCGCGGTCTGCGCCTGGGCAATGCCATTCGCTGTCAGTTCGGCATCAGACCAGGTTGATGTGCCATTTCCATCAAGCAAAGACCAATAGCACTGTAATTCTGACATTAATATGGAGGAACTTAAAGACAAACTAGATCGGGGAGTTGAGCAGAGCTTACGTTCCAGGCCGGTGTGCCATAGTAATCCTGAGCAGCATTATGCCAGCCTTGACCATGACGACCCAAGAAGAGAACCTTGTATTCGACGTTTTCCGGCGATCTTCGGTTCAGCTGAACGACCTGGTCATAGAATCGTTCCCATTGGGTCAACTTGCTGTATCTGCGGGACTCCTTATCTGTGTCGTATGTGCGATTGATGAGTCCAAAATTTTCAGCCGTCTGATCAGCAAAATCCATAGCATTAGCGACTGTCATAAAGCTTCTTTCGCTCAAATTGACTAGATCTGAGCTAATTGATCTATTGAATTCAAAAGCAATGCGTTTGCTCATACTTACATAGTCAAAAGTGGACGGGTCCGTAGAGTTCTCATCCTGCAGGAAGTACCCAGTAACAGCAGCGTAGTCAATAGAAGATGCCTGTGCAGCGGCAGCAAGACCCAATGCCACAGGACTAATGGCAGAAAGCTTCATGGTCGAAGTTAATGGAAATAAAGAAACAAGGTGAGAGCGGCCGGTCGTCTCTTCCAACCGAGGACGACAAGATCGGCGCCCACTCTCTTATAACAACCTGCTTCGCCATATTTTCCCTTTAATCACAGCTCCATATTCATAGTCGCTAGCATAATGTCATATCCATTGCAATAACACGTGGGCCGACATTGTGCATCTCGGCCTACCAGTAGAGCACGTGGGAGGGGTTACAATGAGCTAGGCTGTATCTTCATATTAAAACAGAACGATCCCACTCTGAGCCGAGCATTTAGGCAGAAGAAGAGGAAATACCCGACTGCAGATATTAAAATGGACGCCATAGGAGCTGCCAGGTACCACTGTACCTGATATGAGGGGGGCTGTTCTCGTCGTGGTGTCGCTTGACTTGACGTGGAGGGGCCCGTAGCTCGAATGTCGCTCATATCAGGAATGTGGGATGCTGCAGTTTGCAATTAGTCATTCTGTCTTTTCCACTAATGGTTCGCGATACAGAACCGAGAGAATTATACTTCGCACCGGGGAGTAGTCTATTAAAGACAACTTACCTCAATGCCGTAGACCCACAGGCATCGGTACCATGGGTGAGACATAGCATGCCCAGGAAACTCTCGCGTGCCTGACATAGGTGCGAGGTGCATAACTACCACTCAATCTAAGATGCTCACTGTGCAGAGTACAGAGTAGAGGCAAGGAGTTGATGGATGCCAGAAGAGGTGGAAGTGAAAAGTTCGGAGACAGACTCCCTTCTCGCGCACATGTGACCGCTTCAGACCTCCAATTGCAAAGCTAGCAGTGCTTACTGTTTACTCAAAATAGATAGGGAAGAATGCAATGAAGTATATGTAAATAGATTCGGTGATGCGGCTACGCATCACTTCTATTATATGTATTAGGTATAAAGATAGTAAGTTAAATACGTGACAGAGCCTCCATATATGTACCAAAAACCAACCGCTCCCAAAATCCATATGCAAATCCAAAAGTATCGATGGGTTCGAGCCCAATGTTTAACAAAGAAAGAATTTAAATACCACGGTGGACACCAAAAAGAAAGACCCAACAGCGCAACGCACAAATATGCTCCGAATACGGGAAGATATGTAAGTTCCCGGATAACCCTATACAAAAAGGGACAGAAAGTACAACAGAAAGGGAAATATATCCTGCAGTAGGGACCTCGTAAGACAAATCCCGATATAAAACAAAATCACAAGACCGCTTGAAAACCAGGGTATGTAGCGGGATCATTCAAATGCGCCCAAGATCATGTCCACAAAACCAAAGAAATAACTTTTTTTTGTTTGTTTATTTATTTCTTAAACAACTCATTTGAGACCTGACTGGTCAACAAATGTGTAGTGCTTGGGTTTTTGGGAAGGAAGCTGCTGGGCAACAAAGCGATGGGCTTCCTGCTGCTCCGGGAATTCATGAATCAGGAATTCAGTAGGCTTCGCATCAGCCGAGGCCGACATGCCGGTGTCCTTTGTCTGGTAGACCATGGACGGCGAGCCCGCAATTGACCCGTCAGCGGACTGACCACTTTGGTCAGTCGGGTCGTACGGCATGGATGTAACATCCGTCTGGGAGATTTGGCAGCTGCTCTGAAAAGATGCATCCGGCGAAGGGATGGTCGGTGCATCTGCCCAGCTCCTAGCCGTCAGGGGGGCCGTGTCACAAGTAGTGTACTCCGGGAAGGAGGTGTAGTGGGCAGGGGCTGACATTGGCGGAGGCACATTCTGGTATTGATATGACGACATCATATCAACAGCCATGGGTGTGGCGGGAGGGGATGCGATGTTGATCTGCATGGGCTGGGTGGTAGGGAAAAACTGGGCGTTCGGCTGGGCCGACAAGCAGTATCCATCAGTAGGCGAAGTGGGAAGCAGATGTTGGAAATCCTCTGGAGTCAGGGGTGTTGGGGGGGCCAACGAGGTCGACACGGTCGGCTGCAGCATGGTAGACATCTCGGCCTTGGTAGAGTTCAGAGCACCTGCTTCAGCAAACGTTGAGAAGTTCAAAGGTGACCGCTGAGCAGCAGATGCCTTGCGAACACCAGCATATCGAGAGTTGAGACTCTGAGCCGACTTGGTCTGTCTCACACCATGACCGGGCATTCTGGTCGTGGGTGACATGGAGCCAGCCAACATGGAAGACGATCTCGAAGTACCGATAGCAGCAGGCCTGGGGCGCTTCCTGCGAGCGGCAAGGTCAAGTTCCTTGCCAGCTTCTTTCCAGGAGAGTCTGTCTCCCTGGTGGGCGAGGTGCGACATATCGTGGGAAGTTCCCGTGGTGTCAATGCCAATGCCTTCCAGAGTGTCGGCAAGCTCGTCGGACGAGCCTCGTCTCGACAAGGGCACGTCGGATTGCAAAGTGTACTGCATGGCGTTGTACGATGCATCGGCATCACTGGCTGCACGGGATTCCGCTGACGACACCTGGCTTGGCCATTCTGTCCCCCGAGGGGAGTACTGGGCATCCTGTTGATGCGGGCTGTCGATACCCTGGGCGGGGAATGAGTTGGCATTCAAGCCGCTGTAACCAAAAGGCTCTTGAGGGCTTTGGGATGAAGCCCAGGACACAGAAGAGGTTCTAGCACTTTCCCATTCAGTAAAGGGAGTGTTGAGAGTGCTCTGGCCAGTGTGGCTATCGTTGTAGGCATCACTCTTGCCGGCGGTTGGGAAAGTAGTAGCGGAGTTTGTAGGAGACACGGAGGCATCCATGTCGTTGGCGCCCTGAGGAGCTGCTTCGTCACCGTACCGTTCCCGAGCTGCAACAGCGGCATTCAAAGCTCTCTGCAGGGAGGCAAAAGTGGCCTCACGAGCCGACTCACTTCTGGTCTTCTTGTGCTTCGATCGGGAAGACGAAGAGTGGGCAGGTGTCTTTGTGCGGTCCGCGGACACTGTCACGCTGGACGATGGTCTGGGTGTGGATGTCTTGTCGGTCTCTTCTGTGGGGGTCTTGTTCTGGCTCGATTCCGAGGCGTGATCGATAGATTCTGTCTTGCCTCGGGCGGCCTCTTCGGCCTCTGCCTTGGCCTTTTGCATCCTTTCAAACTCCTCCTGTCTCTTCTGCTGCTTGGCCTTGGCTCGTCGGTTTTGGAACCAATTCTGTTCAAGAGATACACATTAGCACCCCGCATACACACATAAGATTGAAGCACTGGAAGAGAGACGAACAGCAACTCTGGGCAAGCTCAAGTTAGTCTGAGCTGCCAATTGACGCTTGACATTGCTGCTAGGCTTAGGGTGAGCCTGGAATTGAGCCTCCAGGGTCTCGACTTGTTCCTTTGTTAACCGAGGGCGAGACAAGTTCTCTGCGTATTCTTCGTAGTCCATGATCGGCTGCGGGTAGAAGTCCACCATGTCGAAGGGTGGGTGAGGGTAGAGATAACCGTCGATGGGGTGCACCATGGACGGATGCACCATGGCTGGGTCAAACCCCACGGGTTGATCCAGCGGAACCGCCGCATGGCCGGGGAATGGATACGGGTTGTGAATGTAGTTCATTGTTGCGGAAGGGAGGATAGGTGGGGAGGAGGGGTGAGAGATGGAAAGGGAGATCTGGCGAGGAATGCTGCACAAGTCGTGGCAGCCAGTGACGGGAAGGCTCTATTTCATCGAACAATTGGAAGGATGGATGACAAGAGAGATAGAAGGAAGTGATACTTTATTGGAAGGATCTGGGAGATTGAATAGACCTAAGAGTCTTGGAAGGGAATGACAAGTAGTTGAATGAAGAGAAGATGGGAAGAGGGAAACAAGTGAAGGTATAGTCCGCGGACAGAGAGGAAGATAATATAAAAAGGAAAAATATAACAACCGGTAAAGAAGGAGGGTGTGTAAAATAAAAAAAGAAAAAAGAAAAAGGAATGACTAGGCAGATCGAGTAAAAGCAAAAAAAGAAAAAGAATGAATGTGGTGTACGAAACAGGAAAAGGAAAGGAGGAGGAGGAGAAAAGGAAGAAAAAGAGAGTGTGAGAAGGATTGACAGCGATGGAAAAATGGGGGGATGGAGAAAGAAAGCCGCAGAGCAGCCCAGATTGGCAGCGGCAGCAGGGGGAAAAAGGTGTGGAGGGGGGCGCTGTGATTGGCAGATCGCCGGCCGGAACTGGGAGGATTCGAGGCGGACTTGGTCACGTACCGTAATATTACCGTACCAGCGCTTATCGGAGAAGATCGGTTGCCCTTGAGCAGAGGTGATGGTGATGATGGTGATGAAGGTGACGAAGAGCTTCTCATGCATAACCTTATTCTACCAGGCAGAATGAAAGAGTTACTACGGAGTACACACTACAAAGTACATGTACAGAAACTCAGTGTAATCCAACACAGTGACAGTAAGTAAAAGCAAGTACAGTACAAGCGGTCGAGCCACCAAAATAATGGCCGAACGAAGTGGGCTTGGGGATGCTTCCGCGCGGGCGGTTCTAGGGGGTGGCGGCCTGTTAGCATTGACGGATAATCAGAATGGAGAAGAATAGATGGTCCCCGTTTACTCCCCGGTCAGGCATCACTTTCAGCTCTACAGTTTCCAGTGTGTGGCGGTGACTCCGAAGATTCTACGAGTGGGTATTGTAGCTATTCTAGTCGATGGGGATGAGGATGGTTGTTTCGAATAGACTTGGGAGTGGAATCGAGGAGCGAATTATTATGAAATGATCTGTTGTCCAGGTAAGGCATCATTCTGCAGCGAGAAGAAAGAGAGAGAGATTCAAGGGATGATCCAATCAGTGTCAATCATTCAATGAAGTCATCCCAGTCCACTGTCAGATGGATCTAGATACCTAGTGTTTCTTCCTGAAACATTGTCAGGTCGCCCTGGGTAGGGCTCGCTGGTTCAGTGGCTATCAGTGGCAATTGACAAAGGGGTGTTCAGGACCGCCGCAAGTGTGATGGCGTTTAGGACATTGAGTTCGCAAATAGCTTTCGTCAGTTCCTGCATTAGTGCCATGTCGAGGATGAAGGTATCTTGTAACTTTGTTTGGAGGGGATAGAGGGGTAGTGAGGGTATCTACGAGTACAGTTACGAATAGGTACATACTACTACCTATGAGTGCACTGAATGGATCCAGATGGATGGTATCATAGGATTCCATATTCCCTGTAGACAAGAAGGATCCGGCTGTCCGAGAGTGGGTCAGGATGAAGTTCATCATAGATATGTGTCTCACAGTGCTCTTGTATCTGCTCTCATCGTCCTGAGTATCTCCTTAATCACGGGCCATGATCTTCCCATGTTTGGATTTGCTGTACATATTCTAAATGCGGTTAGCGCGACAACGGACCGCCTCCCAAGGTCCCAAATGGCCCAACTAGCTTCGCCTCCCGAGTCCCGACGATTCTTCACAGGTCCATCTGGGAGATGATCATGATGTGCCAGATGGGGCTTCATTTCCATTTCTTATTTCTTATTTTTCTGTTGTCCTTCCATGTATCCGAATTCACTTTTATACTTGTAGTATAATATATTAGACCTAAGTATTATCATTATACTCATTATCTCAGACTCTTAGAGTACTCTGCACAGTCCAAGCACCGTAGCACACACAGACAATGTCAAGTCTAGCCGCCCGAATGCCAGCAAAAGCGTGACAGCAGCCAGCCAAGGCCAAACTAACATCAATAGTCCACAGATCCTGTCGATCCGCTTTCAAGGATCTGTCATTCTCTGGCTTTTCTTCTCCATTTCCACATGCAGCGCCCTACAGCAACGCAGCTAAACTAACCTAACCTGCCAGTCTTACCTTCGTCGCTCATGATTCACACAAGTGACAACACTGTTCGCCTGGCTTCCCGGGTTCCTGGTTCCTTTACCCACTCTCCCAGTGCGAATCATTCCTGAAAGCCAAGAGGGTTCACCTCTCAAAGTCACGAGGTTACGCAGCAGCCGTGCCATTCCTGTCGCTCTGCTGCAGGAGACACTGTCTGTGTTCGTTTCCCCCCCTAACATGATGGCCTTTTGTTTCGGGGGTGTCAGATGCTTTTCCTACTGGCCAGACGAACCGGTCAATCCTCCAGCTTTTCCGCCAACCCACTGTTTTAGCCTTATTTCTCTCGAATCTCTCTCCTATCTGCATCATTTCCTTGGGAATATGAGTTCATTATGATCAAGCTCTACATACAGCCGGTAGATACAGGGCCAAACGCTCTTCCGACCCTTCGGAACGGTACCCTAGGTAGTAAACTCAGGATCTGCCCAACTTTTGCTCTCTCTCTCTCTCTCTCTCTCTCTAAGAGGTTTGGAAGTCTTCTTCCGTTCTTCGGGCTCCTCAGGGCTTACGGAAGTGGATTCGAAAAGCCTAAACCACTCAGTCTAACCCTGTAGCGGTGACTAGTAATTGTAACCATCTCGATGGGTTTCAGCAACTCGCGTGGTGGGGAGAGACAGAGGGCAAAAAGCACGAAAAAAAAGGGGGGGGCCAATTAATTACGGAAATACACAGGTATAGCGGGGAGAACTGTACCTTACCCTCCCGTATGACGGAGTATCGCCCACTCCTCTTCTCCGTACTCTTCTCCGTCCTGTTCCTTCCATATCGCGATGATTCGTGAATCGTGACAGCTTGTCGCAGAGTGGGCACTCTCTGGGTTTGCGAATAATGAAAACCTTCTGTTCACGTGTATCTTACTCGACTGGATCCTCTTTTTTCACGACTACTCCAACTAGTCGGGAGTCCAGTATGAGAAAGATTCGACCTTGAAACTTTACCTACGTATGCTAGCTCCATAACTGATCATGTTGCTCCTAGCACACACTCTTTCAAACAGCCTCTTACCCCCCGGCAATCATCATGATCGCCCATCTCGAGGGGTGATGTGCTCCCTAGTCTTCCATTGACCAACAAGATCTCTGTGACGCCTGGAACCCTGGGACGATCGGTTGTAACTGCGTGCATCCGCACGGATCGCTCTTCCCTCCAGTTTGGCTACTATCGATTGGGCCTTTTTGTGAGCCGTTGTCGCCCGATACAGCGATCCCAAATATTGGATTGGTTGTTGGAAGAAAAGAAATTCCCCGAAGGTTTCCGGAGAGGGAGAATTGGGGATTCTCTTGGGAGGAGTTGGTGAGGACGGGTGATCCTCCGCCTCCCCTGACTGCCTGGAGGGCATAGAATCACAATCATCACATCCCTGTCTTGGGTATAGAGTTGGGAGATCCTCCCTTTCATCCTGTCTGTGACTCCGTGACAAGTTCCCGTCCGTCCCCTTGGGCCTGGAGTTTAACCGCTGACAACTTGAACCTCTCCAATGCCATCATGGGTCGGTTAGCCCATCACATCATATTCTGCTCCATCTCATCCGAGAATTTCGTACTTTGTACTACCATCCTGTATTTCATACGTCAAGAATCAAGATTAATAAACCAAGGAGATCTACTTGGGTCCCGTGCAAGGCGACCATCATTCCCAGGCCTCCACTCACCACTGCTCCAGCCTTCCGGTATCATGGATGCAAGTCGATCGGCCATGCAATGGTAATCAATGGAAATCCTCTCTCCATGACGTCCCGACGCTTGGACGCTGTGGCTGAGCCTGCACCAGCTGTATCAGCCACACTTCCCCTGTCTGGGAAATTTGTCATTCACCAACAAATAGTACGCTGGCCGGAGGCACTCCTATCGAATGAAGTGTTTTTCGGAGACAAAAGAAGAAACAAAACACATATTAACTACGGAGTTTTCCAGCAAGCCACAGACATGTGGATGCACTCGTCGCAAGCTGACTGAGCCTGCGTCCTGCCCTTTTTTGCCATCATGGTGGCCATGTTACAGATACGCCTTTTTACAGCTCGGGCCAGAACAGACGGTGTGTGACTGTGATGCACACTCATGCTCGCTGTACAAGATATCACATTGTGCCGTCTGCAGTTCCTGATGGACGGCAACGAGTCCTAACTGCTGCAGATCGGACCTCTCTCTTCTCCATCGTTCTCTTCTCGCATTTCGATGCTCCGTACATGCATACATACTTTGTATCCTCCCACCCGACCCCTCCGGAATCGTCAAGAAATCCAAAGAAACGAACAAGGACCAGATGGGTCATGAACAGCTTCCCCACCCCTTGCATGTCAGAAAGGTCGAGTCCAGGCCAACTGGCGGGCTCCGCTAGAATGCTTCCCCGGGGAACAGGGTTCATGCTATCTTGGTTACTATTGCCTACGATGGGGATTAATAGATCTTTTTTAGCTCTTTTCCAGATCTCACTATTTCCTTCTGCCCCTCGAGGGAGGCAACACTAACAGCTTTCTTTTTCTTGTCTGTTCTGCAAACTGCTCGTGTCCTGTGTGGACTGTATGTATGTACAGGGATCGGGATCGAGTCGGTCCCGGACCGCACGTCCACACAGATACGGTACGGCATTATACAATGGGTTTGAGAAAATTTGGGATCTCAAGATAATGCGGCTTTTTTTTAGTTTCCTATGTGTTTTTTTTCTTTTTCGTCCCCGTTCTGCATGAAGTAGCCACATCGATGCAAGAAGCCTTATTTTCTGTCGGTGTTCAAAGCTTCTTGATGTCGGTGAGAAATCTGGAGACGACAACCGCGAACCGTCCAACTTTCTAACTCTTCCCAACGAAGTTTGTCTTCTCTGTCACATATCGGTATCCCTGGGTTCAAAATAATCCAATGCGGTGGGACTCCCAAGGGCGAGAATTGAGAAAACCTCCGAGGCGGTGTTAGTTCGGCCTCACCAACGCCCTCACCGCTAACATGTCGATTCTCTCAACTTGACAATCGAACCCTCAACATGGAACCCTTTCCGGTCATATTCTTGGACACCGTTTAGATGGCCCTGTATATGATCCTGGACAGATCAGATTCCCGAGCGATTTTTTTTTTAAAAAACATCCCTCGGTTGCCATCCTTGCCAAGAAGCTGCATCACCAGACATATCACTCCAGGCTACTAATCAGTTCAAATTGGCAGGCCCATAAGGCTTGATGGGCTTTGTCTCATCTATTTCCATCAATGTACTTTTTTCTTTCCTGGGAATCGACTTGCTCGTTTCATGTCTGTATTACCGGGTTGCAGGTAATCCCATTTCCTTGGAACCCCCAATTTAGCGCCATGCAAGGCACCTAGATAGTTACGTACATGTCATATTATCTAAATTGGACTACTATGCACGCCGTACATACATACGCTTTGTTCCCCCGGGTCCTGTACTCCATACAGGGCACAGAGTAGGTCGGTAGTTGGGTCGTTCCAACTATGTACAGGCACCATCTCTACAGTAACATTCCCGATGGTTTGCGCATCCCCCCTCGCTACCGAGGTTTTCTCTAGTTATCGACCCCGACTCCTTCCGTCGAATTATTGGAACGCATTCCTGATTTCGAGCTGAATCGAGCCGTTAACGACGCCCTTGACCGAGATACTTCTCAGGTCTTCGACAATCCAGTCTGCCCCGGCCTCTTGGAGCTGAGCCAGCTTGTGGGTCGTCGTGAGCGCAAGCACTTTGAACCCAGCCGCCTTGCCAGCCTTGATTCCAGACGGCGCATCCTCGAGCACAATGATCGAGTTGGTGTTCTGGTCGCAGCCGATCTGCGAACGGCCCAGCAGGTAGCACCGCGGGTCGGGCTTGCCCTGCTCAACGTCCTCTGCGCTGATAAGGTTCTTGGGGTGGGTGAGGTTCAGAACATCCAGCCAGCCATTGACCAGTGGCATCGTGCCGGAGGTCACCACGCCCCATCGTCCACCGGCCTCGTCCAGGGCATCGAGAAAGTCCCTGGCACCGGGGATCTCGACGGCGTCGGAGCCGAATTCGATGGGGATGCGGCCTTCCACGTATTTGACATCTAGATGGGTGACATCAGTCCATCTATATCATTCCCTAGCGAGAGAAGGGGGAGACCTACACTCCCAATTAGCCTTGCTCTCATCGTAAAGCTTCAATGTATCAATGCTTCTCCGTCCATGGGATGTAGCAAGGATAGTCTCGGGATCAACACCAAGCTCAGCACCAATCCTGTTCTCGAATTAGAGGTTTCCGGTTGAGATGATGATTCATCGAGAACGAGAGACTAACTTGTGCCAGTGCTTGATGATTGCTGTTGGACATATCGGTTAGTGGTTGTTCGATCTAGGGGACAACGCCTTGCAGGGCTCTCACCATCTGTGGAGTCAACAATGGTGCCGTCAAAGTCGGAGAGAACTCCATCAAAGGTATGGACCTGCGGGGGAGCAGAGAATGATCCTTCTGTCGACATGGTGAGGGAGTATATGCTGTTTGATATGAAGTATCTATTGAATATATCTATAAACAAAAAAAATCAGGTCTATGAACAATGAAAATGAAAATGAAAAGAATGGAATAATAACATGCACTTGGATATAATCCAAAACCCCGCCATAAGGCTCCCAAAACGACCCCCCCCAAATATCGGAGATCGGCGAAACAGATACTCCGTTTATCTAAGCGCGGTGAAATCTTGGCGTCCGCTCAAGTTTGCACAAAATTTGTAGAGGATCTTGAACGCCTCAGCTTTTTTTTTCTTGACATCATTTTGTCTACTTTTTTTTTCTTGATTAGTGTGGACTTTTGTGAAGCTCTGTCAAGATGGTCAATATTGGTGAGCTTTCCTTCCCTTGCTTCTTCCTAACTTCCGTCGTTCGATGCATTGAAAAAAATTGTCTTTTGCTAATCCTTTATCAATGCTGTAGGCAAGAATTCGAAGCGGACGCCCGTCCGGTTAAGGCACAAGATTGAGAAGGCCTCTGCGGCGAAACAAAGGAAGAACAGAAAGCTTGCGAAGAAGGTTAGCATGTCCCCGAGGATTTTATTATAAAAAAAATTCCAATGGAGCGATAAGTTAACGCTTTTTTTTTTTTTTTTGATAGGACCCGACATGGCGATCCAAGGTCAAGAAGGACCCTGGTATTCCCAACCTCTTCCCCTTCAAAGACAAGCTCCTGCAAGAAATTGAAGAAAAGAAACGATTGAAGGCGGAAGAACAGCAGTGGATTCGCGAGGAAGCCCGCGCCCGCCGAAAGGGACAGGCGCAGCAGTCGGAGATGGGAGCTGATGGTCAGGCTAAGAATGATATGGTCGATGATGAGGATTTGCTGGATGAGGATGATATGGATGAGGATGGAGGGGACTCGTCGAACCCCATGGCTGCATTGCTTGCTTCGGCTCGCGCAAGAGCGGCCGAGTACGAGGGTCAGCATGAGAGCGAGGATGACGATGAGATGGATGAGGATGATGACGATGAGATGGATGATGATGAGGATGAGAGCGGTGCTACGTTGGACACTGAGATTCCGGAGCTGGTTTCGAAGGCTGGGGGTAAGGAGACGTCGAGACGGGCGTTCGACAAGGTGTTCAAGCAGGTTGTCGATGCCGCTGATGTGGTTCTCTACGTGCTGGATGCTCGCGACCCGGAAGGTACCCGGTCCAAGGAGGTTGAGCGCGAGATCATGGCCGCCGACAAGGGCTCGAAAAGACTGATTCTCATCCTGAACAAAATCGATCTGGTTCCCCCGCCGGTGCTGAAGGGCTGGTTGGTCCACCTGCGACGATACTTCCCCACACTGCCTCTGAAGGCATCCAACGGCACTGCGAATGCGCACAGCTTCGACCACAAGCAATTGAGCGTCAAGGGAACCTCGGAGACACTGTTCCGCGCTCTCAAGTCGTACGCGCACACCAAGAACATGAAGCGGTCCATCTCGGTCGGTATCATCGGATACCCCAACGTCGGCAAGTCGTCCGTCATCAACGCCCTCACAGCCCGTCTTAACAAGGGATCGAGCAATGCCTGCCCGACTGGCGCCGAGGCCGGCGTCACCACCAACCTGCGCGAGGTCAAGCTCGACAGCAAGCTCAAGCTGATCGACTCGCCCGGTATCGTCTTCCCCAGCACCGGAGAGAAGAGCACCAAGAAGTCCCTCAAGAAGAAGCAAGACGAGCACGCCCGCTTGATTCTCCTCAACGCCATTCCCCCCAAGCAGATCGAGGACCCCATCCCCGCCGTCAACCTCTTGATCAGACGCTTGTCCACCTCGGAGAGTCTCATCCAGAAGATGCTCGACGTGTACGGCGTTCCATCCACATTTTCCACCGGCGGCGACCAAACCACCGACTTCCTTGTCCAGGTTGCCCGCAAGCGCGGCCGTCTCGGCAAGCACGGCATCCCCAACCTCGAGAGTGCTGCCATGACCGTCATCAACGACTGGAGAGATGGCAGAATCCAGGGCTGGGTGAACGCACCAGTGCTGTCGGTAGTGACCACCGCCGAAGGAGCACCCGCCAACGCGGAATCGGGTGTCGACACCAAGCAGGTCGTCAGCGAGTGGGCACAGGAATTCAAGATCGAGGGATTGTGGGGTAATGGCGAAGGTGACGATGAAGAGATGGCTGAATAGATTATATCTTCGGTTTATGATGGTTTTTCTTTCTTTTGTTTGCCGTATTCATGGATACCAAAAAAGGCGTTGTCAATGGAACTATCTAGTTGTCAATACTGAATACATTGTTTCTGGTCTATTCTATATGTAACATGTTTACCTATATCAAATGGTAAGGTACTCATCTTGATGCTGTAAATATATCCAAATAATTATTGTTATAGTCATGCTTCATTGATGCTATGCCAACATGTATTGCTACTGCTGCTACACCATATATATAACCTCAAAACTATATAATCGAACAGCCATATTAAAACACATGAACCAATAGCATCAGTAGGGCACAAATACAGAAACATACAAATCCAAAATATCCCACCAAGAAGACATTATATGAAATACCCAAAACAACATCCAACATTGCCACCCCATATCACCCACCTACTATCGTTCTTCCCTCCCGCCTTGCGCGCTCCGAAATCCATCCAATCCGCGTCACATCAATTTATCCGCGTAGATCATTTTTCACCATCCTTTTTTTTTTTTTCTTCTGTCTTACATTTGATCCACCGTGAATTCCCACAACCATCTATTTTACTATTACTGCAGTTTTATCAGTTATAGGGGTAGATAGAAAACGGACTCTCCGCCTTGCGTCCATCCACCTAGGTCGATTGAGTCGAACTCCCCAACTCCCACTCAACGCGAAAACGCGAACTACAATCTCTTAATCTCATCTTTCACACGCCCACCATGCCACCCCGAAAATCGACATCGTCAGTGACGCCCGCAGAGACAGATGACCATCAGCAACCGCAAATCCAGAACCAGAGCCAGAGTCAAAAGAATGTCACAGCAACAGAGCAGCAGTTGAAAGCTCGTGCCGAAGGGGGCGTTAACGTAGAGGTATTTTCTAAACCTACACCAGCACAGGAATTTTGACAGTCTATGAAGATGAAGAAGAGCACAATACTAATCAGATGAAATTTCATGAATAGGATTACCTCCTCCCCCGCTCACTTACGCTCCGTCTCGCGAAATCCGTTCTCCCGCCTAATACAGCCGTTCAGAAAGATGCTTTATTAGCTATGCAGAAGGCAGCGACGGTGTTTGTTTCGTATCTTTCTTCGCAGTATGTTCGCCCTTCTACGTCTACGAAAATATATGGAATATGAAGAGTGAAAAAGAAAGGGGAAATGCTAACGAGAAACAGTGCCAACGAAGCAACGCTCAAACGAACCGTTGCACCCTCGGATGTGTTTAGCGCGATATCAGAGCTTGAATTTGATGGATTCCGAGAGCGGCTTGAGAAGGAATTGGAGGCTCACACTGAGATGAAAGCGGGGAAGAGGAGAGGGAAGAAAGGTGAGGGGGAGGCTGGCGAGAAGGAGGCCAGTGCTGGTGGTGATGCTGGTGGTGAGGAAGAGGAGGAGAATGGAGTTCGTGGAGCGAAGAGGGTGAAGAGGGTTGCTAAGGAGGGGGAAGTTGCGAAGGGTGGTAGTGGTGGTGCTGCTGAGGGAGGGGATGGTGATGAGACGCAAGATGAGCCCGAGATGCAGGACGAGAATGAGGAGGATGTTGAGGATGAGGAGGTGGAGGATGACGAAGACGAGGAAGAAGATGATGAAGAGGGCGAAGAAGAGGAAGATGTTGATCGGGTGGAGGATTTGGATAAAGACTCTCGAGCCAGACGGACGATGGATCCTGATGCCGCCGATGACACCGACACTGATGATGAGACCGGGCCTGGGACACAGTTACGAAACAATTTGGGATTGGGTTGACCTTGCCATGATGGGTTACTGCTTATTACAGATTATAAAATAATGATGGGATTCGGAGTTGATGGCAGAATAAAAGAATGAATATTGTATTAGTATGGCAAGTTATGTTTTTCCAAATAATATTCACCATATTCACCATCCACATTTTCATCAATGTACATCATGCATTCGATAATATTATCAACTCTGCCATTCAGGACAGCTGTATCACGCAGCATAAGCATAGTCCTTGATCCTTTTGGTTTAAACAAGAAATCGATTCACAGTGCCATCGTGGTTTGGATCGATTAACTCGAGATCCGTAGTCGATGCAGAAGAGATATTAAGACAAAACCAACCCCAACTCCTCATACCCTCAAAAACTCCTAGACTCGAAAAGTGATCGAGTCGATGCACTCTCCAGTACACGGTCATAAACCCATCCAAATGTACAGAAAGAGAAGAGGCCAATAGCCCATACAGATAGAAACAAAACATAATGACCACAATAACCCGGGGGTATATCCCTGATGGGAGATAGACGTGTGGGAGAAAAGCACCAGGGTTTCATACCCTTGCTTCAATATTAAAGCCGAACTCCAACGTAACAAGCGCAATCTATCAGTGGTATCTTGAAAGTCATAAGGATCTGGCCTTTGAAGTGACCAAAAGAAGAATAAAGAAAGGAAGTAAAAGTATGACCAATGAGCCAGTGTAGCCGAGGAACTGCTGGCAACATACTCGAGGGTCTATGCAGCAGGCCCGTTCAACAGGTCACTCATCCCATGGGGGACCGACTTGGGAGAAATCGTCTCGGGTTTATTCCAAATTTCACTGCTGGCACAGGCATCTCCTTTATTAGCCAAATGAGGGAACATGGGGCCATTGTTGCGAGCTGCACCGGGTGGAAGTGGGTGCATAGGCTTAGCATCGTCCTTTTCCAGCTTCGAGGCCTTGTCGTCACCGGCAGCCTTGGATGTCTTGGTGACTCTGCTAAATGTAGTGATTCTTGAATTCTGGGGCGGCTCTTGCTTCTTGCCCCGCTGCTTAGCCGCAGCTTTCTTGGGCGCAGCCTTCTTGGGAGCAGGTTTCTTCGGTTCACTGGACTTCGCGCTGGTAAGTACGTCTTTGAGATTTCGTCCCCGACTAGCGGGGTTTGGACGAGTGCCTTTGGGTTCTTTATGCGGCAGTTGCTCTTCGTCGTGGCTAGAAGAAGGCGTGAGAAATCCAGTTTGGACCTTCTGCTTCTTCTTGGGTGTCTCAATAACAATGGACACAGCGCCCTTCTTTTTAGCACGTTCAACTTCGGAAAGATTGCTCTCATCAAACACTCTGTCCGAGACGTCATCCCAGCGACCCAACGAGGCAATCCGTGCGACTTCATCACAGTCTCCCTTGACCATGAGATCCCAGCAGTCTTCGAATTCTTTGCCTGAGGGCGGTTCATTGTTGATCCACATTGTAACTCCGTTGCGGCGACTACGGATCACGGAGCAAAGACTTTTGACCAGGCGACGCACGCCGGGAATCTTCATGCTGGTTCCGACCACGATCAAAGCGTCCGGGCGCGAGCGAATGTCGGCATTCATTACAGACGTGATAGCTTCCTCGTCGGGGTTGTGTTCGTTGTAGAGAACAATGCGTGGGCGCATCTTGCCAACACCGTGACTCCGCTGACCAGTCTCCATACGGAATTGGTTGTTCAGGGCGCATGCGGGACACTCGGGCGCATCAGGTCTGTCGAACATGTCTCGGTCAAATTCACCAAGATGACGACACTTTTGGCACACCATAGTATCCAGGCTTCCGTGAAGTTGAATTGTGCGCGGCCATGGTGCTTTAACATTGAGGGGGATCTGGGTGGCCAGCGGGGGCATTGAGGTCTCAATGGCGTCGATATTCTGGGTGTACAGGCGGGTGAGTCGGTTCTCGTGCCCGAGACGGGCTAGCATATGGTGGAACTCGGTAGGAGAAGTCTTGGCTGCCTCCTCCGACAGCGACCGCACCATGTCCTGGAAGGATGCGGTAAGGGTTTCATCTTGGTAGACGGCGGCGTCAAACAAAAGCTTTCCGGACGCCTTGAGGTTGTGTTTCTTGGAAAGGGATTTGAATAAACCATCCGTGGACCGGAAATCAGGAACTATAATAATAATTGCCATTAGTAACTGCACAGAGAGTAGAAAACAAGGCGCGCTGGTGAGGCTGAACACGTACTGCCAGCCGACGTGGAGATGCCAGCACCAGCGATGACGACGATTTTGCGGTGACGACGAAGCGTCTTGGTGAGCAAGTCGACCTGTGATTGCTGCTCCTCACGAGACAGACCAGAATCGGCGGATAGGTCGAGATGCTGCGTCTGGCGTTCCTTGGGCGCGGCGACTCGTCTCCTCTTCCTGGCGGGGGGTTCGTCTTGGCCGCGTGCGGCGCTACTCAACTCATCCGCGTCCTGCGATGGGGGCGGCGAGGGATAGAAACCCGGCGGAGGAAGAGGGGATTGAGGTGGCGAGCTAAGCTCAGAGATATCCGAACAATCATCATCCATGACGAAGAGTATGGAAGAATTAACGTAGAGGATTGTCGAGGTGGGTTGGGAATAAGGTAGCAATGCTGACGGGGGAGGAGCTAAAGGGAGAAAAGGAAAAAAAGAGAAAAAGACGGTTATTGTGTTCTCACGGACAAGAAGAACCAAACGAAACCCGAAGACGAAATCATTGAATTGAAAGCAATGAATGAAGAGGAAGAAAGGAAGAAAGAAGAAGAAGGGGGGTTCAGCTTCGTCTGGAGAGGGGGGAAGAGACGAACAGGGGAAGAAAGGATGAAGGAGGAGGATGTGGAGGAAGAAGAAGAAAAGAGGAAAAGACGGTCGATGAGGTCAGAAGAAAGGATGGACCTCTTTTGCTTCTTTCGCTTGGAACCGAATTTTTTTTAATGTTTATTTTGACCCACGGGAGAAAAGAGAAGCAGAAAAAGAAGAGCAGAAGAAGCCGGGAAGAAGCGAAGAATTAGAGAGAGAAAGAGGAAGAGATGGGAGAGATTATTGGGATGGAGATCACAGGAGGAATGTAGGAATGTGGTAGTGGTGGAGAGGACTAGGGCTCAGAACGAGGACAAGACGGTGAAGAGAGAGCAGTTTGCCGCATGGGATATCGACTATTTGCCGTCGAATCAGGCTGCTCGATCCAGAATGAACAGATGAAGCCGTGATCCAGCGCGATATCTGTATGTCAATTGTTGTTGCGGATGTTGATGATGCAGATGCGTGCATGCGGCCAATCAGTCGGCAGCGTCGGGGCTGCTGCTATCCAGGGACGACACACGCTCTGCTACGCTGTACAAACGAGGGAATTATCGATCTTGCAGGATCTGAATTTGCTACACTTGGGAATCCTATTATTGCAAGCCGAACCCTGTCTAATTCCTCTGTTCGTCCACAAAAACAGAAATTGATGCTTTTTTCCCCTCAACACAAAAGTGGATTAGCTAAGCATCCTAATTTTCCCAGCCAATCGAATGTGTTGCAGACACGGACGCTAAAATAGAGGGTCCTGCAGCAGCTCTGCCATTGGCCAGCCCCGTTGGCAGGACTACCGCGGGCACATGACCTCACATGACGGATGACTAACGCGAGTCCTCCGCCCGCTATTATGATCCCCAGCAGGACAGCGAGAGAGCAAAAGAATCATGAGAATGCTGTGGATGGAGATGTGGAATTGCTTCTAATGGGAAACCGGACATGATTGATGTTGTCGCTTAGCTCTGCGCTTTCTTGAGATACCCTTCCGTTTTTCTTTTTTCCTTTTTCGTCGCTTTCTGGCGTAGTCTGTCTGGCTCCGATCGTTTCGTCGGATTTCCTATCATATCCCAGTTCCTTGCAAACGGCCATGCAATTCATGGTGATTGAATGATTTGATGATTCCTTCTTCTTTCTCTCTTCATAACCCCCTTTTCCTCCGCTAGTTTCCGATTACTCAAACATGCCCCTGATGATGGAGGACAGCATCAATGTTGACGACCTCTTTGGGGAACCCACCTCTCTCGAGCTGGGTTTGTCCTCCTCCTCCTCCACTCTCAAAGGCCTAGTGCAGCGTCTGGATGAGATGAGACTGGTGGGGTGCTGCCAGTATGTGTTCACATCTGTTTGATTCGCAGATATCTAACCATATGTAGGAAGATTGCTTGGTCACGACTGGGGTGTATTGCATACATCTCTCAAGATAGCCTCAAGGTCAAGACCCGTCATCTCCAGTGTCAACCGTCAGATGGTAAATGGGTGCTCAGTGATGACACTCCTTTGCTGCCAGTCACTGATGCCCACGGTGGCTACCCTCTGGTTCATCTGAGCTGGAATGAAACTGGCACCGAACTGGCCGTGGTCGACTCTTCCGGCCGGGTCTCCGTCTACTCCATCTCAATTGCCCTCAACAGCATTGCAGGTCAACGTCAGGCGAACTTTGATCCTAGTGATGATGCCGCTCAGATCGTCGGCATGATGTGGCTGAACACGCAACGTTTTGTAAGTTCCATTAGTGTTGCGCATCCCTCTCCTGCTGTGAGCTGAACTAGAGTTAGGTGCATGCTTTCAATCAAGCAACCAAGGTGAATGGCCGTTGGGGATATTCTCCTGTCGGTCGTCGACCAATTGGTCCTTTCCATCCGTCCAATAAAGCAGTGTTGCTCTGCGTGACTAGATCCGGTCAGATCAGGCTGATATACCAAAACCCCGATGGTAAATGGGCCGAAATCAACACAGAGCTCAAGAATACCGGATACTCGGACAGACTCTTGACCCATGCAGCCTTGGTAGCCTCTCCAGGTGAGGGCTCCCCTCGCAGATATGCAGTAATACAAGGTGGCTAATGTACAGTATAGCCGGTGTTTTTATTGCCACCCATTCCTCGTGCCAGAAGATTTGTCTATACCGTCTACAGGTTACCTGGAATCCCCCCAATTGGGACCCGAAGATACCGGCTTCAGCACAATCACCTCCCGTCCCGAGTATGCGTTTCGCCCACTGCAAAGTCGAGACTCCAGGTAATATTTTGAGCACAGCTCACAGTTCTGGAGAGAACTCTGATCAAACCTCATCTTCGACCAACTCTGTTTACTCCCTCACCCGATTAGAGATAATCTGTGCCCCGGCGGTTGATAGCCAATCTGGATCGACACCACCATGGATCCTTGCAGTCTTCTCAAACTCTCTCCACGCTACGAATGGCCATCCTGAACAACAAGGGCCAGCCAGTGTCATTGTGCGCTGGCAACTGGAAAGCGGTTCCCAGACGCTTCATCCTAAGTTTGACGAAGTCCCGTCGAAAAAGAACAATGCTCAAGTCAAGGTATATGGCCTTTAAATTTCCCCGGTTGGACATCGCTAATCGTCGCTTAGCCGAAAATGGAGCTACGCAGGCTAGAAAACATCTACTCTGATAAACATATCATTTCAATAGACCAGACAGAATATGGAAACGTTCTCGCTGTGACATATGATGACAGCTCCGTCATATTTTACGATCCAAAGACCATGGCTGTGTTCAGTGGCATGGATGATGTGAATACCGTGACCAGTTTAGCACAGGCGGGATTCCACTATCCCTCAGAGATTTCAGGTTGCTACTACTATTACTATAAGATGGTTCGAATAGAAGGCTAATTGGTTATATCTGTAGGCATCCACACCAGCTTCTCTCCAAATGCCACTGCTACTGTCATGCTTGATAGCGAGGGGCAAATGCAGCTTAGGCCCATGGGACACTGGTATGGAGCAGAGCATGGTCTTTTTGACGAAAGTACGTTTTGAACTTCTCGAATATGGGTGCACCCTGCTTACTCTCATCAGGCAAATTCTCTGCCGCTATTGCAGGTCTCACATTAGCATTCTGTCGCGGAAGTGGAAGTGATGTGAACACAGATGACATTCTTTTAATCGTTCAGCAACAACTCCCAGCTGGTTAGCCAACCCCTGTCTTGGTCCATAGCATACGTTTCTAACACCTACTAAAGATGCGCGGGTCACATTCATTAATGAAGTATATCGCGGGTTGCCTATCAATTGTGACTTCACGGCGGAACAGGATAAACTCATGAACCATCCATACATCCCACGGTGCCTCAGCCTACAAGCTGCTATAGGGTTTAGGGATAAGTATAAGCCACGCAACCCACCATCTGCTGTGTCATGGGCCATTCTCAACCTTCGCCATGCATCAGTTCTATTTGCCTATTTTTTCACCTACAACAAGACTCCTCATACGACCAACAAGAACGCCCATATGGCAGAGCCGCATGACCCAGGTAAGTGCCAGCAGTTTTGTATCTTAATTTACATTGCTAATTTCATTCAAGATGTATTGCGAATGGTTCTCGGAAATACCAAATGGGCACTTGATTTCTCACAGTATATCATGAATGAAATTTTCGATTTAGCGGATGAGTTTGAAGGCGTGCTCAATGACCAGGAGGCATTGAGTCAAAAATGTCAGTTCTTCCCCGAACCCGCACTTGAACAGCGAGCACTGACATACTCTAGTAAAAACAACAAACTCTCTGCCTTTGATAATTCTACTTTCAAGCATGTCTCGTGCATTCTTGCGTTTCATCTGCCGTGGCCTGCGTGGTGTCTATGGAGGCTATGCCTCTTCACCAGGCCTCACAGGTGACGCTCGCATCCACTATGCCGAGATTTGCCAGACCATGGACGCCTCCCCTGTCCGTATCGATGTGCACGAGAAGTTCCTCTCTGGAGTGGATTCGGCAGTACGACATGCGTACCAAGGTGCTGGTTTCGGGGATGCCGAGCGCCCTGGACCCGAGAAGGAATTGCTTGTCAACGCCCGTATCCCCCCAGTCCTTGTCACAGCAGTTGCCACCCTCCTCCGACAAACGATCCCAATAATCAAACCAGACATCGACCGCATGGCAATCTACCTGGGCGACTACAGCTGGCTTGGTTTCGGCCACGACCGAAGAACAGAATTCTACCGACGAAACCGCGACGTCGACATCGTGAAGAAGACACCCCTACGAGTTCTGTTACCAGCCAGCAACCCAGAACAAACCCACGAACACGGCAGTAAACCCGGTAATAACCACGGCCAACAGCGTCGACGACGCTGCGTGCGCTGCTGCGAACTCTCCGGCGACGCCCACACGCCACGCTCTATGCTGTCTCTTCGCATGATCGCGAAACTGGGCCTTCTACGCTCTTGTCTCTGTGGTGGGATGTGGACGCTGGAGTCGGGGTCTGGCCTGGCACCATCACAACCACCTTCGACGCCGATGATGCATCATCAGTCATCAGGTCGTACCCCGGCACTGGTTGAGGGGTTGGCGGGATCGAGTTAGGGTTTACTTCGTGGGAGGTGGCGCATTTAGATGACCTAAATATTATGATAGGATTTATATTATACTCGGTAGAGGAATTATATTATAGAATTTGGCATGCATGGTTGATTGCTACCATAGGTACGACGTAGTATTGCCTAGGGCAGGGTAGAACAATATCTGAGCCATCCATAATAGCGTTTCATATAGATGTTCGTTCCTAGTATGTCTTATTCATTGGCGCTTGATGGGACCAAGGGAGGGACAAAAGGGCAATCGAGATGGATGCAATCGAATATCCTAAATCGAGTCTAGAAAGAGAAGGGTATTGGTTGTCTGGTTCAAGAGTCGTCGCAGATTAATATCATATTATCATGTCAAGAAAAAGCCTTCATTTAAATGTCGACCTGCATCGTCTAAGATACATAATCAATATCCTTTTTTGTTTTTTTGGTGAAACCGACCACCCCACAAGGTTGAGGTCAACTCGTCATCTAGTAACGGATGTTCCCATAACTCCAGATCCAGACACGACCGCGTCGACAAAAATTTAGGCCTGTTTCGACGAAAAAAACCGATCAGTAAATTGGTTCCCATTTTCCGGTCTCGTAGAATTGTTCCCCTGCGGCGGAAAGCAAGACCCGAGTTTTCATGTTCGTTCATCTCATACCTTAACAGCGTACTTCCGCTGGGGGAAGTGGATCTGCTTCTTCTGGTCCTTGGCGGTCTTCACCGAAGCCTCGTGCTTGGTGAGTCTGCGGCGGATCTCACGGGTGAGCTTGGGGCGGAGGTCCAGAGGGAGGTACTTCTTGTTCTTGTAGAACAGACGGAGCTGGGAGCGCTGGTTGGCGTTGATGACGGTGAGAACGCGAGCGATCGACTTGCGAACGTCGTGGCTGTTGTTGGAAAAAAAAAATCACAATCAGTATTTCGTTGGTTCTTAGAATTGTGATGCCCCTGTTTCTTCTTCTCATCTTTGTCGAAATTTTTTCATCTTCCTCCCCATCCAATTTTTTTCTTCATCTCCTCCATGTCGTATTCCCGATTGACGCATTGTAGAAACAAGAAAGAAGAGGGGTCCGGAAAATTTCAAACGCACATTCTCTGGGTCTTCGACGAGGCACCGGCAGTGATCTTCTGGACACGGAGCTGGTTAAGCTCGGTCTTCAGCTCCTCCAACTGGGTGTTGAGGTCATCCTTGCTCTTTCCCCAGAGCTGACCAGCCTTGACCTTGGATGTCGACTGTAGAAACACAAAAAAATCATCGTCAGCAAATCGAGGTCCCTAAATTTCAAAATCACAGCAATTCCATCAAGAACAACATGCGCTTGTACGTACCATGGTGGGCGGCTTCGTGTCGTTCGTGCGGTATGTCGACGTGAAGATTGAAGATGGACCGGGTCAATTTGGGATGTTCGTTGTGGGACTAGGGTTTTTTGCGTGGTGCGGCTTTGCTAAGCGGGGCACGTGATGTGGCTGATCGCGGGCGACTGCGCCGCCGATGGGACCGCCATGGAGAGCCGATGGGGGTTAGTTGGTCGGTTGGTTTGGCTGCGAAAGGGCGGCAGAGAGATGATCGTTTGTGTTCTGGGTGTTGTGTCAGGTTCTATCAAGTAGAATCAAATTATTTTATCTTTCATCTTCTGGGATTCCTGTTCTTTTTCTTCCGTGTGTGTGATATTAATCTTGATATCTTCTATAATGGCCACTTCAACTGGTACCGGGTGGGCTCAGCTCCGGCAGCAAGCCCGCTCGCTCGAGACACAGGTTTGTGCATTCGCATCCGGTTTATATCAAATGGAATCATGTATGGGAGGGTGTTAACATCGCTTGTAGACCGAGAATCTTTTCCATAGCTACTCGCAGTTTGCTTCGATGGCAAAGCCACCGCAAAACCCCTCCGAGGATGAAGTACGGATTGAATCGCAGTTGAAGGATATCCTGGAAAGAGTATGTGGATAGCTCCGATATACATATACCCTTTTCACCATCACTGACAGTCATATCAAATTAGCGTGACTCTCTCATCGCCCAACTCTCCCGTCTCCTCGACTCCGAGGCCACCCTTACAGCCTCCGCTCTGAAACAGAACAACCTCGCCCGTCATCGCGAAATCCTCCAAGATCACCGCCGCGAGCTCCAGCGTTTGACCTCCGCCATTGCTGAAACCCGTGACCGAGCTAATCTGCTCTCCAACGTTCGCTCCGATATCAGTGCGTACCGGGCATCGAATCCAGATACCGCCGAGGCCGACTACATGCTCGAGGAGCGGGGTCGGATTGATGAGAGCCACAGTATGATGGACGGCGTCCTGAGCCAGGCATACGCTATCAACGAGAATTTCGGTCTCCAGCGCGAAAACCTGGCTAGCATCAATCGCCGTATTGTGAGTGCTGCCGGCTCAGTCCCGGGAATGAACGCTTTGATTGGAAAGATTGGAACCAAGAGGAGACGGGATGCCATCATCTTGGGTGCCTTCATCGGATTCTGCTTTCTGATGCTCCTTTTCTTCCGATGAGAAGAACGCGCATGCTCTACGTTTTTGCTTTTTCTTATTTACCCCTCACCATCGAGCGATTTTTTCATGTTCATATCGGAATCACTGCGGCGTTTTCGGGGCCATGTTTTGTACTCATATATGCCCCACGGGAATACTAATCATAATGCGTGTCGGGTGTTGGAGTTTGGGTTGCTTATTATACACATTCTATCTGTACATACATGAGAATAAATTGCCGTATCCCTCAGGGTCTAGTAACCACGCGGGGTTTCATGTCATCTTGTTTCCTTCCCTCCCACTCTTCCGCCGGTAGTTCGGATTCCTTGCTTATTTTCCTCTCCTCGAGAAGTTTTCGGATACCATTGTTCAGGGAGTCCAATTCAGTCTGTTCAGCCGGACCGCTTCCTGCCCATCGGATGCGGCAGTTCTCATCCAGGAGATACACGTATCCAACCTTGCTGTTCATCATGCCAATGGCTTCCTTTAGACCATCTGTAAGACCTTTGCGGACAAGGAAGTATCTCTCATGTTGCTCTTGGGGAAGCTTTCCCCGCATCTTCCACATGAACGATTTAACCAGCCACGCCTTGAGGGCATTCTCCTCCAAGTTGATATCGACCTTCTGAACATCTTGACCACCGCTATTAAGAGCCTCGTAGAGCCCCGGGTTTTGTTTCGGACCGGTAAATGTAGCGACCTGGGACTCTGCCCAAACACTGGAGAAGAGGTTGACGACGGTGATTCTGCCGCGGAACAACGAGGTGGTGTTCTTAGGTTCATTGGGCGATGCCAATGTGATCCCGTACATGTTGGGAAAGTAGAGGGATTTATCTCGTTTGAACAATCGAGGGTTCGAGACGAATGTCTTTCCCTCGTGGTAACGCATATTCGACCATTCACGGAAATACGGTTTTGCGACTTGTTTTGTCCTAAAAGTAGATGGTAATTAGCATGGAATCCTTATCCTTAATTGAGCGAGTCCAGAACATACAATTCCTTGCGGCGCGCAAGATGTCTATCATAGTTGACGAAATCATCTCGTCGTTTTCGCAATGACCGATCATCAACGCCGGTATTCTGCCCTTCCTGGGGTGGGATTACCGAACCGATCGGACGGTCAAGAGGCGGGGGAATGAAGTCTTCATCGCCGGGTTGGCTAGTCGGAGAGGGAGTAGGGTTCTGCTTGAATTGAACCCTTTCGCCTGTTTTTGGTTTGGGCGCAGGAGACGGCTTCGCATCGCCATTAGGGCTGGTGGAATAGTAACGCAAAGATGGCTTCGTTCGGAGAGCAGTGGCAGCAGTAACATTGCGGAACTGGCAGCTAAGGCAGCGCCCGCCCCGTAAGAGGGAGCCTTCCGTGAGCGAGGAAAAGGCGAGAGTTGAGGACCTCCACATCCTGAAATATCAATGACAGACGGCGTTTATTGCTTGTCGTTGCGGAGTTGATTCCAACTCCGCCGCAAAGCTTCATAGCGTAGATTGGTTCTGGGTCCCGTGACCTGGTGGCACTTTCGTGCCAAACCCACGCGTGTCTGCCTACAAGACGTGTAACTCTATTCCACAGTCATCTACGACAATTTGAAAGCACCAGACAAGCTCTGGTTTATCCCATTTTTAAGCAGCTGAGCACCAAAGGCTTACCCATGGATCGACTTGTCCCCGAAGTGGGATTGAACAACACCATACAAGCCAGGAAATGTCGAAAACGACTAAAGATAAAGAGGCCTTTTTCAAAGAGCTGGAACAACTGGATTACTTGACGAGCGACGCTGAGGATAACGAGAATGACAACATCAGTCGTCTGATGCTACTGTCTAGAAAGGCTGATAGCCCCAATCCTACAGACATTCCTGGTTCAAAGGCATTAGCTCCGATAGTTCTGACGGACTCGGGCCCTCAGTCTTCACAAGGCGCAGTGAGCGTTGAGCCAGAAACGGTTTCCCCTGTCGTTGCCAATGAAGATCCTCAGAAGCCTGTGGTGGAGAGATCTAAGATCATGTCCGAGAACAAGACCGCTGCTTCCAGGAAAAGACGAGCGTACTCTACTCGAACAATCCCAGAGCAGCAGCAAATATTCAAGGGTCTCATATTCTGTGAGTCTTCTCGAGGATCCCTTGCCCATGATCAGTTCTGACCATTCTTGGTTCCAGTCTTCTTCCCAAACAACGATGTTTCTCCTCTCAGACGTCTGCGGATCCAGCGAGCACAAGAATTTGGTGCTATTTGGACCAGATCTTGGGAAGAAAACGTGACGCATGTGATAGTCGACAAGGGTTTGATGTTTCAGGATGTTCTCACGTTTCTGAAGGTCGACTCTTTCCCAGTAGGTTGATTGTTCAGATAACTCGTGCCCTCATTCTAACACTGGCAAAGCCTAGTATCGCTCTGGTCAATGAGACTTATCCGTCGGAGTGTATCAACTTTCGATCGATTCTCAGTGTAACACAGGCACGGTTTCGTGTGAATGGAACACCCAAGCCCTCTGAGGTCGAAGAACTCCCTTCTTCGGCCGAACAATCTTCGACTAGCTCACTACTACTCAAACCGCCTAGGAGACAAGGCCACTCCTCAACACCATCACAACTCGCTGATAGTGAAAGTGAGCCTGCTCCAGTTCCTGCCATAATACATGTCCAGCAACTTGTTGAGTATCCAAAGGGTACACCCGACGAGGAAGTTATTGGCGAATCATTTCCTATCCGTGAGCGTGACGTTTTGGATGACCTGATTGACGAGACCAAAGCTACAAAGGATTTGGTAAGATGCCCCGAGGATTAACTTTTGTTAGAACTATGCTTATATGAACAGCCTCTAGACCCACTGGAGTCTTTAGAAGATGAGGCTATCCTCGGAGCGTCTGATGAGGAGTCTTCAGCTTCAGAATCTGAACCGACCAAGTCAAAAAGACGAAAAATATCTTCCGGAGAGGACAAAGTAACGGATGCCTGGCAGCAGAAATTCGCATGCATGCAGAAGCATGACCAGAATTCAAATTCCGAGAACCCGAATAGCAGAACGATTGAGGTTCTTCAACAGATGTTGGACTACTATACAAGAACATCAGACCACTGGCGCGTGATTGCCTACCGTAAAACCATCAGTGCCCTTCGGAGACATCCAAAGAAGGTTGTCACAAGAGCGCAGGCTCTTTCGATAACGGGCATAGGGCAGCGACTGGCGGATAAAATCGAAGAAATTGTCTTTACTAACCGACTACGTCGCCTTGAAAACACAAACTGTACGCCTGAAGATCGCATATTCCAGGAATTTCTGGGTGTCTATGGTGCAGGGATTTCACAGGCATCACGATGGGTCGCTCAAGGCTTCAGGTCACTGGATGATCTGCGAACCAAAGCACCACTGACCAGACAACAGCGAGTTGGCGTGGAACGCTACTATGATTTCTCCCAGCGTATCCCTCGACAGGAAGTCGAAGCTCACGGGGACATTGTTCGAAAGGCTGTACAAGAGGTAGACGCTGAAATGGAGGTCATCATCGGTGGCTCGTATCGACGCGGAGCGGTCAGCTCGGGAGACGTCGACGTGCTTATTACCAAACCCGATACGGCAATCGAGCAGATTCGGACGATGATGATGGACATTGTTGTGCCGCAACTATTCAAACAAGGCTTTCTGCAGGTCAGTCTAGCCAGCACGTCCCGAGAGGATGGCTTTAAATGGCATGGGGCATCTACACTGCCAGGCAGTAATCTATGGCGTCGGATCGACCTTCTCTTTGTGCCTGGATCGGAAATTGGGGCGGCCTTGATTTATTTCACGGGGAATGACATTTTCAACCGCAGCATGAGGCTGCTGGCGAGCAAAAAGGGCATGCGTCTCAACCAACGAGGACTCTACGCTGATGTTGTGCGTGGAGAGCAACGAGCGAAACTGAATACCGGCCGGCTCCTCGAAGGCCACGATGAAAGACGAATCTTTGAGCTTCTAGGGGTGCCATGGAGACCTCCCGAGCATCGCATATGCTGAAGTGCCCGACCCTGTATGCCGGTTTGTATCGGAATGAGCGAGGGGCATTTGAAACAAAAATCCATGATGGATCTGGGATTCCATAGCAAATTGACACCAATTGCTTTTTGACTGAGTTTTCTGATATAACAATTTTTTTTTACCCCATTGTGACCATATGGACTTTGTAGATTGCATCAGGATGACCTGGAAAGTCCCGCAAGAGTCGAAAACAGACACTGCAGACAAGGCATGAAACTACTGTAGAACCTTATGTACTGTGGACACCGTAAAGGCGGTCTCGATAGCTAGATCTGTACGATTTCCGTGTAAAAGTCGGATTTGTGGGAAAGGGCTTGAAGCGATTGTGGTGGGTGTCGTAGAGAGAAGTGTGTGTGGACTTGCGTTGTACAGCAGAAGATTTAGCGACACACCAGATTTGGCCTTGCCCACACAATCGTCAGAAAGCACCCTCATGATCCGGATCTGATCCGTATTATTCTCCTCTTCTCCCCCTCAGACACCTCCAGATCCTCTTTCTCTGACCAGTCACCGATCTCATCACCGCCTTTCATGCGGTGAAGGCCATCCCAGCAGCCACAATTCACCCTCCAGGCGGCAGGCGCCAGACCGCCCGTGTAAAAGTCGTCGTTTTGCCGCTGCTTTTGCTCACCTTTCCTACCACCACCTGCTGGCTCTCTCTCCATCCCCCCTGCTAGCTTTGTTCATCAGTTTTCCTATACTTGTCTGATTTTATCACTTGGCTGCTCTTCTCCTGATTGATTGGCTGTTCTGCTAATTTTTGCCACTGGGCTGGTGTATTCCTGTGGTGCTGCTTTGGTGACCAGATCTTTTTGCCATCGACCGCCCCTCTCAAAAGCCTCACCTGTGCGTCGCGGCAGTAAATTATTAGCTTGCTGAGTGACGTTACCGGGGTGTCTACAGAGCTGGGAGCTCTTATCTTTTTCATTTCCTCCAAGTTATCTTCTCGATCTAATTCTCATACCCATTGATCCACGCCTTGTTGCGTGTGGACGTCCCCGACCGCACACACGCACACAATGGGTCGCAAGCCAAACCAGCTAATCCTCGAGTTCTTCATTCGAGGGCAGAAACTCGAGGATGCCAGCAACCGTTATCAACACACGTGCAAGGCCTGTGGTGAAAAGTTTCCCAAGGGTCGCATCGACAGTCTGACCAACCATTTGGTGAAGAAATGCCAGGCGATTCCGTTGCGTGACCGACAACGCGTCCTGTTGCGACTGCACGAGCTCCCCGACCTTGCCGACGGCGACCAGAACAAAGACCCCAACGCGAACAAAGGCAAATCCGTCGATCTGCCGTTTACCACCCGACAGAACTTTGATGGTCTCAACGTTTTGGCCGAGGCCTCGAGGCAGGTGGGCGCCTCCGACCAGACCAAACGCGGTCCAGCATACACACAGTCGGTGACTGTCGGGGGCAAGACCGTTGTCGTCGACCCTGCGCTTGAAGCCGAGGGCTTCCAGGGACATGCTGCTCAGCCGGAGCAAATGGAGGAGGACATCAAGCCGCCTGGTAATTGCCCGATTCCTTTTTTGTGGGCTTTGTTTTTTCGACTCGTGGCGCGCTAACGAAAATCATTACATAGGAACTCCTCAAACCACTAGCGCTACGGCTATTCCTTCCCTCCCTAATACTTCACAAGATCAACCATCATCCGCGTCTCCTCCGCTGGCTGAGACATCGTTGACTCCGGATCCCGCGTCCAATGTTCGCCAGTCGCAACTGTCGATGATCGCCGCCTCCGCCAGTGAAATGGTTCCACAGGGGATATCCTTGGATCATGATCCCAGTGGACTTCCCGATGGACTGCCAAAAGTTGGCTCTGCCTGGAACCAGGCACTTTCGACTCATGAGCAGCTGCTCTTCGACAGTCTTCAGGAGCACGACCCCACGTTGACCGCCGCGACACAACGCGCCGCCACCTTCCCTCGTCCCATTGCGATGAACCCTAACTCGCAGGCGAAGGGTTTCGTGAATGAATTTGGCAACTCCACCAAGCCGACGAAGCCCAAGGTTCGCGGGCGATTTTCCGCCGCCAGGCGCAGGGAGGTTCAGGAAGTGCGGAAGCGCGGAGCTTGCATTCGCTGTCGGATGCTCAAGAAACCTGTATGACACTGTTTAAGCTGGCATCTCAAGCTCAACTAACTCCTTTTAGTGCTCCGGCGACAGCCCTTGTACAACTTGCGCCAGCGTCGAGAGCGCGCGTCTTTGGAAACACCCATGCATTCGGACGCGCATTGCTGAAGAGTTTGAACTTTATAATGCGAGTACGTGGGTTCTTCTCTTGTAATCCAAAAAACTCCTGCTGATGTGAATAGATCTCCATGCCACTCTCGCCTATCATGATGTGAGCGGTGTCAGAAATCAAATCAAGTTCGAACACTATGCTGGCCGTATCGAGGTCACACACTTTGAAGAGAGCATGGTCTTTGTGACGTTCAGCGGACTCCAAGGCCACAAGCCCTCTGTGTCGACACTTGACCCCCAACTCCAGGGTCTGGGAGAGGACCCACAGTTCCAAGGGCCCCTTCATGAACTCTATCTGCTCGATAGCGACGCAGATGACCTGCCTGGGAAACTCGAAATGTATATTAAAAAGACCGCGCCATTTTTCTACGAGCGAGAGACTTCTGAGTTCATGAAGCCTACTTTGATGTTAGCAGCGGAGTTGAGTCAACAGAAGAAGGTAGGTTTTCCTATACTTTGGCATGAAAGGGAAGGTTCTGACTAGTCCAGGATGCCTTGCTGGAGCGAGTGCTTGAATTGTGGGTTGCAACACATATTCTGGTTGACTCGGAACTACAATGGAAAACATACTGCAACCCGACCCTTCCGCCCACCTCGATGCACTCCCTCGCGCAGCCTTCGGATGATGGCCGCATGCCAATTGATGAGATCACGAATGGAGAATCATATGCGCTCCTCTGCAGCCAGCTTCGCGCGGCGACTGAGAAGCGCGCTTCTCAGCTGAGCAAGTCGGTAATGAACGACCTGGAACGCAGACTGCTTCAGCGCCAGCAAAGTGGCTGGTTTGAAACCTTTTTGGTTGCTATCATTCTTCTGAACTGCGTTGAGAGGACTTGCTGGCTGTTCCGCTCGTGGGATGATGAACATTTCGCACAACGGGTAAGTGACTGTCTTTGGATCGCGAAATGAACTTCTCGCTGACACGGTGATTAGTGGCCTCTGGACAAGCGTCCTCCATACTATGCAAACCAAGGCGACCGCTTCTCGGACATTCTGCACATGTTGCTGAAAATGCGCAGTTTGCCCCCCAAGGCAAACCCACGGCCAGAAAATGGCATTCTCAAGGCGGTAGAAGGCAGTGATGAGAATGCAGCTCGTTGGTTTGAACTGATCAAGGTTACTCGTAAGTAGAGCGCTGCTATCTTGATTTGGATTTGTCTAACTTTCCCCACAGCCCATTTCCTAGACCAACGGCAAGCCGCGGTATTTGATCCGAGTGATTCCCGATCATTTGATCTTCACTATGGGGCGAAATTGTTACCGCCGGCCAATGTGTACACATGATAGCCGGGGAGGAATACAGCGCCTATTTGCTGGTCCATGGCAGCTGATGAAAAAATCGAACGATACATGATGATGAGAATTAGAATTAAGCGAGGTTTTTCTACTAGTTACTGTACCTGTACCCCATATGTGTTTTGTAGGAAGGACGTCTCTGGTTTTAGTATCAGATATCTACCTGGTAGTTAGTATATGCAATTATCATTTCCATTTAGTGGAATAATATGGTGATATTGAATATCCACACTCATGTCTTGATAATAGTTTTCTAATGATAATCCAATCTAACCAACCCAAGCATGAACATTATCACCACCCTTCATCTACAAGAGACGCCGGAAGCGAAAATCCAGATCCCAATCCAGATCCCGCAGCACTAGGAGCACGATTGTTCACAGGAGAACTGCGCCCACCACCTCCACCCCCCGCGTCAGACGGACTACGCGCCCAGTGACGCACATCATACCCCGAAGCATTAGAATTAGCCCTAGGTCTAGACGACGGCATATTATCCGGCGACGTAGGATCGGTAGTAGGGGGTGGCGCTGGGTTCCACTCGTCGAGGGGGTTACTCTGGTTGTTGTCGGATTGGTTGTTGTTGTTGTCCCAATCGCAGGCTGGAGTTGGGTCATCTGTATTTGGGGGTGGTAAGGAAGAGGAATTATTATTCCAGTCGCTGCTGTCATTGTTGTTGTTGTCTGGTTTGGGCGTGGGGGGCAGTTTTTCCAGAATCACATAGTAATGTCTTCCGTCGTTTGCGGCCCAGCTCATGAGGAAGTTACTATATCCTCAGTCAGTATCACCTAGACAGACAGTCCAGAAAAGGAAGGAGGGGGAGGGAAGGGGAAGGTCAACATACAACCCCCCATAAGACTGCACATTCGACCTCGTCGCCTCAGTAATAGCAGCAAGAAGCAAAGGCACGACGACGAGATTCTTGCCACCGGCGTGAACGACGGGAGAGGCGTTGGAGACGGGTAAACCGGGGTCATTGACGAGGGAGAAGCTGCTGTCTGGGTCTTTGCGGAAGATGAGGAGGAGTTTTTGGGTTGGTGGGGGGTCGGAGGGGGACTTTGGGGTGTTAACTGCGCTGTTTTGGGGGGAGGGAGAGAGGAACTGACGCTCATGTTGGTGGTTTGAGGGTGGTAGATGATGAATTGGTTGAGGGAGAAGATAGAGAGATGAAGAGAAGGGGAGGTGGGAGAGGAAGAAGGAAAGACAGTCGACAGTGAATGACAGCCAACCTGATATTGATATCAACCAACCAACCACAGCCAAAGAGTACACCAGTAAATGATATAAAAGAAGATAATAACAACAATCCATGAAGCGAAGAACAAGAACAAGATAATCATCATCATACAGACATACATCAACATAACACAACATAATCTAAGGACTCCCCATAAACCTCGCCGCCATCGCATCCTGCGTCGTCGTCTGAAGGACAGGCTGTTCCCGCACCTGCTCTAAGACGACCGCATAGTATTTGCCCTCTTCCGAGGTATCATGATACGGTCCTGCCGATAGAATGGCCCTATCTAGCATCAGTACCTTGTACACCAAATGCGGCTGTTCAGAACATACCACCCCTTATACTTGGGCTGATTGAAAATCTCCGTAAACACCCTCAGAGTGCGCAATGGCAGTTCCAGAATCGACGGCAGATCAGGCCCATCGCCGCAGATGGGAAGACCCAGTTTGTTGACGGGCAGATAGACCTGCTCGGCCGGGTTTTGCGGGTTGCGACCTTCTTGGAAGATGAGGAGACGGCGGGACATTTTGTCTTGTTTTCTTGTACAGTATATATGTACTTAATTGAGTGGGTAAACACGATCAATAATCAAGGATGATCGAATGCAAGCCTCGTGGGTGATGCTTGTATGCTTATCGCTGATCTGTGCGCGATAAATCGAGGGGCAGAAAAAGGGGAGTGGGAGGAAGCAAAGAGAAGATAGTGGGATGGAGTTGGGGAATGTGTAGAAAAGAGGTCAATCAGAATGAAGATATAGTAAAGAGGATATTATTTCCTGTTCTTCTGATAGTTTGATGTAATTATAATCCTCATAGTCAATCATCGTCATAATCATAATAATAATAATGGACCTCTCGTGGGTTTCGCGTCGCGTCGAATCCACGTGCTTTTTGGTGGGGATGATCGACTCTACAACATCGGCTAACTATACAAATAGTAGAAATAAATAGTATTGAATAGCTTTCTTATTTATAGCCGTAATAAGGAGTAATAGTATCCAATCGTATATTCATAACATGGATGGTACACTATGTAGACATTATCAACTAGACGTAGATAAATGGCTGGCCTCCATGCCAATAACAAATACAAGTCATCAACAAAAGTACATAAAGGTACATGAAGTAGAAGATAAAACGGATAGAATATACAAGAATCAGGGTATCACGTATCAAAAGGCCACAGCCAGGTGGCTCTGTCGCTTCACACAACCGTGCAAACGCCAGAAAGTCATGGTCAACCCGTGCAAACCAAAACTAGGTATATATATAATATAAACATAATGCAACAGCAGACAGTTCAGCCTGCTGGCTACGTGTCCAACTCTCCGTCGAGTACTCGCCGGGCAGCATCCAATCGTCGTCTCAACACTCGCACTGCTTTGGGGTCCGGGTCCGGTGCCGTCGTAATCGCCTGCAGATCCATGCAGACACTTCCAAGGCTCTCGAATAGTTGCTCCAACAGACGTTCGTCGTCGTTGTTGATGCCCGCATTCAGGGTTTGGTTCGGGTGAGGGCTAGATGCTGCTCGCACCGTCGATACGAGGGACGACGCAAGGGAGGTAGGGGTGGCGGACCCTGTCGTCGCAGAGTCGGATCGGTGAGGTATCGCAAGGGAGGGTGGACGTTCCGCCTTTCGTGCGGCTCGAGGAGTGCCCATCATTGCTTCAGTGTCGGACTCTTCTGAGATGTGGCCGTTTTCATGGTAATGATCATTATTGCGCAGTTCTGTTCAGCTGTTAGAGGGATACCATTCAAAGTCAAAAGAACACAAAATACCATCGTTGAATTTTCTGTCCCAGTAGAGAACACTCCGGATACCATCATCCCGCTCCCCTTCAGTGGCAGTGGCAAAGCTTGCAATAGTAGACAGCGAGTTTGTGCTATTCGTCCGCGAGTGCTTAGCCGAACGATGCTCGTGAATCGGTCGCGTAGTTTCAACAGATGCATTCGATAAATTGCTCGCCCGGCGCATTTTCGACTGACTGTAATTACCCAAAGCACTATGCAAGATGAAATGTTCGTAGTCAAAAGCATCCTCGCGCTCCTCGTGGGGCCTAGCCCCGGTGTCTGGAATCGGAGGAACTGGCGGGAAATCTTCAAAGGAGCCTCTCAGGTCCTCGTCGAGTGGCTCGCGCAAGATCTCATTTAGAGCTTCACGATCAATTGACTCATTGGAACCGTCCGTGTCGTATTCCCCTTCCTCTGCATCTTCGTAGAGACTTTCCATCACGGATTGTCCATCGTCAAAGTCGGCTGACTCCAAAACCTCAGGCTCCTCGTCTGTCTTGCTTGAAATGGTAACAGCTGGCACATCAACCTCATATCCGTTACTGACAGGTTCCGACTCTGGCTCTAGCTCTGGTACCGGTTCAGGCTCAGGCTCAGGCTCAGGCTCAGGCTTATTTTCAACTTCCTGGATCGGCCCAGGTGGACGTCTCTGCCCCGAAGCTCCTGAACTCGAGTTCAGTGTCTCTTGGCTGTGTTTATATTCCATCATATTGCTGTACCAGTGATTTGCCGCTGTAAAAGGACTCGGAGTTCGCAGACTCTGAAGACTCCGTCGACGAAGATTATCCTCTTGTGTCTTCACCTTGAGCGATGATATCTTAATGTGCAGGCCCTTCATCTGGTCCTGAAGATCTCTGACTTGAAGCTGGGACTGGGTGCGAGATGGAGGATCGTATGAGGGGTAAACAGTGTTGAAATCTTCCATGCTGGAAATCTTGGTCTCATTGTCATTATCATTGTCGCTGGAATTGGCATTCGCGCTGGCATCGGTGGAAATTCCCAGTCCTTTCGGTGTGTCGGGTGGCGTGTCCTTGTTCGGAATCGCAACGCCCACCGGCTGAAACGAAGACGTGGACGACCGATGGGTCAGGTATGCTCTTGAAGGGTCATAACGGAATGACTTGTCATCATTGTGAATCGAGCTGCTCGATGCCATTGCACTGAGGGATCGTGACAGACCGTTGGACTCATTGCTACCGGTCGAATGTAGATTTGTCTCACTGTGCACTCTGGAGTGTCGATTGTTGGCTGCATCCTGGGCAGAGTTATATGTGGAACGTGGACGCAGTAAAGAACCTCTGCGGTTCGTATGTGATATAGATCGATATAGTCCGCCCACCGGCTGATGGGGTCCCAACGAAGGACTATTCCCCGATGGCGAGGGCGACGACGAAAGCGAAGGTGACGCTCGCATAGAAGATCGAGCCCTTGTTAAATTTCCTTCCATGAGCTGAAAGACATGTCAGTCAAACCAACACTAATTGAGACCAAATTCAACATACCGTAAGCCGTTTCTTCGCATTCTCCAGAATCCGCTCCGCTTCAGTACTCAAAATCACAGACGAAAGTTCCTCCCCAGGCCCCTCTGCCCCAGCAACAGATACTATACTCGACCTCGGCGTTGTGTCCTTGCCCTGAGTATCACTCAGCTTGACATCATTCACCCCCATATGCAAACTATGGCCGGTAACCTGATCACTCTGCCCAGTACTCCCATCCCGCTGCGAAGACTCACTCGCAGCACTAATCGTCGAGCCGGACGAATTACTCCAATTCCCAACCTGAGCCTGCCTAACTTCATTATCCTCCATCCGTCCATGCAAGACAGGCGAAGCCGCCAACCGAGATGCCCCATTCGGTGACCCCGCCTGCAGATTCGCCGGAAAGCCCCCCAAATACGACGGCGACGACGCATCTTCCTCCCCGATATCGGACAGCCGGCGACTGGAGTCGTGGCCCTCATGCGTCCAGGTGTGACGCGGGAAGTTCCCCCTCTGCGAGCGATTGGAATTGGAGAGCGACCAGGCGAGTCCGATCGGCGTATCTGTTCCCGTGGTGTTGGAGTCTGCGCCAAAGTCGTTGGTCATGGGCTGGCCGGCGTAGAAAGATTGCAGGTTAGACAAGGAGGGCAGATTGAACGGGGGGGAGGGGGTGGAGGATTCGCGCTCGCCCTCGTCGCACGGCAAGATCATATCGGGATTCGTCAAGGTCGGCGAGGGAGGAATAGGGGGAGGGGGAGGGCGATGATTCGCATCATCTTTCGAGGGACTTTGTGGCATATTATGAATATTATTGCGGTAACGAGTGTCGGCGACAGACATGGTTGTCAATCGGGGAGAGAGAGAGATCGCGATCGATCGATCCAACCAAGGTCAAACGCGAACGGAGGGGGTATATATAAAAATAACCAAAAAAAAAAGAATGTGGGCTAAGGCGTCACAGCAAAGCCATCGGTAAAATTGACGTCCCTGAATGATGGACCAGAAAAATGACAGTTGAAATCGAAGGGATAATAAGAGGGGGGGGGGTGATTGTTATGATCTAGAAGTGCGTCTTGTCGCAGAACAGAAGACCTGATCACCACGTTTTGATTAGCAATTAAAGAGTAATAAGAAAAGAAAAGAAAAAAGAAACAAAAAGAAGAAAACAAGAAAACAAGACAGGCCGATAGCAGACGGGCCAACGATAGTTCGAGTTGGGAAGAGGAAGAGAAGACTCACTGGGCCTGGCTCAGATTAATTTTTTGTCCCTGAGACCGTTTTTTGCTGCTTGGACCGAAAGGGTAGGGATCCGTGCTTTATATGGGGATCGTCAGATTTTATTTTACTCTGGGCTATTATTTGGCAGGAGAAGAAGATAAAAAAGAGGATATCTGGAGAGGAGAAGTTCTATTTGATGGCTTATTGTATCTTGAAACTGTAATGGTGTAGTACTACTGTAGAGCATCGAGTATCACAGGATACCACCATACTACACATACGCAATCGTCTAATTACACTAAGATAAAAATTGAAAATATCAAATATCAAATGTAAATAACAATATAGTAAACAAGATAACCTCATTAAACTCTCCAACCGCAATCGAACCTGGGAAAGCCATCCTGTGGTTCAGCAACGAACCTGTCGCCCCGAATCCACGAACCCCTGAAACCACCGCTTGGATATCCCGAGTAGACCAAGGAGTCTCCAACAATGTATGTACAGAAACCCAGTATTACTATGTAAATGTAAAAATAACCAATTACAATAGTGATGCAGTTCATTGACCGTGAAGAAACGCGACAGATCACACTATTGTATGTCGGCAGATGCAGCGTTGGAGCCGACAATCGATGTCTCACATGGCAATCGAACCACTTCCGATGCTTTGCGTTATCGCGATCTGATTTAATATAAGGTACCTTATTTCTTTTGAATATATAGTACTTTATCTCTGAAATTGGCAACCCATACTTTTAATGCCTAGATATCATAAAACCTATACAATCCCTAAAATGCACAACAAAATAGACACCCATATTACAGATAGTTTTCATGCAATCCTTTATCGGATCTTCTCCAACAGAATCTTGGCTCCACTGCTCGTCGGTCCTGCCTTCTTGCCGTCCTTCTTTGCGGCCGCTGCTTGCTCCAACGCCTTCTTGTTCTTCTTCAGCGTCTTGAGCAGTTCGCCCTTCTTCTCAAACTCCTCCGACTCAGCCAGGGCAACAACCACAAACAGATTGGAGCCTGTCGCCCATGTCATGATGTCCTTCTGGATCTGCTCGTACAGCACCGCGTGGAAGTTGAGCGGGGGCTGTACCTTTTCCACCACCTTCTCGGTCGTGTTGAATCGTCCGCCTTGGACGAGAGACTTGAGCAAGCGTCCAACAAAAGGTGCGTCCTTGGTGTCGGACTTGGTCTTGGCTGCGGCCGCAACAGCAGACAGGGCTGCCGACTTGTCTCCGTCAGCATCAAACAGCACTTCAGCGATGAATTGACAGCCGAAGCTGGACTCGAGGAGGGGCTCGGCGCAGGCGGCCAAGAACTCCAACAGGGTCGGCGAGGCAGCCTTGAGCAGTTCCTGGCGTCGGATAGCTGGGTCCTTCTTTGACGTCTCTTTTCTGATTTCACGGACCTCGTTCAGGACTTCGTTGTCCAAGTCAGGCAGAAGCCACTTGACGCGGTCTCCGGCGAAGGGGAAAAGAATGGGAATACGCGCTGTCAGATCGGTCACTTGGAAGAGGAGCTCTTCATTCCGTGCCTCTTCCGACGAGCCTTGGCTCAACAGCTCTGGGAAGATCATCTTTGCGGTGAGCTTAGTGTCATCAATCACTTCGTAGGCGGCCAGAAGAACCAAGTGGCCGTTAAGGTCACCCGCCATCATCTTGATGGTGTCTCTGTAGAATCGCGTGAGCAGCTTTCGGTCCTTGGCGTTGGCATATGCCAAACAGAGGCACACCAGGCGCGCGCCTGATTTGGTGAACGCCAGGTTCTTGGTCAGGTCGCCTTCCTCGTCGCCCTTGAGCAACTCGATGAACTCGCTAGCATCGGTGCTGCCAGGCTTTGTGCACAGGAAATATTGCAACATAGCATCGTGCAGCATTGTAAATCCGGTCGACTTCTTCTGCACCAGCTGGTTGATGAGTTCGCGCAAGAAGTTCATAATCGGTCCTCGCTTTTCGGGGTTCTTGGCCAGAATATCGGCAAGGTCAGAGGATGCGTTTTCCTCTCTGAAGATCGAAAACTCGGGGCCATACCACTCCCGGAGGAGGTTCGCCTTTTGCTCCTTTGTCGCAACCATACGATAGATGTCATCGAGAATCCACGACGCCTCGGGGTGTCGAATGAGCCGCTTAACATGTCCGTAGAACTCGGGGATGATCAAATCCCGGATCTCCACGTCACCGTGGACAATCAACTTTCCAATCAAAAACTTAGCATACCGAGACTCTGCCAGTTCCTTGTAGTGACCCTTCAATTCGGTCGCAATCTGTTTCCGTTGCTCGACATTCGCATACTTCAATGCAGTCTGAATAACACGGACCGAGTCGTGCTTGAAGACAAAGTCGCGGACACGACCGGTGATGATGTCGAAAAGCTCAGCAATCAGCTTCTTTCTCTCCTCGAGCGGCACGTGGGACTTGCGGCGCAGACGCTCCCACAGCTGCTTGGACCGGGCAATGATATCGGCGTTGGGCTTTGCGGCTTTTCGTTCTTGTTGGAGGGCTTTTTGTTTAATATGTGATTCGCGAGAGTTGTTGTTGTTGTCTAGACGAAAAACACAGTTAGCATCGTTCAGACCTTGAAAAAAATTATGGCAGGATATCCCATACTCTTCTTCTCCTCAGCCGCCGGGGCATCTTCAGACTCTTCCATCTCCTCATCGTCATCACCATCCTGCTCCTCCTGAGCATCACTCGCACTATCCATATCAATATCCTCGCCCTGTCCATTCTCACCCTCCGAGTCCGAAACATCATCAATATCAAACTCATCATCGTCGTCCTCGTCCTCGGATTCCTCCACCTGAACCTTCTTCTTAGAAGAGCCCTTCTTCGAATCCTTCTTCTCCACCTTGGACCCCTTCTTCGAGAATGCAGCGTTCTTCACCGGCGCAGGTGCAGCCTTGGTCTTCTTATTCGGGACGGAACCTGTCTTCGTCCTGGATCGTTTGCCATTGCGCTCATCGCCCGCGTCAACGGCGCGCTTTACTCCGGGCATATTGAAGAATGTATGTGGAATTATCCCCTGAATTAACAATCAAGGAATTTTGTGTGAGTGGGTTTGTAGGGAAGCGGAGTCGTTGGTAGTTAATTCTAGATCAGATTATCTACCGCCCGCTGGATAATTTTTTCTGCTGCGGGAATGATTTTTTTTTTCTTCGGGCGGATTTAAATGTTTGCGGTGTTTGCATTTTACTGATAAGGATTTGATATGCGATTTGGAGTAAATCAATGGGATTTCTATGGAATTATTCTAAAGATATTAATTAAATTTATTGCTGAAGAGAACTGAAAAGAATTATATAGCTAATCTACACTACCAATGTCTGGGTGGACTGTACTACAGCCAGAAATTACCCCAGTTATGTGCAACAGTGACCTTGTCTGAGCCAGGAGACAAAAGGAAATATATCTAACAGGGCAACGGCATGAAAAAGACCATGTGAGCAATAATATGAGCATGAATCCTCGTAAACCAAAGCCCTATATAAACGGAGAAAGAAAGAAAAGAAAAGGCAACCCAGAAACACCCGAGGAATTCCCAAAAATAGAAGCATTTCGCCGACATGTCATACGTGTTTCATGAAGTGCCATCGACATCTGCTCTGGTAACGGTGGAAATAGGGGGCTTCAAAGAGCCCATCTCTGATCCCACACCACTCTGTGTTCGTTTTCTGCCTGGGATGTGGAATCCCAGGTGTGATGAGGGTGTTTTGGGGGACTGGTTGTCGTTGGAGAAGTCGCTGAAACGGGCAAAGATGCCCTTTTTCTTGGGCTTGACGTCGTCGTCAAGGCCCACTTCTTCGAAGTGTTCATCCTCCATTGCTCTCGGTTTTTCGAACCCGTTTAGCCGTTGCGACGATGCGGAGGTTAGATGGGAGAATCGCGAGTCGAGGGAAGTTCGAGAGGGCAACGCATCTGTATAGCTCACCGGGGAGCGGGCGGAGATATCCTAGAGAGAAGGAGAATTAGCTTGATTTATGGAATGATATCTTGCGATCAAACTCACAAACGAGCGACGATATGAGTCGAATGATTCGCGGGATATGGAAAATGGTTCATTGTCATCGACCAAGTCCCGGTGGTTCGACGACCTCGGCGAACCCGGGTATTTTTTCCAGAAACTTTGCTTCTCTGGTGGTGAGGGCTATACAGCAATCAGATCAATGAATTCACCAGAAATCGGGCACCAGGAACCGATGCGCCGGAAAAGGTAATACCGGAAGATATTCGCCGTTGTCATCGACAACTGCAGAGCGATAATTAGCGACTCAAATGCGGGGGTCTAGCAGATGTCGAGCATACCACTGAGTTTAAATTCATTGGGCGCATTTTCGCTGCTCGTCCTGATACTCGCAGGACGTGCATTCGGATTCTCCGTCGACAGATGGTTGCTATCGCTGGTGTTGGCTTCCCCGCCATTCGGCGCGGACTTTCTGGTCAAGAAGTTGCGGAAAGGAGCCATGTTGAAATCGTGGGTAAGCATAGAAAACGCAGTAAAGCAGCAAAAAACGGTGCACAAAAGATCAAATTGAGGAGAGAATGATTCCGAACAATGCTGAGTGGCCAAGGAAGAGAGGGACACTTCTCCAGACTCACATGATCGGCGGGGGCATCGGGCATCAGGCCATGGATGGGGAATTGGTGGATGGTGACGCTCTGGGAATGGATTGGCACTCAGGGACGCTTAATTTCCGTCATTGTATCATCCATTTTTTTGACTATTTTTTATCTGAGATTTATATATTATTTCTATTCTTACGCACCCCGGGGGGGCGCCCTCCCTCCTCGCCTCCCCGGCGATCTTGCGGCCCTCGTCCCCGCGTATGAATGTCGTATGAACAAGATGCTCCGTACGGCCATACAACACTCGAAACTCTCTCCCCCAAGCCATCATTTGTTACTCTAATTACTAGAACACAAATTGCTCCTGCTTTCACCCGTCTTCTGGCCGTCTGCTAACGGATCGTCCGTAGACATATGATGAAACCTCAGAAGGAAACATACCACGGGAGATTATCGCAGATCGTATTAAACAGACATATGGATAAAGATCCAAATCCTATTGATTAAGAGAAAAAATCCTAACAACACCATTTCTGAGTCCCAGGCCAGTCTCAGTACAACCAGTCCCTCAAGTAATCTAGTGCCTTTATTGCCTTTCACATGATATCCTTGGCCATTATGCAGACGATGGCAAAGTTGTGTAATCACCGCCTTCAAATCTCTGAAGTCCCGGTGGAGCACTGCCTCTTTTAAAATTCAAATATCTTCTCGGTGTTTGGGCAATTTCCTCATCTGATTTCCCATCAATGAGGATATCAACAAAGGTGTTTGCACGAAAGAGAGGGCTCTGGTTGGGGTTTGTTTCATAGTACTTGACCTCTATCCCATTTGAATCAGTAAATCTCACAAGGAAAGCAAGACGACCTGCTGGGTCACTATGTATTGCAGAGGTTGCATAGATATTAGGATGTCTTGATCCCGAATCGGAAACTTCAATGCGCACAAAGATAGTACCATCCCCAACATCCATGTCTGGCGGGAAACGAATAGGACAATAGTTAACACGAATTGACCTTTTGATAAGAAACACCGAGGGGTACATTGTACTTGTATTCCTTTTCTCGAAAGACTGGGGCTTCTTCTCTCCAGATGTATTGCTGACGTTTTAGACCATTAAGATGAGATTCTTGGTCTTTTCTTGATACGCCCTTTCTTGAGAATTTAGTCCGTAAGCTTTCTTCATAATGAAGCAGTGGATCCTCTGACGTGTCCAAAATTCCTCTTTGAATTCCTGTATCCAACAGATGCGCTAAGTCCTCAGGGAGTGCTTCATGATGGGCGTCATTTTCCCATTGGCTGGGATAAGGGACATCTGTCACCGGCTTTATCTCCTCGTCATCTACTCTAGGAGATGGCAGAATTGGCGCAGAAGCCACATCAGACTGGATCAATAGAGTAGAATCGGTATCTCCAGAGCGTCTAAGAAGATTATTTGGTAATCTTGCCAGCTTTTCAGCAAATTCATGCTCACGCTGTGAAACAAGATCATGTACCATTTCCTTGACGGCCGTGTATTTTTCGATATCGAAGGGAACTTGTTTGTGGGCACTTTTTTCGGCTTTCTGTGGCTTTGCATTTGGTACTTTGCCTTGACCGTATGGGCCTTTTCTTGGAAGAGCGTGCAGTACCATTAGTAGTCCCTCGGTGAGAGATTCAGCAAGCTCTTCAATATGACGAAGGTCACTTTCATCTCTGATTCCTTTGCGGAATAGCCAAAGTTTAATGCTTTCGTCAAGTGTTCCTACCGTCATCATAGGGTTTCCTAATCTTTCCCTTCTAGCCTGGCCAAGAATAGTACCAACAACACTACTTGACTCAATAAAATAGGGTCTGATCCCCGTAATACTTATAACCGAGGTGGCAAATCTGATTACCTCACTTAATTTTGCAGTATGAGCTGAGCTCGTGGACCAAACTTGGGAGGGGAGCTCTGGGCAACGAATGAACAGTCGTTTCGGAATAGCTCCAAGACCACTAGAGATATACATGGAATATTTAAACCCACGAAGCTCTAGGGAGAATCTGCAGGCGCCTTTTTGTACGGCTTGAATCATTTTTTCGGCTCGTGGGCCGCATACCAGGATGATTTTCAGATGACTTGTTTCAATCAAAGTTCGATGGGAATTCAGAATAAGGGACTCATCACAAAAGCTCGAACTATTTTTGGAAAAGTCTCTTGCGGAAAGAGGCAGAAACTCCCGGAAGTTCGAGGTCCAAACAAGGACATTGGTCTCGTTAAACAGGCATCCTTGAAGGGACCATGGCAGCTGAACTTTCGAGTCAAGATTTTCTGGCGCCTCTGTGCTACCCAGACTCAGTGGCAAATCATTGGCAGGAGACACAGCGACAAAGTCCAGAATAAACCCTATTTCTGCAGATAGTGTACCGAAAAATGGTGTTGATGTAATGGTTCCTGTCTGTTTATCCTTCATGTTCATGGACAGAGCGTTTTTGACAAGCCAGAACTCCTTTTCATTCCCCAGTGCGGTCTTTAAAGCCGAATTGAAGTCATTGGAGAACAAAGGTCGTTCGGCTTTGTGTATCTTAAGCTTCTGTCCTGGATGGAAAGTTGCCCAGTGTCGAATCTGCACATCTGGGGATTTGCTTGGACCTATAGCAGCCTGCACTCTCAAGGATGCTGTGAGCGTCACACTTTGAAGTAATGGAGACATGACATTAAGCCCAAATCCACCTAGTGCTTTGTTGTTTGCAATTTCCGGAGGCTCTAACATGCCATGATGGGTAGAAAAGAACCTGCAAAAGAGAGCTTCAAGAATATTGCATCTTATCCGGTACCAGTCATTGTCCTTTTCCTCGTCCTCTGGGAACGACCATAGCCGGATAAAATTTGCTGTTCGACTCCCGTTTCCTAGCCACAGTATATAATAATGCAGAGATTCATATGAACCCTGCATTATGGATTGAGCATGTTGGTAAATTATCCGTCTATGAGCGTTTTCACATTGGCCGATATAAATTCTTAGAAAGTTCTCGTCTCGAATATCAGTCACATAGTCCATGTACCCCATAGGATCTAACCACGGGTCATCATTATCTTGTTGAAGTCTGATTTCGTCGAGGTCTTTTCGAGAGAGTTGGCGGCCTTGAAGGTATTTTATCTCAGGGCGCACAAGATCAAGAAGGCCTTTGGCAACAGTTAAATTGCCGCCATGTGTTTCAATCTCTCTTGAATATGGTAATGCATCAGATCCCGGTAAAAGGCCCTGTATTATTTCCAACTGGATAGATCTGCACAGCTTCTCTAAGTCAGGGAGCGGTATGCTTTCCTGCAGAGATACATCCTTGGGGGCGTGTCAACAACATTTTTATATCTAGATTATAAACAAAACCAGAGCTCTTACATCTCTGATTTCTTGAGGTATAGCGAACCACTTCTCGTCATTATGCTTTGGACAGTTGATTGAGATGTTAAGGGTGTATTGCGATAAGTTGACAGGTCCCTCGACAAGCCTAGGTTTCTTCGGCACGCCGACTCTAGACCATGAAGCCTGGCCCAAATCTCGTTTTTGGTTATTTGGCTGGGTAGCTCTTGGGACAGTTCGTGTACGACAGCGGTTGCTTGGGTGGCCTTTTTCACCGCAATTCTGGCAAGGTTTTACATTGGGGCACTTCGTTACAAGATGGCCATGTGCTTTGCAGTACACACATTTTAGACATTGCGTACACGTTTTCCGCGTCACCCCAGTCATCCCACACTGGCTGCAATGAATACAGTCACTAGGCAGGAATGACATGTTGTGTTTGCCGTTTGGAGAGGTTGGTGGGAAGGGGGGGCTGTATTATTTGAAAGTCATAGACTCCTGGGTTCAAAATTCCTGGGAGAAGTAAAGAGCTTGGAGTTAGAGTTGAGCATTAAAGTGGTGTGAAAGAAATGGAACTCACAGTAGGAAGAATCAACAGGCGCTTTAAAGGGAGAAGGGGGGAGTGGAAGAAGAGAGACAGGGAGAAGAGATTCAAGAGCAGTGGAGTGGTGTAGACCTGGTCTATGTACGTTCTGCAAGAACAAACAACGATCTAGCAACAAACGCTGGCGAGGCAACCTACCTTGGGGTACGTACTTAGAAAGACGCCTCAGGTTGCTTCACCTTGATGAATACAAATATACACATCGTTAAGTTCTGGGCTTCATCTATCATTCTCTTTATATCGAACATAACAACTACCCACCAATTGCAATTTCTTTCGAAAACACCTATATTTAGTAGTTTGTTTTCATCACCATTGGATTCCTAGGATTTTTGATATTGTGAGAAGCCACTTCCTAGTTTTCTATACATGATTCTGGAAAGATAAAATGCAACTTGGTGATGATATGCGCCCCGATGGTACGTGACGGGAGCACTTAGGGCAATGCAGAGTGATACTACAGTAGAAACGTGGGATGGGCACCATTTACTATTTAGGGATTTGACTATTATTGAAGGTTTGCGAAGGTCCTTAAAAAAGAACAGTAAGAATGGAAAAAAGAGGGTGGGAAAGGCCAAAAATAAAAAAAAGAATATTATTATACTCCAGACGGGACTCGAACCCGCAATCTCCAGATTAGCTGTGATACTGTTAGTTAAGAATTAAATGGGTAACATAGAGTCGATTAAACTTACAAGTCTGGCGCCCTACCATTGAGCTACTGGAGCGTGAGTGTTTCAATCGTCCAATTTAGGATTTATAGGCGAGGTCTGAAGGTGGGGTCTATGACGGCAAATCAAAATTAATCAAAAAATGCAAAAAGATAATTATGACGAATACTCCAGACGGGACTCGAACCCGCAATCTCCAGATTAGCTATTGCATTGTTAGTTCTTTATTCAAAGTGTTCATGGCGTCAGGTCAACTTACAAGTCTGGCGCCCTACCATTGAGCTACTGGAGCGAAGGTTGAAATTTTATTATATATTTTACCTTATAGCCGAGGCTAAAAGCGGGGTAACTAAAACACATAAAAGAGGTGAAAAAATAATTCGTACTCCAGACGGGACTCGAACCCGCAATCTCCAGATTAGCTGGATTATGGTTAGTAAGTGAAACTAAGGTGTGTCTGAATAGTGGGGGTACTAACAAGTCTGGCGCCCTACCATTGAGCTACTGGAGCTCTTCAGTTGCGCACTCAAAATAAATAGTGCTCTATGAAGCTATACTAAATATACACGACTTTATGAACCTAAAACAGGAACAAGGAGTATACAGATACATGTTCACTAGATGTCATAGTAATGGCAAGGCTACAGGGACTTGAATAATGAGAAAGGCTAGAATTCTTCAACGTGCTTAATTCTCTGACTACTGCGATATCGTCGCATTCGAATGCATGAAGCTATTCGCACTATTCTTAAGCGATCCCTTTACTCTATACAAACGAACCTGTCATCAGCTGCAATATTGACCAGGATAGCCATTCATTCCTGTAGCCCCTCTCCATGTTTACCACCCGAGACGAACGAACGGTGATCCCGTCGGATGGCCTGGCCTCTCCGCGGTGAGGCTTCAATATAGCGGATAATCGCATTCTCACCGCTATTCTCGGTGGTGTTGACCGAGAGGCCCTCGTTCAACACAGAGCTCGAGTATATGCAAACACAACTTAGGCCTTGGGCCATCGGTACTATTTGCGTAGGGTGGAAATGGTTCTCTCCTATGTGTATTGATTCTAACTATGACAGAGGACCCAGCACCGATATATAACACACCGTTCAGTCAATAGCAGGTACCAGTACCTAGGCGTATGTAGTATTGTATTTCATGGTTGATATCCATCCCAAATAAGCAACCCCCCTCATCCTAGACAAGAAATTCGCCCAAAGCATCTGTTAAAGAAATGCATTTTGCCCTTTAGACCACAGTGCCTGGGCTGGGAAGGAGAGCCTCCCTGCCAATGTTAGAACCCGCTTATTTTTTATTTTTATTTTTTTTCCACTGCCTGATAAAACTGAAAACTGGAAGACTGGGAGTTTGAATCAAACGATGCCCCTTTTCCTTTCCATTATTCTGCCAAATATACAAATATACCATACACATAGCCCCCATTCCCAAAAGCTTTACAGAGAGTGAAAAAGACCAGCTATTTCAAAGATATCTCAGAATCTACCCAATACGGTGACATTTACCACTATGTATTATTTTCTAATACAATAAGATGGCAAATCGCATTTGAAATTGTCTTCCATCCATGATGCATCTGGGGATCATGATGAACACCATACAGTTATGCCGCCTGCATGTGACATACTTTGCCATTCTCTGGTTCTTCCAGGCAGACCTGAAGTACCTTTCCTGAATAGTTTGGATAAATGTAATATAGGACGGATTAGGAAAAGTTCTGGAATTGCCAGTCAATATGTAGTTTTTGACAGGCTGAATATCCTCATTTTCATATCTGCGTAACCAACAGCTCCATCGGAAAAGAAGAACACCCTGCTCAAGGAAGGTTTTATCTATCCCGCTTTTTCTCTTGATGATGTTTTAATTCTAATTTATATGCAAAAGACTGACACTATGGCATACCAGACAAATCACCGCTATCAAGATGACTCGTTTCCAAAACATCATCGCCATAGGACTCGCTGTCCTCATAGCATCCAGAGCAGCCTTCATTCCAGAAGAAAGCAAAGCCCTCATCCTTCTCCGCGATGACAACAACAACAATAACAACGACGACGGTGATGACAACACCGACATTGCTCGAAAAAAAAAGTGCTCCAAAGACGCCGACTGCAAGCCGGGCTCGGGCCATATCTGCATCAGAAAGAAGTGCAGAGCTGGCTGTCGCCGTGACGAGGATTGCATCGACAGTCATATCTGTTACGATCATCGGTGCCGTGTAGAGCATGGTGGACCATGCTTTCCTACTTACTCGTTGTGTAATAGGCATGACGATTGCTGCTCGGGCAAGTGTGGAGTGAAGATTCCTCTTTTCGTTTCCATGTGCAACAAGCCAAAATGAGCTGATGAGGGACTTGGTTGTTGAAGTGAGAGGTGGACGGGGTGCTCAATGCTAGAAATTGCTGGATATATTCAATGGGTCTTGTCTAAATGTCTTTTCTATAAATCATGTCTCTATTGTATATGTCGCCCATGTTTCTACCATGGAAACCATGAGCCCAAACCAGATGAAGAAGCCGAAGCATCACAACCAAGATAGACAGCTACCCACTAGTTAGTACCTTGCAGCAATTCAGATAGCAAAGGGGGAAAAGAGACAGGCATACACTTTGAAAAGAAAGCATAACTCTCCGCATTTTTCAACGCAGTCTGCGTATCCAACTTCAACACCGCGTCGTGCCCATACACCTCAAACCCAAGAACACCCTTGGTATGCGACAACTCATGCAGACTCGACGTCCTCTGATCCAGCGTCGCACAATCATCCGACACCTGCGGAAGCTGGAAATACGCCGGACAAGTCCTCACATCGCCTCTGAACCCATCCGTCTCCGCATACCCAGTCTGTGTGAACGAGCCCTGCGCGCACTGCAACCCATCCGGCTGGCATGAATACGACACCAGCCCGCCTCCCTGGTTGGATGCTTCATCGGAGATTTCCTCGAGAATTTTGGCGACATGGTTCATGGATGTTGAGTCGGTTGTTTTGAAGAAGCCCTGGAAGAGGGAGGTGACGTTGTTGGCTTTGATGCTGGCGGCGGCTTTTTGGGCCATCTGGCCGGCGTGTGTCACTGCAGCTTGCATCATTTGTTTTTGTTGGCTGTTGCATTCCACGAGGGTTGCTCGTTCCTCGATGGGGCCTGCGAGGGCGATGTTGGTGAGGAATAGTGGGAGGATGAGGTTAGTGATGTGCATTTTGATGTTATTTTTCAATGTTGAAGAATATGAAGAATAGAGAAAAAAAAAAAATTGTATTTTCTAGAAATATCCTGCTATTATATTGTTCGAGATTTCCAACACTAGTGGCATCTTCGCCCAAAATTGAGATGACTGAAACTGCCAATTTTTAGACGTTTCAGGGTCTTGATGAACAGGACCCTGCGCTAAGAGTAGGGTGACAGTTCCTCGGTAATAAATCCCATACGCAGACAGTGTTTGACTTGGAATAATGGGGTTAATTGAACGGTTCAAACATGATAGAATCAGATACGCGAGTAGACCCATTTTAAAACTGCCCCAAAGGTAGAGGCCAAAGGTGTGGAAGCGCTGCCATTAGACTGCGCTACGAAGAAGAACGGCACTATAAGTTCGAGTTTTAAATGGGTTCTCCGTACTTAGTAGACCCTGGACCCACAGCAAGTATGAAGATAGATAGATAGACCGTAGCTATTTGCCTATCTTGGATTGGTCTCAGTAACATGATATGAACTGCATGAAAGTCCAGAGTGAAGCCACTTCCAGCAAGGTTATTCCCATGGATAAACCTCAGTCCTGACTTGTATAAGTGCAAACCGAATCCTATCTCAACTAGTTAGTTTGCACTGATCATGATGACATCAAAAGAGATAGATCATGCACCTACCTGGCCTTTGTTTCCATGCACCATTGACAATCATCATTTATACAATTTATAATGAAGGGAGACATACATTGCGTCGTATGTGGCCTTGTGGTCGAGAAGCAAACGTGCGGGAGTTCAAAAATGCGTCACGTTGACCCGGCAGAACTGGAAAAAACGCTGCCCACAGAGACTATCTGGAGGGAGTTTTATCGCCTCAGTGAGTCTGAAAAAGCTAGGTTATCCTACTACATCTCTAACTACGCCGTACAGTCATGTATGATTCAGCCGAGCAGCGATACAAGCTCTCTGGGATTGGACAGAGGTTAGAGGACGAATATTTCTATCCCCCTCGCGACTCGGGAAAGGCTGTGATTGGGAAGCCAACGGGGATGGAGACAGATCTCGCTCGAGTGCACCGCAACCTCCTTGTCTGGTGGTTCTGGGATGTTAGTCCCAAGCCCGACTGGCAAGAGATCGCCGTTCTTATCCACATGCGCTGTTGGGTTCTTGTTCAACAGGTCATTGGACCCAAAGTCCACGACCATCTCGGACTCTTCCTGGCCATCACCCTGATGAAAGCCTGCGCCTTGAATTATGGGAATGTGTGGTTGGACCATACTCAAGGTAAGTTCCCATTGCACTATATGCCCGCGAGTATACGCCTAATCCATGGCAAACAGATCCATCGAGAACACCGGTACTTGAAGGGCTGGTCCAGGAGAGCAAGGCAATAGGACGTCAGGACCCCTCAAACTATCGCAGTCTGCGGAAAAGATCCAACACTCCAAAGCTTTCAAGGCTGTCATATTTACCCTGCGATATTCTGTATCTCATCCTTGATTTTATTGGCCACTGGGACTGCATCTGTCTGCAAAGTGCGATCCAAGTGCCCGTCGGCAATGAGTACTGGCGTCAACGTACCGCCCGATCACTACTGTTTGGGATAGACAAGATCATTGAGGATAGCAATGACCTCGATTGGCGTTATATATGCCTGAAACTCGAGAGACTTTATGCTTCTTCGATAAGATTTGAGGCTCGACGAAGGGTTCTGGGCGTGTTGAAAGATGTAAAGACAGTCCTTTCCCGAGAGTTGAAGAAGGAAGAACCGCTGCGAATGGAAGATGTGATCAGAAAGATACATAATTCATGGTCTCCATATGACCTTGAACGGCACATATGGCTGGGTCGGAGGATAAGGATGCTGTCTGATTGTAGATTATTCTTCAAATTAGATGGGAGATTACGCGTAGAATAAAATAGTGGAAACAAGGTTAACATACTCAGAAGGAGAGTATTTTCTTGATCTGTCACGGATAACCTAGTGGGAGGCCGACCGCCAAGTCAGTGACCTTGCTTCGGCGCAAGTCAGCGGGCACTGGTGCCTGGTACGAATCCTGGGGTCGTCGTTGTACTCGTGCGAGTAATCCACGATGCTACAAGGCGTTAAGCAATGAAAGTGACCCTTGAGGGAAGCAATTCTGCAGAGACACTTTCACCCTGGGATGGCGTCGCCAGATTACACCGTCCCGTTACAGGGAAATTGGCTGTTTGGTTGGACAACTGCATCTTCTTTTTTGCCTCTTTTTTTTTTCGTCCATCTTTTTTTGTATCCCGACCGGCCTTTTGTCCCCCTTCTCTTTTTTATCCCCATTCATTTAATTACTTTTCTTATAAAGAAACACGGTGCTATTATAGTTATAGTTTTCTATTCAACTAATTTACACGGCTATATATCTAGGTGGTGGGTGGTGGGTGGTGTACGACATCCTCTACAGTCTGTATACCTTTCGCAATTGGCCCCTATTATTATCATTATTTCCCTTCTTCTGCTGTATATTAATCCACTTGATTTTCCCAATAAAATCTATTCTATCTGTATCGCATTTTATCATGGCTTTCTTACATATAAGATACCATGGAAGTGTCGCCCTTTCCCTCGTCTGCATTCACCTCCCACGCTCCTACCCTTGACCACTTCAGGTTACAGAGCGTCTGCCCGCTTTCTGTTCTTCCTATTATGACTCGGAAATGTTTCAGTCTTCTTCCCATCGTCTTTCTGCTTGCAAGTTGGCAGAGGATCAGATGAAACTTCTCCGCTTCTCTACAGTCTACACTGCCTGGCAACCATCAAGGCTATCCTAGAAGCAGTTTGGCAACGAATATATCCATTCTTCTGGATAGTTTCCTTTGGCTCGCTGCTTCCAAGCGACAGACTCAATCTACGCTTTGCCACTGCCATCCCCAACCCATACCACGACGAAGACTATCAACGGGACAGCCTGAGTTATCCAGCATGCAGTTTTGGGTTGGCTGGGCCCTATGGCAGAAACTGAGCACTGTACGACTATCCCAAATGTTACCTTAATGATTCTGACTGACATAAACTCCTTAGGTGCTTGCATTTCTCATCGTACGAAGACCTCCCCGCAACTTGACCTTCTACTAACGATGCAAGACTCTCGTGCTCATCTATTCCTTCTCCATCCTCTTATACAACAGACGAATGACAAGAAAACATGCAGCGGCAGAAGCATACCAAAAAGAAGAACAGGATGCCGAGTTACGCCCTATGCTGACTGTAGGAAGCGACATTCCATTTGGCGCCAGAGCTCTTGAGAGAGGAGTTCAAGTCGAAGGGATTTGGATCTCCTCGGACAACAACACGCCGCTTCCTACCCCCCAGAAACCTGGTACCCCAATTGGAACCCGACCATCGAGTTCGAGTGTCTCGACACGATTAGATTCAGTTCCTGAAAATGTCCCGAGAGCACAGTCAAAGACCAGTCTGGCATACCCGGTGGCGTCTCACATCAACAGACCAGATCCTCGATGTACCTCGAGAGCTAGGGATGACAACGTAGCCAGCGACAGTAAAAGCTCAAGCTTCTATTCTGAATCAGTCGTTGAAAGTCAACACGCCCATCCCGCCCCATTGAAGAACGACGAGCCATATACTCCAAACGAGGGGGATGTGCCACAATCGAAAAACAAGTCCAGCGTTCGCAGCTCATGGATAGGCAAATCCCCAGACAAGTACAAGCGAAGATCGATCATCGGTGGTAAGAAGCCAGAGGGTTTTACCATGTTAGGTGAAAAGAAACTGATCATTAATCCCCCAGGAAATCATGCTCGGCGATCATCTGAGGAATTCAGGCGTCGTATCAGCCGGTTAATCGACGAGAACATTCAAACGCGCCCAAGCGAGACGTTTCAACTGAATCCGTTCCGACGTGCTGCCGAGGAAAGCCATAAACGAAAATCAAAGCTAGGAGCGTCTCAGCCATGAAGCCTTCAATGTTCAGAATTGATCACAAGCGCATCTCTCGCGACTTCATGGTGAAGTCAGCAACACCCAGTTGTTAACGGGTTTGATGTGCCATTCTAAAAGTGTGAGCGCACATCTGAAACTGACTGGGACATGGGGCGAAAGTTCAATCATTTTATGTTTCATGCCTAGGTCCCACTGGACTCTTTGATCTTGTTGGATATCACTGGACTCTGTAACTTGACTTTGTTTTGCAACAGTATACCTTATGGAAACTGCAACTCTTCTTTGGTATGGCCAACATTGTTATTGAAGCACCGAGACTAATAGCGGCATATCTGATAGATGAAATTGGTTTAATATTATCAAGTAAGCATGAAATTAGACAGTCCTTCAACCTGGAACCGGGAAAACGCGAAATCAAGAAATATAGTATAGAATAGACAGACTAGTGGAGCAGAAAGGTGAAGATCATTTTGCCGTAGATTGATACCTAAGGCACAAAATGGGCGATCTGGCCTGCTGCCTGATAAGCGCACGTGATCTCGTGACAGCTCGACGCGTCCACAGCCGTAAGAACGATTGTCAAGAGAAAAAAAAAATCAATTGGATTTGCCACATCGACAGACTTGATATCTCAGAAATAAAGACTTGGTTGTCCTATTAATGAGCCGATAAAACGCAAGTCTGCAGATTGATCTACAAGCAAAAGAAGATCCCACGCAGTAAGCTACAGTTGAGACTACGACGCGTGCTTTCGCGTAGTGTTGACTCTGATCAGTACCGAACAGGCATTGATTTCCGCGAAGCTGCAGAAAAGACATTCTTGAATAGAAGAGAGACTTGAACCACTGAGACGGAAATGACGACAGACATGGAAACTCAGAATGAATATGATGAGAATGGACTTCCCGGTCCCGGTGCGCCTACTCCACTTTCATCCTTGGAGGTGAGAAACCATGACCCTTGATGCATCGAATAGAGCTGCAGCTATATGTGGCTTTTGGTGCTTCTTACCCGTGGGGTACATTTCTGACAGGTGGTTGCAGGGTGTTGCTGGTTTAACGGGTAGAGACATCAAGTTGTTCGTTGATGCTGGCTACTATACGGTTGAGTCAATTGCCTATACGTGAGTTGTTTCTTCCCCTAAATATTTATCTGCTTTGTAGAGAACAATGGTGCTGATGGTTGTCGTTTCGCTTTTAGTCCAAAGAGACTTTTGGAGCAAATCAAGGGTATCTCGGAGCAGAAGGCCACTAAGATCTTAGTCGAAGGTGAGTCAACGCAGGCATATGCCGTGGATAGAATTATATTGATTGATGATATTATATAGCCGCGAAGCTTGTTCCGATGGGTTTCACGACAGCCACCGAAATGCACGCACGACGAAGCGAACTCATCTCGATTACAACAGGATCTAAGCAGCTGGATACTTTGCTCGGAGGTGGCATCGAAACAGGGTCAATCACCGAGATCTTCGGAGAGTTCAGAACCGGAAAGAGTCAAATATGTCATACACTTGCGGTAACCTGTCAGTTGCCATTCGATATGGGAGGTGGTGAAGGCAAGTGTCTCTATATCGATACGGAGGGGACCTTCCGACCAGTCCGCTTGCTGGCTGTTGCTCAGCGATTTGGGCTTGTTGGTGAAGAGGTGTTGGATAATGTGGCTTATGCTCGAGCATATAACTCGGACCATCAGCTTCAGCTACTTAACCAGGCGTCCCAGATGATGTGCGAGACTCGGTTTTCTCTTCTTGTCGTTGACTCCGCAACGTCACTGTACCGGACAGACTTCAATGGCCGTGGTGAGTTGTCGTCTCGACAGACCCATCTGGCCAAATTCTTGCGTACGCTGCAACGTTTGGCCGATGAATTCGGTATCGCAGTCGTCATCACCAACCAGGTTGTTGCCCAGGTTGATGGTGGACCGAGTGCGATGTTCAACCCCGACCCGAAAAAACCAATTGGTGGTAATATCATTGCGCATGCCAGTACGACCAGATTGAGTTTGAAAAAGGGAAGAGGCGAAACGAGAGTATGCAAGATCTACGACAGTCCATGTCTGCCCGAGAGTGACTGTCTCTTTGCCATCAACGAGGATGGTATCGGGGACCCAAGCCCCAAGGACCTGGAGAACGACTAATCGTATCGCAGTAATACTGCACTTCCTTACATATTACGATAATTGTGTGACGAGTTTTGTTTGTTAGCCACATGTATATCTTTGATTTTTATGGCATATGGCATCCTCGGTGGTGTCTAGATTCTGTCACGGTGTTTACGATTAATTGTTTGATACTAGAGTATGACACTGTACTTGAATCCAAAACAAAACCCATATACATGAAAAACAAAACAATGATAGAACATAAGAACAAGATTTAATTGAAGATTAATCCAAGATCGACAAGGCGGAGAGGCGCGTTGCTGGGCCCGCGCCAAGACTTTGTTTTTTGAGCAGCAACAGAGCTTCAGCTTTCCGCCTTTCAAGTCCCTCTCTGAGGTTGCGAGCGATTTTACTATTTCATTCCACCCCCAACTCTACCGCGGCAGGGAGACCATGGAGCCCTGAAGTGAACATCTATAACCCCGTGGAAAATCATCTGTCGTCAATCTCCCCATCATGGCGAAGATTTACAAGGACACAAGAGTCGACCTCCGGCCGTACTCGCCGAACACAGTCGTCAACATCCCAATCCCAACAACACACGAGAGCGCGCAGCGTCGAACCCGATTCTCCGTCTCCTCCCTTACAGACAGCGAAGAGCCCGCCGCGAAAGATGAGGACGAATTCGCAAGACGCTACCTGGCGACTCAAGGGTCCATCTACTTTCGAAAACGAAGGGCTTATCCCCGAACGTTCCTGTGGAGGGTTGTCAATGACAACAAGGTGTTGGAAATCCAGTGCGTGGATCTGACCAAGGCTGGGGTTGAAAAATTTGAATACAATGTTACTCTGCGCTTGGACTTTCAGGAGGACATCATCCCTTCAGGAGTTGCTTTCGCGGATTTGGAAGACCATGAAATGCTGAGCGTGTTTGTGATTACGGCCTCTAAGCAACTGCACACTTTGACGCTGCGCCCGGAGTTCTTCCGCAGGACGGCGGCTATTGATGAGAATGTGTCCGAGTGGTGCAAGTCTTGTGTGCCTGCGCCTTTGTCTTTCTCTTACCCTCACCGACTTCATGCGAGCAGTCCGTTGGAGCTGTTCATCTCGCTTGATAATGGAGCGCTTTTGCGCTTAACTAGGCGATCTGGCGATGATGGTAATTTCTTGCAAAATTTGTCACTGTCTGGATTCGTTGTATGCTGATCTGTGTCTTTTTTTAGGCTCGCATTGGTCCCCTCTTACCTTCGATGAGAGAACATGGGGTTCGTCAATCCGTGGCCTGGTTAGGTGGACGGCGCAACCTTCGATGAAATTCCGAGGACGCACTCTCGATCCAAACTTGGCAAATGCCATCGCTACTACATCAGATGAGACATATGTCTTCGCCGTCTGCTTGAATCACACCTTGAAAATTTGGAACCTTGCTACAAATAAATTGGCTGCCACCAAGGACTTGTTGGGCCGAAATATCCAGCAGCCAGATTCGACATCATATACTTTGAATCCATCTGAGTCGTCCTTTATTCGGGTTTTCAATGCGGAGAGAGTGTTGGACGGTGGTTACCGCTACTACATTGTCACATACTCGCCATTCGAGGATGGGCGCTTTAAATTCTGGGCTGTGAAGGGGGGCTTGACATCGCAATTGATAATCGAAGATCTGTTCCCCGAAGCTTCTTTTCGACCCTTGGATCCCGACTCCACAGGGAATATGTTCTGGAGTATTGCCGACTTCCAGGTTAAGCCGATGGATGAGGGAAAGCGCATGGAGTTGTGGGTTTTGTGGAGAAACAACAGCCTCTACCAGCTGTACACACTGCACTTCGACTTCCAAACTTTGGAGAAAGATTGGTCTACAAACTGGGTGTCGACAGCTGTGGAAACTCGCAGACAGGAGCTGCCGCCAGCTATGGTATCTGCCGATGTTGTGGACCCGACAGAAAAGTGGTTGAAGTTCCTTTTGCAACCTAATAGATACTTGCCAGAGGTTCTCGAGACTGCTTTGACGATCTACCAAGAGGCTCTCAAGCCGCTGTCTTCATCGCCTATTACTCCGAAGAAAAGCGCCCCCCTGCCAGAACGACTATGCTCCACAATCGCGGCTACAGTGTCACTTAGAAAGTACGCAGAAGATGATATGGATTTTGCACGATACGGGGTCGACACGGATGCCAAATGGCGGCAGTTCTGGCAAATCGCCGATGATATTAACAAGCGAAGATTCGAACCGCTCTCACTTTCCTACGACTCCTACTATGAAGTCCCGTGGATGCTTCTTTCTGACAGCTGTGCTGTGATTCGGGAATGTAGCTCCACTGAGCTGCTTCTTCATAACTCTGGCACCGAACTTCACTCGGAAGTACCCAAGATTGTGGATCGTTGGGACCATAGGAACCTGGGTACGGAGATTGGTGATCTCTTTGCACAGGCATCTTTTTTGGCGGATGTTTCTTCAGGGTTCAGGAGGAGGTTCCCAGCCGAGCTTGACACAGCTTGTCTGCGTGCTATTGAAGCGGAGATCTATAGCGAGCCTTCGTCTTCAATTCCGGATAGAATGGATGCTTTCCGAGATCGGTGCGACTTTGGGGAGCTGCTCCCCAATAAGACTTACGATGGTCTATTCGCAGCTATGAATGCGCATTTGAATATCTATAACCTACCGAACGAAATCTTCTACACCCTCATTGATACTGTCCCGCTTGGATTCCCGGGCAAGGACTCAGACCTCCTCGCTACCGCTTTCGGTGTCAGAGTCTCGGTGAATGGTGTTCAGGAAACAATCCTACTTACACGCCAAGTTCTAATTGACCTCTTGGTTCTTGTTGTTTTCTTGGACAGCGAAGTGCAGCAAGAGGAAGAGTCAAATTTCGACGCGGGGGATCTATTCGCAACGCTCATTTCTCTGCTAAGAGAGTACGAGATGATGTCTTGGCTCAGCTCGAATGTTCGGAAATGTGCTGACAGGTCTACAAAGACCGCTGCTGACACGACTCCGAGCTTCACTCTGAAGTCTTCCGAATCGCAGAGCAAAGGTGAGAGAATGGCGACTATTTTGGAGGATCTGTTTGCTACAGACATCAAGCCGCGTCAAGCCATTGGGCTGTCTCAAGGGTATACGTTGACTCTTGGAATACGAGATGTTTTGTCTTGGGTCACGCGCCAAGGAGAAGTGGCTTACCCAAATGCTTTGGTTTACATCCAGTGCGATCTCATTGCGAAAAACAATATTGATCTCGCATGGGACTTCCTCCGCTTTCAGGCAAGTACCTCTTGGGCGACTTACGTAAAGGGTCGTCTATACGTGGCTATGTTTGAATTTGATACTGCAGCCATCTACTTCCGGAAGGCTGCGTATCTCCTTTGTAAGTTGACGCCCCCATTTTTAGCTAGTGTTCGTTTGTCTGACTTTACTAGCTTGCGGCAAGCCCCTCGGTAATCTACACGAGATGTCCTCGACGCTTTTGGACATTGTTTCGGTGGATTGCTTCCACAATGGTCTTCCGAAGTATTTCCAGCACATTTTGTCCGTATTTGAACAAGTGCGCTCTTTCACCCACGTGGCCGACTTTGCTAGCCTTGCATTGCAGGCGCTTGAAAGCGAGCGCAGGAATGAGCAAGACCCTGAGTACACAACCTTGCGAACTGACCTCCTCTCGCGTCTGTTCCATGCGTCTTTGAGAACGTGTCAATTTGACCAAGCCTACTCTGCGCTCTCTCGCTACCGGGATCTCGCATTGCAAAAGTCAGCTCTCAGCTCTCTCATCACAAACATTCTGGCTGCATCAGGACCAGGAACTACCGGCCTCCGACAGATTCTCCACTTCCCAACTTCGCTAATCCCCAACGTCGCTTCCTATGTGGACGAGACTTTAGTTTCGCTCGCCCGAAAGCAGGCTTCATTCACTCCTTTCTTGGAAGCTGGCAACAAGTGGTCTGACAACAACACCCCTGACTACCAACGAGTTCTGCAAGCATACCGTATTGCACGGAGCGACTACCGTGGCGCTGCTGAGATTGCGTACCGCAATGTTCAACGCCTACGGGACGCCAGAGAAAGCCCATCGTCGCATCTGGTTCTCGGCAAACCCAAGGAAATCGACGAATCAAAGCCCACGGTCGAAGAGGACGACCCGGAGAGCAAGGAGATCAGACACGAGCTTCTGTCCTTGATCAACCTCCTTGCATGCGTGGACAAGAGCGAGGCCTACATTCTCGTAGAGAAGGAAAAGCCCATCACCCCCACCACCGACAGACGCAGAAGCATGCAAGCCGACGACGATGGCAACGTCTTCATGGACGATGCTGACATGGGCTCACCGACACCCTTCTCATCCAACCGCCGCCTCAGCGCCAGCACGGGTGGGCTGAAATCCTCCACTCACGGAGACACCAAGTCCTCAACCACCACTGGCGCGACCGGGCCCCAGCACAGTCATAATACCGCACCACAGCGACGGGTCATAGTCACGCTTGACCACCTGCGGCGCGAGTATCAATCCGAACTAGACCGAGTGAGCAGGATCGAAAGGGGTGATTGGGAGTTTGGGCTTCTTGATGCCGCTGATGAGGCGGATAATGATGAAACGATGGTACTTTCTTAGAAGGAGAGAGTTGCGTCGAATGATTTTTATCCAATTTTTTTTTCAAATTTCACATTTTCTCGTGCTTTCGTGGTCTTTTCTCCCCCTTCTTTCTTTGTATTTCCAGCTTGTAATCTAGGCTTGTTTATTTGATGGTTTTTTTCACAGAAAAGAAAATTATGACTCTTGTTTAGTTGATTTGGATTGCAAGTTGCGGTGCTGGTATGGGTGTTATTTACTCGTTTAGGATGTTTAGCTGCATAGTTTCATTGGGAATGGGAAGAATCAATCAATCATCACATCACAAGGAATCAGAACTAATTAACAATTAATAAAAATCAATTAGATATATATTGATTTAGTATGCAAGAAATTATATATGAAGTTGATATGCGATATGCAAGCGAGCGAAAGAAGAAGACAGATATATTTATTAACATTAACCCAACTCCACGCCATATAGTAAGAAAGGATATATAAAGAAGAAAGAAATATTACTAAATCAAGGTCATCGAGGTCAGGAAACCAGACTCACTCCGATTCTTCTTTCATGGCACTCGCGTAGAGTTTAGCAAAGTAGGAATCGTCAGTGGTGAGAAGGGTATAAGGGCTTCCAGACTCGACGAGACGACCGCCGTCGAGGACGACGATGCGGTCGTAGTCCATTATCGTTTCGAGGTTGTGGGCTATGGCGATGATGGTGTGGTTGCCAAATTTTTCGCGGATGACTCGTTGCATGATTTCGTCGGTTTTGGTGTCGACACTTTTGGTATGTTAGTTACTGTCGCTGACTGAATTTCAGGATGGGGATAGAAGTAGGAATACGTACTTGCTTGTAGCTTCGTCAAGGACGAGAATCCTACCAGGACGGAGAATGGCTCGAGCAAGACAGAAGAGCTGTTTTTGGCCGTGAGAGAGATGCAGGTCGTCGATGTCAGCGTCGAGACCTGCTTCGTTCTCTTCGATTGTTGATAGGAGGTGGACGCTCTTGAGGGCGTCCAGGATGTCTCGATCGAAACAGCAGCCTGTTGGATCTGCGTTCATTCTCACGGTACCCTTGATTAAGAGGGGGTCTTGGGAGACTCCGTTGATGCAGGAGCGGATTTGTTGACGGGGGAGTTTGGAGATGTCCATGCCGTCGACTGTGATGGATCCAGAGGTGAGCTCGACCATGCGGAAGAGGCTCATTATCATGGATGTTTTGCCACTGGATTAGGATGTGAGCAAGGAGTATTAAGACCGGAGAATGTTGATGTAACTTACCTTCCTGTTCGTCCGCAGATACCAATCTTTTCACCGGCCTGGATAGAAAGAGACACATCGCTGAGGACTGGTTCATCGGGCTTATATGATGCAGACACCGATTCGAACTTGATGTCTCCCTTTGATGGCCAGCCTACAGGAGCACTGCCGTTTTCATCTGGCAAGTCCTCCGACTGTACCTTTTCGGTAAAAGTCTTGACACGCATAATAGACCCGATGTGTGTCTCCAGGTTGGTCCAGAATGTCACCACGAGCTTAATACTTTGGCTGAATTGAATGACGTTCAACAATGCCACACCGACGTAGCCTGTGCTAATTGTTCCACGCAATGCGACGACAAGCACGATCAGCACAATGGCAATACCTGCGACCACCATGTCCAAGGTGAGAGTAAGCCAGCGCTGAATCGCGTACAGGAGGTAGAATGGTCTTTGAGAATAGTCGAGAAGACGACGGTTCTTCTCCTCCATAGCGTGTTGCCATCCGTAGGCTCTCAATGTAGCCAGACCGTTGAGACAATCTGTGAAATGAGAGAATAGCGGTGCCTTTGCTTCGATGTCCATGAAACGCAATTGTCGTGAGGTACGCAGGTAGATCTTTTGGACTGAATATATGATAAAGAGAACCAATGGGAATGAGATGGCTGCGTATTTTGAAGCAACTCCTATCAAAATCATTTGTGCAAGGCAGAGGAAAAAGGCTAAGAATAATTAGTCGGCCGGTCTTTCTATACTTCAAAAA